AGCTGAGACTGAATGGAGCGATGTTATATTGGTATGGAATATGTATGAGCTGTGACTGAATGGTGCGATGTTATATTGGTATGGAATATGTGTAAGCTGTGACTGAATGGCGTGATGTTTTATTGGTATGGAATATGTGTTAGCTGTGACTGAATGGCGCGATGTTATATTGGTATGGAATATGTGTTAGCTGTGACTGAATGGCGCGGTGTTATATTGGTATGGAATATGTGTTAGCTGTGACTGAATGGCGCGATGTTATATTGGTATGGAATATGTGTTAGCTGTGACTGAATGGCGTGATGTTATATTGGTATGGAATATGTGTTAGCTGTGACTGAATGGCGTGATGTTATATTGGTATGGAATATGTATTAGCTGTGACTGAATGGCGCGGTGTTATATTGGTATGGAATATGTATGAGCTGTGACTGAATGGCGTGATGTTATACTGGTATGGAATATGTATTAGCTGTGACTGAATGGCGCGATGTTATATTGGTATGGAATATTTATGAGCTGTGACTGAATGGCGCGGTGTTATATTGGTATGGAATATGTATTAGCTGTGACTGAATGGCGCGATGTTATATTGGTATGGAATATTTATGAGCTGAGACTGAATGGCGTGATGTTATATTGGTATGGAATATGTATGAGCTGTGACTGAATGGCGCGATGTTATATTGGTATGGAATATGTATGAGCTGTGACTGAATGGCGTGATGTTATATTGGTATGGAATATTTATGAGCTGAGACTGAATGGAGCGATGTTATATTGGTATGGAATATGTATGAGCTGTGACTGAATGGTGCGATGTTATATTGGTATGGAATATGTGTAAGCTGTGACTGAATGGCGTGATGTTTTATTGGTATGGAATATGTGTTAGCTGTGACTGAATGGCGCGATGTTATATTGGTATGGAATATGTGTTAGCTGTGACTGAATGGCGCGGTGTTATATTGGTATGGAATATGTGTTAGCTGTGACTGAATGGCGCGATGTTATATTGGTATGGAATATGTGTTAGCTGTGACTGAATGGCGTGATGTTATATTGGTATGGAATATGTGTTAGCTGTGACTGAATGGCGTGATGTTATATTGGTATGGAATATGTATTAGCTGTGACTGAATGGCGCGGTGTTATATTGGTATGGAATATGTATGAGCTGTGACTGAATGGCGTGATGTTATACTGGTATGGAATATGTATTAGCTGTGACTGAATGGCGCGATGTTATATTGGTATGGAATATTTATGAGCTGTGACTGAATGGCGCGGTGTTATATTGGTATGGAATATGTATTAGCTGTGACTGAATGGCGCGGTGTTATATTGGTATGGAATATGTGTAAGCTGTGACTGAATGGCGTGATGTTATATTGGTATGGAATATGTGTTAGCTGTGACTGAATGGCGTGATGTTATATTGGTATGGAATATTTATGAGCTGTGACTGAATGGCGCGGTGTTATATTGGTATGGAATATTTATGAGCTGTGACTGAATGGCGCGGTGTTATATTGGTATGGAATATTTATCAGCTGAGACTGTCTCACATGGGGATTCCGAGTGAGTTCGAGCTTTGATATGGTCGCCAGCTATCTATGGGATAGGCCACAACAATACATGTCTTGTTTATTATTGCCATCCACCCTAGAAATATACCCTGAATACTTAATCATATTTTGTATGCTGAGTTCAGTTTCAGTTCTGCATTTTAACTTATTTTCTATTCTGAGTGAGTGAGTGAGTTGGGTTTAACATTGCTTTACCGGAGCCTGCCCGGGGACCCACCTCCCTATTACCTGGGTACAAAAGGTCCAATTGGGAATTCTTTTAACGAAGCCCTGGCAAAATGTATTTAGATACACGTTTAAATCGATTTGGTCATGCATACACTGAAGTTGACTGAAGTTTTATCTTTATTCAGACATATAAAAGTCAGAAAGAAATGTGAACATTAGTGACTTTTAGTGTAGCCTTAGAGTTCAGATAATTTGTGTCATTAAATGATATATCACATGACCAACCAAGGGTCTGGGTAGTCCTGTGGGTACCCGGGTCTGACAGTATCTGCCCGACACAAGTACCCGAGTTGCCCGTCCCAGCCCTCATGTAATCTCCAAGTGGATGGAATCTGTCATCAATGCACTTCAGCTTTGAGGTGAGAGATTGGGGTTGAGTCAAGGCATAATGCTTCCGTGTTCATTTGAAACCTCTGTTTAAAGTAGAGCTGATTATATGACTCTGACGATGTGATGAGCTTGTGTTGCATGATACAATCACATAGCAACCTTGTGCGTGGTACCACTGTCAGGTGAGACTTGAGAGGTTTTAAGTCAAAACTACAAGTCAAATACCGATGATGGTAGGCGTTTCACGAAACGGGTATAGTTAACATTACAAACACAAGTAGAGGCAAGTCAATTGTTCGCCTGAAAAATCATAGGAACATAATGGTACAAGTCAAAAGAGGGAATTGGAGATCACACCTGTCGCCCCCTTGTTAACCACACCATCTCATCGATGCTGATAATGTTAATCACTGGATTGTCTGGTCCAGACACTATTATTTACAGAACAACATCATATAGCTGGAATATTGTTGAGTGCAGTGTTAAACAACAAACAGACATAGATCTCGGGCATCTCAGACAGGAAATCTCTCCAAAACACTTCAGTTTTGGGTTGACTACTTCAGCTAGGCCTAGAGTTACCAAGGAATCTTGTTATGGAGCCTGTTCATACAATAGCAAGTAATACAGTTCCTTATTCTACGACATGATCAAGTGACAGTTTCGGATCTCTGAAGCAACGTAAAGGGGGCTCACTTTGCAGAAGGGAAGTCATGTGCAGTTACGTCCTGATGTGAACGTGCTTGTGAAAAAACAATAGGATGACCAGAAAAATAGGTCACTACACACTAGTACCATTACATAGAGTGGATGACGATAATGACATGGGTATTCATCCACTCAGGCATTCATCCACACAGGCATTCATCCACACAGGCATTCATCCACACCAGCGTTCATCCACACAGGCATTCATCCACAGCAGTGTTCATCCACACCAGCGTTCATCCACACCAGCGTTCATCCACACAGGCATTCATCCACAGCAGTGTTCATCCACACCAGCGTTCATCCACAGCAGTGTTCATCCACAGCAGTGTTCATCCACACAGGCATTCATCCACACCAGCGTTCATCCACAGCAGTGTTCATCCACACCAGCGTTCATCCACACCAGCGTTCATCCACAGCAGTGTTCATCCACACAGGCATTCATCCACACCAGCGTTCATCCACACCAGTGTTCATCCACACCAGCGTTCATCCACACCAGCGTTCATCCACAGCAGTGTTCATCCACACCAGCGTTCATCCACACCAGCGTTCATCCACACCAGTGTTCATCCACACAGGCATTCATCCATATGGGCATTCATCAACATGGGCATTCATGCATGCAGGCGTTCATTCACTCGAGCATTCATCAACACAAGTGTTCATCCACTTGAGTGTTCATCCAAATGGTCGTTCATTCACACGGGCATTCATCCACACGGTCGTTCATTTACACAGGCGTTCACAGGCATTTATCCACACGGGCGTTCATCCACTTGAGTGTTCATCCACACGGTCGTTCATTTACGCAGGCGTTCACAGGCATTTATCCACACGGGCATTCATCCACACTGGCGTTCACAGGCATTTATCCACACAGGCGTTCATCCACACAGGCATTCATCCACACAGGCGTTCACAGGCATTTATCCACACAGGCGTTCATCCGCTCATTTTCATGAGGAGTCCATGTCATGGGGAGTCTATCAGTCCCTGTCATTACGTTCTTAAAAGCCCCCAAAATACATGCATCGGCCACACGGCAGATGTCAACAAACTTGCCTTAAGACTTCTTGTATTGGTGCATAATTCGTGTACTAAAATTAAATCAACATTTAGCATGTCAAACACTGTTTATCTATTGGGCATAGAGCAGACACATCTTTGTGTTTGAATCAGGGTCGGATTCTTTGTTCGTCATTCTCGTGACAGTCAGTACGTTTTGCCTGGCTGATTGCCCAACATCGTGGCTATAACTGCATGACTAATTTATGGGTGCTTTACACATGCTCTGTGTTATTTTGCATTTGGACACAATGTGACACAGATCTCGCGATTCACCTCCTGGTTAGAAGCAACACATGGGGAACTGATGACTTGGAACACCTTTGTATCGGTCATATGAAAAATGAGTGTTTAGGGGGAAAAAATTAATAGTCTTGGTTCTCAGGCACCACCCACATCATGATAAAGTCTGCTGTATGTTTTGTCTTCATTTCCACCCCCACCCCCTCAATCTTAATTTCAATGGTATGTATTCCAGTATTCCGTCTGTTTTGTTTTCATTTCCATTTATTTCCATTTGAGTCCCCCCTGACCCCCCCCCCATCCTTAAATATTTCAATTTCAATTTCAATGGTATGTACATGTACTCGAGTATGGTACTCATCAAGGAATACATTTTTGTAGGGAGGCAACTGTTTATTTTCAAACATACTAGTTCGAACAACCCCTTCCCCCCCCCCACAAAACAACAAAAAACCCAGCCCTCTCACATTATATTTTCAATAGCCATTGCCTGAGAACCAATTCTTTTATTTTGTTAACCTTATTTGAATTTTCCTTATAACATTGTATTTAATTTCTTATTACGAAGGTTACCTGACTTTGTATATATTGGGGACACGGGTGGCCCAGTTGTCTAAGGCGCCGCGATTCGCTGAGCATAGTTGCGTCCCTTGGGCACACCAGAAACCTATGTGAGTTTCACCGAAGTCGTAAACATCTGAGACCTGCATCACTTCGGGCTTTCCTCCCACATTAAGCTGACACGCCGTGATATAACTGGAATACTGTTTAGAGCGGTGTTGAACCCAACTCACTCACTCACTAACTCACTCATTTTGTATATCTTTCCAGGGCCCTGACTTCACCAGCACTGCAGGATTTGAGGTCCTGGCACAGCGCATGAAAGATGGCCGCCACATGTGTAAAGAATTTGAAGAATACCTCAAGCAACGGTAAGTAATACTTTACCTATTCGCATGCTACTGTTGAGGTTGACAGCCCACTTATGTTAGAGACCGCCTCAGTGGTCTAGTGGTAGAGTGTCTGCCTGGAGAGCCAAAGGTCCTGTTTTTTTTCAATATTTTGTCAGTTATTTAACTTCACACCCTTTTCGCAATGCTTTTGAGATTTGTGTCAAATTGTATTCGGAATCAGGGGTGAGCAGTAAGACTGCTGATGGTATTTAGGATTCAGGGGAATCGGAGATTGGCACCCTCACTATTTATGGTCATTAGAACTATCATGTTCTTCATGCAAGTTGGTGGGGCACGGGTGGCCCAGTCGTCTAAGGCGCTGCGATTTGCTGGGCAGAATTGCGTCCCTTGGGCACGCCAGAAACCTATGATTGTGGGTTCGAATCCCGGTTCGCCCCGATTATGTTTCTAGGTTTGTCAGCACCATACCCATGCTCGTGGGTTTGACTGAAGTGGTAAACGTTTGAGACCTGCATCACTTCGGGCTTTCCTCCCACATTAAGCTGACGCCGTGATATAACTGGAATAATATTAAAAGTGGCATTTAAAACCAAACTCACTCACTCACTCACTCGTGCAGGTTGGTTGGAGCAAGTGGAATTGTTTGTGGAATTATTCATGGAGAAGTCTTGGTTTGAATGGGAATTCTGCCTTTAATTTGGTATTTTTGTCATTGTCGTTAGAATATTGAAATAATGATATGTACAATTATAGGTTTCACAATGCAGTTTTTGTTATTGCAATATTGAAAGTATGTGTGGCAGTACATTTTGGGGAGAAAACGTTATCGGAATCGACTGAGGGATTGTGTTTCAAGTTTTTTTGGCAAACTTCAATTGGACACACAGCCAGGCAACTGATAAAATTGTTCAGGCAAGTATGACCTCCCTATGATAAGGAGGCATGGTAGGTGCACTCGTCCAGGGCGACACACTTATACATGTGTCCATGTGTTACAATCAGTAAAGGTCATGCTTCAAGTCCCTTGATGAGATGACTAAGAGTGACCCCATGAAGACCCAGATCTGTTGTCATAATGGATGAGTGAGTGAGTATGGTTTTACGCCGCTTTTAGCAATATTCCAGCAATAATATCACGGCGGGGGACACCAGAAATGGACTTCACACATTGTACCCATGTCGAGAATCGAACCCGGGTCTTCGGGGTGACGAGCGAACGCTTTAACCACTAGGCTACCCGACTGCCCCTCAGAATGGATGAGGTGGCAGAGCTCCAGATAACGTTTTGAGCAATTGAGTTTTTACTCTAGGGTTTCTGTTGTAAATGGGTTTTTACATTTTTCATTAGGTAACCAGTATTGGTTCACTCACCTATTCATCACTCTATTGGGAATTTCCCAAAATTAGTGAACAATTTAAGATTTAAAAAAAATGAAATAATGTTATAGATGTATATAACTGTTCTAAATATATAGGCTTGACTCGGAAAGTAAATTAGCTTGTAATTGTGTTTCGGAAATTAGTTCCTTTGTATGCATGCTGAAAAACCTTCATTGGGTATTTAAGCGAGCTGTTTTTATACATTTGAGTTTTTCATTTAATGCATGCGTTTCTTTAAGTAATTGGGCTTTGAATATTTGTTTGTGGGGGGGGGCAGGGTCTTTGCTCAAAAGTTCATCATCTGTGTACAGGCCGTCAGGTGACACCGTAGCCACGCATCCCTATCTCAGCCTGCTCCGATGCAGCAGTCCAAGCGCTGTTTTCACAATTGTTAATCCCAATAAAGTGATGACTCCTTTGTCTTAGAGCACAGCCACACTTGAGTTGAAAGAACAGACAAACCTGTCAATCCTCCCACAGTTTTGCGGGAGACTCCCGCAATTTGACGAAATCTTCCAGTCCCCTGCATGAGAGACTATTGAGGAACAGAGATACATGAGATACGGAGATATGGCCGTCCCAGTTATACATGACTTTTTGGTTATCAGATTTGTCAGAAACTTTGTTAAAACATCAATATGCCTCAAAGTTACGCCATTAAACTCTCGGAAATGAAAACAAAATATGATCAAAAAGCGCCAACTTCAGAAACAACACGATGCGTGATTGATTGATTCGGCAGTCAAAACAACATGTAACATGATCAGGCTTCCTCATAGCAATGATTTCAAAGTCATTGAATGAAAGTGATATTGCTAGATTCTTGGAGGAGGAAAATGCAAACAGAAATTAAGTAAACTGTAATACGAGAAAATAATTATTTATTGTTTTAAAATATTTTGTTTTCTTAATAACAACAATAAAAATAAAAGTTGAAAATTATCTTATCTCCACTATTTTCAAAGTCTCCCCCTTTGGAGGCAAACCTCCCCCATTTTAGAGTCAAATCTCCCCAATGGTCATGATGAGGGGTTGACAGGTCTCAAGAACAGAAGATCACTGAACTTTTTGTATACAGTGAACATTTTGTCACAATTAGCACTTCTCTCTTTCCACTCCACTCCAATCCACGTACAGGTGCCTGTGTCAACATCAAGGTGCCCGCAACCTGAGAGACACTGTTCTATGAAGGTGTTTGCCTGGAGTACATTACTGATCCATGATTGTTCTACACAAGACCCAGTAGAGACACTTTAATGTGTTGTGTAATTACATCCTGCTCCTGCTGATACAACCTGTCTCCCGCCTCTAAGTACACACAAGTGTAGAGAAGGGACGCATCCAAACAACATACTGCGTCCCGGGGGACAGCCACAGTCATATTCATTGTACTGCCAGGGCATTGAGAGCAGGTATGGGTGTCTGTCATTTCATCCATCAATCATGACTACTGTCCACATGATCATTGATTCAATCCAGGCTCTAAACATACAGTACACTACACCATGTCTTTACTTTGCAGGACCTCATATTTCCTTCAAGGGCGGTCGGGTAGCCTAGTGGTTAAAGCGTTCGCTCGTCACGCCAAAGACCCGGGTTCGATTCCCGACATGGGTACAATGTGTGAAGCCCATTTCTGGTGTCCCCCGCCGTGATATTGCTGGAATATTGCTAAAAGCGGCGTAAAACCATACTTACCCACTCCACTATTTCCTTCAAGGACCCATAAAATCAATAACTTTTTTAGTAAGTCAAGGTAAAACCCTCCTTATTCATATTCTGTAGAAATTGTTCGAATGTTCTGTGGAATCAGTGAAATTTCTGTAGCACTCCTGTTGGCTGCCTGAAAAATATATTGCTGCACTCGAGAATAAATGTAAAAAAATAACCCACTTGGGTTTGGAAACCTATGACCTATATTTTGTGAGAGTAATTTGATGTTTTACAATTGTTATCCCAATATTTTAACATATCTGGTTGTATTTCCCGTATTTGTTTTCAATAATGGGCACATAAATATGAAGAAGTGGAAAGAACTAAGTGTTAATGACTGCTTCTATTGTATTGACGAGAGACGTGAAGTTGTTGTCAGCCACTTGAGTGAAGTGTGCGGTAAATACCCTGTAACACCATATGTAACAGTGTCTGTCTGACCTGTGATACCATTGTGTCTAGTGTCAAGTGATTAAACATATATCACTTCTAACAGCTCACTAGGAGCTTGATGTGAGATGATCCTACAACTGTTGTGTTTACAGTGTGTCTGTTTTGTTTGTTTGTTTGTTGTTTAATGCTGCACGCAGCAATATTCTAGCTATATGACGACGAACAATCATATAGTGATGTAGCTCCAAAGTGCACTTCAGTTTTGTTTGCTCAAGTACATTTATTTCTGATGGGGGGGGGGGGGGGGCACGGGTGGCATTTCCCTGTGCAGAGTTGCGTCCCTTGGGCACGCCAGAAACCTATGATTGTGGGTTCGAATACCGGTTTACCCCGATTATGTTCCTAGGTTTGTCAGCACCATACCCATGCTCGTGGGTTTCACCGAAGTGGTAAACGTCTGAAACCTGCATCACTTCGGGCTTTCCTCCCACATTAAGCTGACACGCTGCGAAATAACTGTAATACTGTTAAAAGCGGCGTTAAACCCAACTCACTCACTCATTATTTGTGATGGAAGTTTTCACAAATATACTCACATAGGTCCTCAGATAGTTTCTTGTAGCCTGACTTACTGATATGCTTCCCTCCATCATGGTGATGTTTCAGGTGGTAGGAATTGGAGTTTCAATATGGCTGCCAGGGCGGACATATTGAAGAAAAAAACACTATATATGTCTATTACTCAGCTATTGTTGCTGAAAGTGTCATGAGATTTGGTATATGTTTTGTGTGTAGTTGGACTAAACATTTTTTGCAATATTTAAAATTTTGACCTTGATATGACCTTTTTGTTTTGATCTTGCTCTTATGAAATTGCCCGATTGCGGAAGGTGAACTTTGAAGAACCGTATTCGACGTAATAAGCTCCCCACTCTAATAAGCGCCCATGGCGATATTTGCTAATATATTGGCTAGTGAACAATCCCAATTAGCACCCTTTCCAATTGATCAATGTAGACAAGACTTATTCATTGGCATAAAATACACACCGTGTGTTATATGCACCCTTAATTATGGGGAATTTAATTCTGGAAAAATATATCTGTCGTACATAAACATTTCAGGCTGTCAGCATAAACCGCGAAATTTATCTTTCAACTCTAATATTCTAATAAGAGCCCCCTATTGCTAATTTTGTGAGCGCCCTGGGCGCTTATTACGTCGAATACAGTATATTCCTTCTGTAGTGTTACTTGTCCTCCCTCGATATTTATGCAGAATGTCAGTGTTGACAGCAGTTTGTCTTAAGTGGTTCTTTTTGTTGACATTTTAAACTGTAACATATACAGGCACATCTTCCACTTGTCCTTTCATCAAAGTCTTGTTTCCACCCTTGCCACATCAAACCCACTTTCCTGTGCTAAATACGATTGGACTTTCCCACATATCGAAAGTCAGAGAACGTGATATACACAGGGTGGCGCCAGGGTTCAGCCAGGAAAAGTGGCCTTGATGTGGCATGGGTAGAAACTAGGCTTTGATATAGGCTAGTGGATACGTTTACCTTGGGAAGATCAGTGAATGGGTGAGTAAGTATGGTTTTACTCCGCTTTTAGCAATATTCCAGCAATATCATGACAGGGGACACCAGACATGGGCTTCACACATTGTACCCATGTTGGGAATCAAACCCGGGTCTTTAGCGTGATGAGCGAACGCTTTAACCACTAGGCTACCCGACCTCCTCCTCGGAAAGATGGTGCAGGTCAGTAATAGTTAGACAGGCTGGTCAGTTTTCCTGCAGATCGTGTTTGTTTTGTACTCCAGGTATGAGATGGAGAACAAGTACTTCAAGGATTTACTCAAACTTGAGAGGAACATGAAGACCAAAGAAGATGTAGGGTAAGTTAGAAAAGACAAAAATTGGAAAAGACAAAAATTAGAAAAGACAAAATTAGAAAAGATTCTATTGGACATGTTTTTTTAAAATTTTTGCAAACATCTGTTAATTCCATCTGCAATGTCACTCCAGCTTGAATGTTGGTCACGGACACACCATCCAGGTAACAGAACTGTTGTTATAGATACGAAACTGTACAACTTTGTGGAGAACAACTTCTGGTTTATTGCATATGGCGATGTTTCGATGAAGATTCTTACATTGTAGAGGGATAACGGTGTAAGAATCTACATGGAAACGTCGCGCTGTGCAACAAACCAAATGTTATTATCCTTAAGATGGTACCTTGTTTTTATTTCCTTGACAACTTCTAGAATGCCAGTCAAACAATTTTCATGGAGTCTGATGCAGACTTGACACCATCTACCCATGCTCCATCACGTAAACTTAGGAAATAACCTCCAGTTTTTAGATCATGTGCTTTTAACTATAGTAAATATTGTGATAGTGTCAGATATTGATGCAGGGTGTCTGAATGTCTGATCTTGATGCAGGGTGTTCCAGTGTCTGATCTTGATGCAGAGTGCCTTTGTGTCTGATCTTGATGCAGGGTGTCTTTGTGTCTCTTGATGCAGTGTGTCTGAGTGTCTGATCTTGTAGGGTGTCTAAGTCACAGATCTTGATGCAGGGTGTTCCAGTGTCTGACCTTGATGCAGGGTGTCTGAGTGTCTGATCTTGTAGGGTGTCTAAGTGTCAGATCTTGATGCAGGGTGTTCCTGTGTCTGATCTTGATGCAGGGTGTCTGAATGTCTGATCTTGATGCAGGTGTCTTAATGTCTGATCTTGATGCAGGTGTCTTAATGTCTGATCTTGATGCAGGGTGTCGTAATGTCTGATCTTGATGCAGGGTGTTCCAGTGTCTGATCTTGATGCAGAGTGTCTTTGTGTCTGATCTTGATGCAGGGTGTCCCAGTGTCTGATCTTGATGCAGGGTGTCTTAATGTCTGATCTTGATGCAGGGTGTTCCAGTGTCTGATCTTGATGCAGGGTGTCTGAATGTCTGATCTTGTAGGGTGTCTAAGTGTCAGATCTTGATGCAGGGTGTTCCAGTGTCTGATCTTGATGCAGGTGTCTTAATGTCTGATCTTGATGCAGAGTGTCTTAATGTCTGATCTTGATGCAGGGTGTCTTTGTGTATGATCTTGATGCAGGTTTCTTAATGTCTGATCTTGATGCAGGGTGTCTTTGTGTCTGATCTTGATGCAGGGTGTCTTTGTGTCTGATCTTGATGCAGGGTGTCTGAATGTCTGATCTTGTAGGGTGTCTAAGTGTCAGATCTTGATGCAGGGTGTTCCAGTGTCTGATCTTGATGCAGGTGTCTTAATGTCTGATCTTGATGCAGGTTTCTTAATGTCTGATCTTGATGCAGGGTGTCTTTGTGTCTGATCTTGATGCAGGGTGTTCCAGTGTCTGATCTTGATGCAGGGTGTCTGAATGTCTGATCTTGTAGGGTGTCTAAGTGTCAGATCTTGATGCAGGGTGTTCCAGTGTCTGATCTTGATGCAGGTGTCTTAATGTCTGATCTTGATGCAGGTGTCTTAATGTCTGATCTTGATGCAGGGTGTCTTTGTGTATGATCTTGATGCAGGTTTCTTAATGTCTGATCTTGATGCAGGGTGTCTTTGTGTCTGATCTTGATGCAGGATGTCTTTGTGTCTGATATTGATGCAGGGTGTCTGAACGTCTGATCTTGATGCAGGGTGTCCCAGTGTCTGATATTGATGCAGGGTGTCTTGGTGTCTCATCTTGTTGTAGAATGTCTGATCGTATATGGTGTCTGAATGTCTGATCTTGATGCAGGGTGTCTTTGTGTCTGATCTTGATGCAGGGTGTTCCAGTGTCTGATCTTGATGCAGGGTGCCCTAGTGTCTGATCTTGATACATGGTTGCCTGGCCTTGTTGCAATGTGTCTGAGTGTCTGATCTTGATGCATGGTTGCCTGGCCTTGTTGCAATGTGTCTGATTTTGATACAGGATGTCTTGGTGTCTCATCTTGTTGTAGAATGTCTGATCGTATATGGTGTCTGAGTGTCTGATCTTGTTTTAGAATGTCTGATCTTGTATGGTATCTGATTTTCTGATCTTGTTGCAGGGTGTCTGATTATCTGATCTTGTAGTGTGCCTGAGTATCTAATCTTGTAGGGTAACCGAGTGTCTGATTTTGTTGCAGGATAACAGTGTCTGAACTTGTAAGGTGTCTGATCATATTGAAGGCAGACTGTGTGCCTGATCTTGTTGTCTGAGTGTCTGATCTTGTTGCAAGTTGACTGAGTGTCTAATCTTGTTGGAGATAATCTGATCTTGTTGTAGGGTGCCTGAGCATCTGATCTTGTAGGGTATTGGAGTGTCTGATCTTGTAGGATATTGGAGTGTCTGATGTTGTAGGGTACTGGAGTGTTTTATCTTGTAGGGTATTGGAGTGTCTGATCTTGTAGGGTATTGGAGTGTCTGATTTTGTAAGGTGTCTGAGTGTCTGATCTTGTAGGGTATTGGAGTGTCTGATCTTGTAGGGTGTCTGAGTGTCTGATCTTGTAGGATGCCTGAATGTCTGGTCTTGTAGGGTGTCTGAGTGTCTGATCTTGTAGGGTGTCTGAGTGTCTGATCTTGTTGTAGGGTGTCTGAATGTCTGAACTAGTAGGGTTCCTGAGTGTCTGATGTTGTAGGGTATTGGAGTGTCTGATGTTGTAGGGTGTCTGAGTGTCTGATCATGTAGGGTATTGGAGTGTCTGATCTTGTAGGGTGTTTGAGTGTCTGATCTTGTTGCAGAGTGTCTGAATGTCTGAACTAGTAGGGTTCCTGAGTGTCTGATCTTGTAGGGTGTCTGAGTGTCTGATCGTGTAGGGTATTGGAGTGTCTGATCTTGTAGGGTATCTGAGTGTCTGATCTTGTAGGGAGCATGAGTGTCAGATCTTGTAGGGAGCATGAGTGTCTGATCTTGTAGGGTATCTGAGTGTCTGAGCTTGTAGGGAGCATGAGTGTCTGATCTTGTAGGGAGCATGAGTGTCTGATTTTGTAGGGTATCTGAGTGTCTGATCTTGTAGGGAGCATGAGTGTCTGATCTTGTAGGGAGCATGAGTGTCTGATCTTGTAGGGTGTCTGAGTGTCTGATCTTGTAGGGTATCTGAGTGTCTGATCTTGTAGGGTATTGGAGTGTCTGATGTTGTAGGGTGTCTGAGTGTCTGATCATGTAGGGTATTGGAGTGTCTGATCTTGTAGGGTGTTTGAGTGTCTGATCTTGTTGCAGAGTGTATGAATGTCTGAACTAGTAGGGTTCCTGAGTGTCTGATCTTGTAGGGTGTCTGAGTGTCTGATCTTGTAGGGTATTGGAGTGTCTGATCTTGTAGGGTATCTGAGTGTCTGATCTTGTAGGGAGCATGAGTGTCTGATCTTGTAGGGAGCATGAGTGTCTGATCTTGTAGGGTGTCTGAGCGTCTGATCTTGTAGGGAGCATGAGTGTCTGATCTTGTAGGGGGCATGAGTGTCTGATCTTGTAGGGTATCTGAGTGTCTGATCTTGTAGGGAGCATGAGTGTCTGATCTTGTAGGGAGCATGAGTGTCTGATCTTGTAGGGTATCTGAGTGTCTGATCTTGTAGGGAGCATGAGTGTCTGATCTTGTAGGGTGTCTGAGTGTCTGATCTTGTAGGGAGCATGAGTGTCTGATCTTGTAGGGTGTCTGAGTGTCTGATCTTGTAGGGTATCTGAGTGTCTGATCTTGTAGGGAGCATGAGTTTCTGATCTTGTAGGGTATCTGAGTGTCTGATCTTGTAGGGAGCATGAGTGTCTGATCTTGTAGGGTATCTGAGTGTCTGATCTTGTAGGGAGCATGAGTGTCTGATCTTGTTGCAGGGTTCTTGAGAAGTCTTGGAACAAGCTGAAGCAGGAGGTGGAAAAGATGGTGCAGATCCACCAAGATGCTGCCGCCAACTTCCAGAAACAGATGGAAGATGTCAAGAAGTTCAACGAGGCCCAGACTGTGAAAAAGAAAGCTGTGAGTTCATTTCAGATCCTATGCATGGATTTGACAACTGGATAGAAACTTGAGCTGTAGGCTCATGTCCGTTCCTCAGAATGGTGTTGACAGTGGGACTTGAACTTAATAGATAGGCTCATGTCCTTTGCTGTAAATGGTCTTGACATTTTGCCTTGAACTTGAGATATAGGCCAATGTCCGTTCCTATAAATTGTGTTGACAGTTGGCCTTGAACTTGAGATATAGGCCAATGTCTGTTCCTACAAATGGTGTTGACAGTTGGCCTTGAACATGAGATAAAGGCCAATGTCTGTTCTTATAAATGGTGTTGTCAGCTGGACTAGAACCTGAGCTGTAGGTTGATGTCAGGGCCTATATGGTGGTGTCAGCTGGACTAGAACCTGAGCAGTAGGTTGATGTCAGGGCCTATAAATGGTGTTGTCAGCTGGACGTCATCTATCATACATGGCTATACAACAGAGAAAGACGGCACACAATGTGGGGTTTCTACATGACATGGCTTTACAACAGAGAAAGACGGCACACAATGTGGGGTTTCTACATGACATGGCTTTACAACAGAGAAAGACGGCACACAATGTGGGGTTTCTACATGACATGGCTTTACAACAGAGAAAGACTGCACACAACGTGGGGTTTCTACATGACATAGCTTTACAACGGAGAAAGACTGCACACAATGTGGGGTTTCTACATGACATGGCTATACGACAGAGAAAGACGGCACACAATGTGGGGTTTCTACATGACATAGCTACGTGAGTTGCTTGGCAGATCTTGTGTCCCAGTTACCTACAGTGTAGATTGATGCTCATGCTGTCAATCTCCGGTTTGCCTGGCACAGGACTGATCACGCCATTATGACTGAGCTGGATTATTGCTACTTGTGGCATAACACAAGGTGTGTTTTGTATACCATGTAGCTATGGTTACAGCAGCCCCTCAATATCCTTGTCAACAGCTTTTCTATATATTACTACCAGGAGATACGGATATGTGTCTTCTTTTGATATCATTTTTTATTTGACATCATTAGTTTTAATTAGTTTTTAGTTCTCACTAAGAGTATCAAATTTTGTTCTGTGTCTGTGTTTGGTGAACTACAGCTCTATGGCACCATTTTGTTTTTTTTCAGGCAGAAGAAAACTTGAAGAAATACCAGAGCAACAAGAACAGTCAGTACTCCAGGTGTATGAATGTAGGTTCTTCCTCAGTGTCATCTGGTCTACCTGTGGGTATTTAGGGTCAGAATAGGTCCTTAGTACCTCATGCTTGTCTCCCTGTGGGTGTACCGGGTCAGAATAGGCCCCAAATACATCATGCCTGTCTCCCAGTGTGTTTTCTGGGTCAGCATAGGCCCCAAGAAGCTCATGCTTGTCTCCAATGTGTGTAAACCTATGATTGTGGGTTCGTGCTCGTGGGTTTCACCGAAGTGGTAAACATCTGAGACCTGCATCACTTCGGGCTTTCCTCCCACACTAAGCTGACACGCCGTGATATAACTGTCATAATGTTAAAAGCTCACTCACTCACTACTCATATTCAAGAGATATTAGATTGGTTCGATGCACAAATGAACATACTGGTATGTTGTGTGAACCGATGTTCATGAACGCATCACATGTGACGTCACAGATCCAAGACTCGAGATGCACCATTTGCGTATAAAGCTTATGTGCAGTATTTGTGACAAGGATAAAGTCACTTTGTGGAAACACTCAACTGATTGTTAGTTTTGTCATTGAATGGTACACATTGGAAACATCTCTTCTTAACACACATACATTTATATAAGTTTGAGTGGTGTGTGTTTCTTTTGGCAGCGAGTATATATATATATATATATATAGGTTTTGCCATAAAAGCACCCAACACAAGTAAACTCTCCGCAACCAACTTCTCTACCAATCTGCAATTGGTCTCTCTTAGCGCCTTCCTAAGACCAAAAGTTTCTTGACAGTCAGTAAGGGCAATCAGGTAGCCAAGTGGTTAAAGCGTTCGCTTGTCACACCGAAGACCCAGGTTCGATTCCCGACATGGGTACAATGTGTGAAGCACATTTCTGGTGTCCCCAGCTGTGATATTGCTGGAATATTGCTAAAAGCGGCTTAAAACCATACTCACTCACTCACTCATCTGCTCTAAGGAAACCAGTGGTTAACAGCATGAGCACCATTATATGCCGTCCGTGCACAATGTAATACGCTCAGTCAATGCTGGAATATTGCTAAAAGCTGCGTAAAACCAAACTCACTCACTCATGATAGTCTGTATTGCTTGTGTAGGTTTTGGAACATTTACAGCAGCACAGAAGGGGAACGATAACGATAATTAAAAAATTCATCAACATTTCGTAGGAGGTTTGTTCACTGCCTCTCTTTGTATGGATTTAATAAGAGCCACCCTTTATGAACTGTCTAATCACTCAGGGCTCTTCTTACAACAAATACAATACATCTCAAGCTGCTGTGAATAATCTTTGAATTGTCTTGATTTTCAGAATCATAAAAACTACAAAGACAAATGTCGAGAGAAGGACACTGCATCAGAAAACTACAGTGTCCTTAGGTCTAGTGTCACGGTTCAGGCAAAGGAACTTGAGAAGGTGAGTGAAGTACCCAGCTTGATTTTACCTCAAGCAATGTCTTGTGTCACGGTTCAGGCCAAGGAACTAGAGCTAAGTGTAGGAACCAGCTTGATTTAACCTCAAACAATGTCTTGTGTCACAGTTCAGGCCAAGGAACTAGAGCTAAGTGTAGTACCCAGCTTGATTTAACCTCAAGCAATGTCTTGTGTCACGGTTCAGGCCAAGGAACCAGAGCTAAGTGTAGTACCCAGCTTGATTTAACCTCAAGCAATGTCTAGTGTCACGGTTCAGGCCAAGGAACTAGAGCTCAGTGTAGGAACCTGCTTGATTTAACCTCAAGCAATGTCTTGTGTCACAGTTCAGGCCAAGGAACTAGGGCTAAGTGTAGTACCCAGCTTGATTTAACCTCAAGCAATGTCTAGTGTCACGGTTCAGGCCGAGGAACTAGAGCTAAGTGTAGTACCCAGCTTGATTTAACCTCAAGCAATGTCTAGTGTCACAGTTCAGGCCAAGGAACTAGAGCTAAGTGTAGTACCCAGCTTGATTTAACCTCAAGCAATGTCTAGTGTCACAGTTCAGGCCAAGGAACTAGGGCTAAGTGTAGTACCCAGCTAGATTTAACCTCAAGCAATGTCTAGTGTCACGGTTCAGGCCAAGGAACCAGAGCTAAGTGTAGGAACCAGCTTGATTTAACCTCAAGCAATGTCTAGTGTCACAGTTCAGGCCAAGGATCTAGAGCTAAGTGTAGGAACCAGCTAGATTTAACCTCAAGCAATGTCTAGTGTCACGGTTCAGGCCAAGGAACTAGGGCTAAGTGTAGTACCCAGCTAGATTTAACCTCAAGCAATGTCTAGTGTCACGGTTCAGGCCAAGGAACCAGAGCTAAGTGTAGTACCCAGCTTGATTTAACCTCAAGCAATGTCTAGTGTCATGGTTCAGGCCAAGGAACTAGAGCTCAGTGTAGTACCCAGCTAGATTTAACCTCAAGCAATGTCTAGTGTCACGGTTCAGGCCGAGGAACTAGAGCTAAGTGTAGTACCCAGCTTGATTTAACCTCAAGCAATGTCTAGTGTCACGGTTCAGGCCAAGGAACTAGAGCTAAGTGTAGTACCCAGCTTGATTTAACCTCAAGCAATGTCTTGTGTCACGGTTCAGGCCAAGGAACTAGAGCTAAGTGTAGTACCCAGCTTGATTTAACCTCAAGCAATGTCTAGTGTCACGGTTCAGGTCAAGGAACTAGAGCTAAGTGTAGTACCCAGCTTGATTTAACCTCAAGCAATGTCTAGTGTCACGGTTCAGGCCAAGGAACCAGAGCTAAGTGTAGTACCCAGCTTGATTTAACCTCAAGCAATGTCTAGTGTCATGGTTCAGGCCAAGGAACTAGAGCTAAGTGTAGTACCCAGCTAGATTTAACCTCAAGCAATGTCTAGTGTCACGGTTCAGGCCAAGGAACTAGGGCTAAGTGTAGTACCCAGCTTGATTTAACCTCAAGCAATGTCTTGTGTCACGGTTCAGGCCAAGGAACTAGAGCTAAGTGTAGGAACCAGCTTGATTTAACCTCAAGCAATGTCTAGTGTCACAGTTCAGGCCAAGGAACTAGAGCTAAGTGTAGTACCCAGCTTGATTTAACCTCAAGCAATGTCTAGTGTCACAGTTCAGGCCAAGGAACTAGGGCTAAGTGTAGTACCCAGCTAGATTTAACCTCAAGCAATGTCTAGTGTCACGGTTCAGGCCAAGGAACCAGAGCTAAGTGTAGGAACCAGCTTGATTTAACCTCAAGCAATGTCTAGTGTCACAGTTCAGGCCAAGGATCTAGAGCTAAGTGTAGGAACCAGCTAGATTTAACCTCAAGCAATGTCTAGTGTCACGGTTCAGGCCAAGGAACTAGGGCTAAGTGTAGTACCCAGCTAGATTTAACCTCAAGCAATGTCTAGTGTCACGGTTCAGGCCAAGGAACTAGGGCTAAGTGTAGTACCCAGCTTGATTTAACCTCAAGCAATGTCTAGTGTCACGGTTCAGGCCAAGGAACTAGGGCTAAGTGTAGTACCCAGCTAGATTTAACCTCAAGCAATGTCTAGTGTCACAGTTCAGGCCAAGGAACTAGAGCTTAGTGTAGTACCCAGCTTGATTTAACCTCAAGCAATGTCTTGTGTCACGGTTCAGGCCAAGGAACTAGAGCTAAGTGTAGGAACCAGCTAGATTTAACCTCAAGCAATGTCTAGTGTCACGGTTCAGGCCAAGGAACTAGAGCTAAGTGTAGTACCCAGCTTGATTTAACCTCAAGCAATGTCTTGTGTCACGGTTCAGGCCAAGGAACTAGAGCTAAGTGTAGGAACCAGCTAGATTTAACCTCAAGCAATGTCTAGTGTCACAGTTCAGGCCAAGGAACTAGAGCTAAGTGTAGTACCCAGCTTGATTTAACCTCAAGCAATGTCTAGTGTCATGGTTCAGGCCAAGGAACTAGGGCTAAGTGTAGTACCCAGCTAGATTTAACCTCAAGCAATGTCTTGTGTCACAGTTCAGGCCAAGGAACTAGGGCTAAGTGTAGTACCCAGCTAGATTTAACCTTAAGCAATGTCTAGTGTCACAGTTCAGGCCAAGGAACTAGAGCTAAGTGTAGTACCCAGCTAGATTTAACCTCAAGCAATGTCTTGTGTCACGGTTCAGGCCAAGGAACTAGGGCTAAGTGTAGTACCCAGCTAGATTTAACCTCAAGCAATGTCTAGTGTCACGGTTCAGGTCAAGGAACTAGAGCTAAGTGTAGTACCCAGCTTGATTTAACCTCAAGCAATGTCTTGTGTCACGGTTCAGGCCAAGGAACTAGAGCTAAGTGTAGTACCCAGCTAGATTTAGCCTCAAGCAATGTCTAGTGTCACGGTTCAGGCCAAGGAACTAGAGCTAAGTGTAGGAACCAGCTTGATTTAACCTCAAGCAATGTCTAGTGTCACGGTTCAGGTCATGAAACTATTTTTACAACATTAAAAGCATGTTTTACATTGAGGTTTTGTTTTCAGCATTTTAACTCTAGGGCCTTTAGATCTTCATTGACCGAAGGGAGCGCCTCCGTTGTCTAGTGCTAAAGCGGAATGTCCGGGGTTCGCTCTCCGTCCGTGTCATACCAGAGATGTTCAATAATATACTTGTTGTTACTGGCGCTCTGCATTAAGGGGCTAAAACAAGGAAACTGCAGCATGATATCTCAGTGGGCTAGCACTGTTGTCTGACCAGCACAAGCAGCTACAAACCTTTCACACGTGCATGCACGTCACTATGTAAGTGCAATAATCTCGGACGCGACATGAAACCCTTCTTCACCTCACCTCCATGACAATGGTCAACAAGACCCATGAAGATCCGGGTAAAAAACGGTCTTCAGTAGCCCATGCTTTCTGACTAACGGGATCGGGTGGTCAGGCTCACAGACTTAGTTGATGCATGTCATTGTATCCCAATTGCGTGGATCGATGCTCATGATGTCAATCACTGGATTGTCGGGTCCAGACTCGATTATTTACAGACCGCCATCATATAGCTGGACTATTGCTGAGTGCAGCATTAAACAACAAACAACATCATGGTCAACTATGGTTTCTGATGATGGTGTACCATGGTAAGAAATGTCGGTGTCCACAGTTTTGCGTCATGGTGTCATGGTCCGCAGTGGTGTTATTTCAGCTGGGCAGAGTTCACGGCTGTGTGTTAGGAAATGTTCTTTATTTGGCACCATTCCTCCAAGTGATCTTAGCAATATGGCTGTTGTAAAATATTTTGAATACTGGGTGTGGTGATTGCCTTTGTTCTAAGATTGCTTCAAAATCTATGTTGAGTTATTGGAGTTACGATCACCTTAGCCCTAAGATTGCTTCAAAATCCATGTTGAAGTATTGGAGTTACGATCACCTTAGCGCTAGGATCACTTCAAAATCTATGTTGAAGTATTGGAGTTACGATAACCTTAGTGCTAAGATCACTACAAAATCCATGTTGAAGTATTGAAGTTACGATTACCTTAGCGCTAAGATCACTTCAAAATCTGTGTTGAAGAATTGGAGTTACAATCACCAAAGCACTAAGATCACTTCAAAATCTATGTTGAAGTATTGGAGTTGAACCATTATGTGTTTATTTTTTTATTTCAGGCAAGTAAAGCAAAAACAAAAGCAGATGATGACGCTGCTAAAGCAGGTAATAAATTCATTCCTTTGGTCATTTTACTGAATATTTATGTACCACAGGGCTGGATGCAAAAGGAGAAAATGTAAAGTTGATGGGAGGTTAACTTCTTAAAAATACCTCTTGAAATAAAAAGTATAACGATTGGAAATGTCTTAAATGTGGATTGACATAAAACTGCAAGAATGTTCAGAGTGGCGTTAAGTACAAGCCGATCATGATGAACAAAATACGAAAACCCATAAGAGGAAAAAAAATTATGATAAGTAATGACATCAATTATTGTCTAGAAAGTTAACACTTAAATTGGTGTTTGATTTCTACCTTTTCACTTTTAATATAATCCGTCAAAATGAGAACCTTTTGACAACAAAATAATGAATATATTTATGTTATTGTGTGTTTTGGCTGCAGTTAGTCAAATCCGTAATCTGAAATAGAAGGAAGTGCTGCCTATGGGACCAGTTCAAAAGTTCAATGTTGGATAAAAATCTTTATTCCTTAAGTTCAGGGGTGGGGCCCTGCAAGTTTTCCATCCAACAGAATCGACTTAGCTGATTTCTCAATGTTTTATAAAGCAACTAAAGTGAGGAAACACTATTTCCTATATTTTTCACGAGATCACCATCGACATCGGTGAGTTGAGAGAAAAAGCAGTTAACTCGGCCCCCAAGCTCATAAAACCACTGGTAATGTAAACCGTAACAATAGGATTCACCAGGCATGTGCTGTTAGGAGTTCACATCAAATATATCCCGTCTATCCACTATATGGTGTTTTGGCCTCGCGACAGTATATTTGTGAGTATTACAAGGAATTCAGTATTTTCAGAATTAATTATGGGGGTGGGGGGAGGTTGACGGGGGTGGGGGAAGTTTCAAAACTTAAAGAATTAAGTTTTTAAACTTACATTGAACTTTTGAACTGGTCCCTAAGTGTATTTCCAGCATTCACTAACATTCCCCAACTCCCCATCTCCAAGACAGATCGCCATGTTACAAAAAACTGCCACTCCCTAAACACCGCTGTTTGCGGATTGCACACAAGGACAGGAGCTGACATTAGTGTCTGGGATTGTGAGAGTTGTGTATGTCACCAGGGCGATCACTCCGCAAACACACAAGTCAAGGCAGCGAGTCTGCCTTTGCCTCACAGGGCGAGCTACGCACTATGACGATGGCGGGTCAATGTTGAAGTATGGTAGGTGAGAATATCGAGGCAGAGCGCTGTCTGCTGTAAGGATGTGAAGGTGATGACAATACCTTTCTCCCTAAACTGAAGTGAACATTGCCCTCTTCTACGGAGACAGTTGTTTGGTTGGCCTAAGAAAGACAGCTGTCTGTTTATATCACTATTTGCCCATCTTACTTTTGAGATGTCTGTTTCAAATTTGATGTTCATACTTATAGAGAAAGTTAGAAATATTAGATTTTCGTTCACATATTTGTCGCTTGTGTGAAAGCAGCCCCGAGTGTTACAAGGAAGTTGAACTGTATGAAGGAGCAAAAGTATTTTGCATATAAAGATTATTATTTTTGACATCATAGTCACTTTGCTCTCTCTGAAATGGTGTTTAACATTTCTTTCGATATTATTGCACTTATTTAATGATGTGTGTGTGTGCATGGCTGCTTGTGCCTCAGTTTAAAATGAATACCCCACTTTATATCACAGTATACTGACTCCTATCCGACCAGGCAGGGAAACAATAAGAACCATCTTTAAAGTGTTTTGATTTGATGTGATCAAACCGCGAACCTTCCGTTCTCTGGGCAAATGCTCTATTCACACGACCATGATGTGGTCTACCATTTTGAGGGGAAAAGTGATTTATTTGTATTATTTGGACAACAGTTTACCCATTTTAATGACTTAACTAATGTAAGGCTTACAAATTGTAAGACTTTTGAAAATATAGTGCGAGGGGCTGGTGGTGTTTTTTTTTTTTTTTTGCTTGTTCAAACTGGTATGTAACCAAATAAACAGTTGTGTACCATCAACCTGGGAAAGGGCCTCCCTACATAAACAAGCATACAAACTCCTATTGCTGCCATTACCATAGACTAACATATAGTCTCTGAAATGAACATATCGTACAGAAAAAACAGTTATAACAAATAAATATAACAAAAAGGGAGCCCAGTAATTCTCTTCATTTTCAGATACTGCTGTAATCTAGACTTGCCAAACATTATAGACTTGCATGGGCTGAAGTTGATATATTTGTATCAGGGTCTGTAAGACAGACTACCATTACCATAAACAGTGCACATGTAAAGGGAAGTGCTATATTGGAGAACATCATTTTTAAGTACCGGACTTTTATATTTTTGCGGCCGACTTTATGATGATGTGGGCGGTGGCGGAGAACCAAGACTATTATTTTTTTAGCCTAAAGAAAGAAATATTGTTTTAACTGTTTTCTGAGTCTGCAGTGTTGCAATGGCCCTGTTTGTGGGCTTTTTTGCTGCATCAGTTTGCTGAGTTTGATGTTTGTTATGCATGTTAGGATTTGAACTACTGACATTGTTTGTATTTCCAGAAACAGCATACAAGAGTTCCCTTGACACCCTGGAGAGCGCACGTGATCTCTGGGAGAAAGAGATGCAGGCATCTTGTAATGTAAGCTCAACAGAGTGATCTCCCCTGTGTGTTGTCTCGAAGGCCTCATGGTTCCTGTGCCTTCCACTGTCATGCTGCTAGTGTTGCTTGTCATAAGCCCCAGCTCACTCATTCACTCACTGAAAAATGGGGCAGTCTGGTAGCTTAGTGGTTAAAGCGTTAACCCGTCTCACCGAAGACCCGGGTTCGATTCCCAACATGGGTACAGCGTGTGAAGCCCATTTCTGGTGTTCCCTGCCATGATATTGCCGAAATATTGCAAAAAGCGGCATAAAACCAAACTCACTCACTTACTACTGAAAATTAATAATGAATTGAAACATGAATGGAGACATGGAATATTGTGTGTTTTCTCTCTGGGAGTTATGACAGCTCTGTGGAAAGGGCATCAGTTGTGCCATAGTCATGGGTTCAAATCCCAGATTGCCTTGATTTTGATCTTTGATTTGTTAATACCGCACATGTGTTCATAATCACTGACATGAATTGATATAGCAGCATTTAAAGCCAACTTGTTTACTCATATCCTGTGTTGACTTTCGAGCAGAGTCATGTCCCTTGGGCATGCCAGGAGACTGTGCTTGAGGGTTCGAATCCCAGTTCGCCCTGATGTTTCTAGGTTTGTCAGCACCATAAGCATGCTCGGGTGTTTCACCAATTGGTAAACGTCTGAGACCTGCATCACTTCAGGCTTTCACCCACATTAAGCTGACACGCTATTACATAACTGGAATACTGTTAAAAGCAGCATTGAACCCAACTCACTCACTCACTCACTCCTGGGTTATATAACATGGCAGCATTTCATCATCGTTTGGTGAAATTCAGAAAAAAAGCATTCAATTACTTTTAAGAACTCTTGCAGTTATATTGCTGAAATATTGGTGAAAGCGGTGTAAAACCATATGCACTTACAAGAATATCCGTGAATTTGTTTTCAAAGGAGGGTGTGACTGATTCATGAGGTTTTTACCATTGAATTTTGAGTTTGACCAATCTGCTTGTGACTTAATGCCTTATTCGTGACAAACTAGTGACAAACGTTTGACAATAAAGAGTCAGCTTTTGTTCTAGTTTGTGAAATGTGAGAAATATTTGGAAGTAATTGTGTTTTATTTTTTCAGATGTTTCAGAGTTTGGATCATGACCGAATCAAATTCCTACGAGAAAATCTGTGGATTTCTCTCAACATCGATTCCCAAGTTGCAGTGGAAGTTGACGATGTGAGACAAATTCAGTGGTTCAAGATTAGCTTGTGAACAAAAGCACATGTCCCCAAGGTTACGGGGTAGATTAGGCCCGAGAAACCTGTGCTTTCTGTAAGAGGTGTTTTAGTGGATCGGGTGACCTGGTAGATAGCGTGTCATTGTACAACCCACCAACCAACCCACCCACCCACCAACCCACCCACCCACTCACTCACTCACTCACTCACTCACTCACTCACTCACTCACTCACTCACTCACTCACTCACTCACTCACTCACTCACTCACTCACTCACTCACTCACACACTCTACCACTCACAATGCAGTTTAAATTTTTTGTGGGACGATGATGAGTCATTTTCAGTTGCATGACAGGTTTTAAAGTTTAATGTATATTCTTAGTTTACAAGTAGAAGTATTTCTGTGTTTTGTTTCATGTTGAACTTAAATGATTGGCACAAGTTTTGTTGTCTTCTTATGCAAGTCCCTAAAAACATGTTGAGGTGATTCTGACAAAAAAAGAATACATTAGGACCTTGTGTAAGTAATCCGTGTTTACAATGAATCTGTTTCAGTGCAGCGAGTCAGTCCGGCATGTGTTGGAACATTGCTCCATGGAAAACGACATCTGTACATTTATAGGCAAACATCAGACAGGCACAGAGAGGCCAGGTAGTCAAATCTTTCTGAATTGTTAGCTCACCTGCACCACTAGTTATTCTGAGGTGGTAGGGTAGGTTAGTTGTTAAAGCGTTTGTCTGTCACGCCGAACGCCCAGGTTTGATTCCCACATGGGTACAATTCGTGAATCAATTCCTGGTGTCCCCACTGTGATACAGTGCTAGAGTGTTGCTAAAAGAGGCGTAAAACTATACTCACTCACTGCTGATGTCAACCAGTTTTTCTGGTTCAAGTGACTATGCAACATCAGTGTGCCTGCAACTGGAAAAAAAGCAATGTCATTGAAATAAGATCTTTTCCTTCATAACAATACTTACCTGTGAAGACCTGGTGTATAATAGGTCTAATGCTTGCCATAAAAGGCGACTATGCTTGTCGTAAGAGGTGACTATGCTTGTCGTAAGAGGAGACTATGCTTGTCGTAAGAGGCGACTATGCTTGTCGTAAAAGGCGAATATGCTTGCCGTAAGAGGCGACTATGCTTGTCGTAAAAGGCGACTGTGCTTGCTGTAAGAGGCAACTAACACGATCGGGTGGTCAGGCTCGCTGGCTTGCTTGATGCATGTCATCGTATCCACATTGCGTGGATCAATGCCCATGATGTCTATCACTGGATTGTCTGGTCCAGACCTGATTATTTACATTCCGCCATCATATAGCTGGAATATTTCTGAGTGCGGCGTAAAACAACAAACAAACATACAAACATTTTCCAAAGCTGACATCAGATTTGCCCAAGAACCGGCTATCTTTCAGTTGAACTGAGCAGTCAAAGTTCACTCAGGGTTCAGATCATTGCTGTAACAGAGCGGTATCTGATCAGATCTGATGTTAATGAGATTGGGATTACCAGCGAGTAATTTTCAACAAGGCATTTGTGGCACTTGATTGTTTATAGGCTGCTGTCATATGGCTGGAATATTGCTGACACAAGTGCCTTACGAAGGGGCTGAAAGCCAAGTCCCTCAATTGAAACTGATTGTTATAATAACAATAATTGATTTAGAATGACCTTGACCTTTCAGCACCTATTGTATTTGACAACTACTACAGTAATACAGATACTTTGGGGCGTAGAGCTGCCCAGGCACAAAGGTCAGGAGGTCAGAGAACACAGCCAGCCAGAAGTAATGGTGTTACGATGTCAGGTAAATACATGAGTGGGTGTCACCTTGTCCACAGTGTAGCTCAACATGCTTGTTTGTATATGGATGGTATATTAAGATTTGGTAAGGCCATGTTAACTATTAGACTTTCATCCCTGTCTCCGTGTGACCGAACATCCCAGCCTGCGCCATCTGGTGTCGATGAAACTGTTCCCTTATTTCTTTACTTGCTGAAATGCAACCATGGTCGAAGCAAACATTCACGCTTCATGCGACTAACATTTGTGAAGATACTGTTAGATCTGGTCTTCAGCAACCCATGCTTGTCCCCTGTGAAGATACGGTTAGATCTTGTCTTCAGCAACCCATGCTTGTCCCCTGTGAAGATACGGTTAGATCTTGTCTTCAGCAACCCATGCTTGTCCCCTGTGAAGATACGGTTAGATCTTGTCTTCAGCAACCCATGCTTGTCCCCTGTGAAGATACGGTTAGATCTTGTCTCCAGCAACCCATGCTTGTCCCCTGTGAAGATACGGTTAGATCTTGTCTTCAGCAACCCATGCTTGTCCCCTGTGAAGATACGGTTAGATCTTGTCTTCAGCAACCCATGCTTGTCCCCTGTGAAGATACGGTTAGATCTTGTCTTCAGCAACCCATGCTTGTCCCCTGTGAAGATATGGTTAGATCTTGTCTTCAGCAACCCATGCTTGTCCCCTGTGAAGATATGGTTAGATCTTGTCTTCAGCAACCCATGCTTGTCCCCTGTGAAGATACGGTTAGATCTTGTCTTCAGCGACCCATGCTTGTCCCCTGTGAAGATTTGGTTAGATCTTGTCTTCAGCAACCCATGCTTGTCCCCTGTGAAGACATGGTTAGATCTTGTCTTCAGCAACCCATGCTTGTCCCCTGTGAAGATACGGTTAGATCTTGTCTTCACCAACACCTGCTTGTCCCCCATGAAGATCCAGGTTATAACCGGTCTTCAGCAACCCATGCTTGTCCCCTGTGAAGATACGGTTAGATCTTGTCTTCAGCAACCCATGCTTGTCCCCTGTGAAGATACGGTTAGATCTTGTCTTCAGCAACCCATGCTTGTCCCCTGTGAAGATACGGTTAGATCTTGTCTTCAGCAACCCATGCTTGTCCCCTGTGAAGATATGGTTAGATTTAGTCTTCAGCAACCCATGCTTGTCCCCTGTGAAGATATGGTTAGATCTAGACTTCAGCAACCCATGCTTGTCCCCTGTGAAGATATGGTTAGATCTAGTCTTCAGCAACCCATGCTTGTCCCCTGTGAAGATACGGTTAGATCTTGTCTTCAGCAACCCATGCTTGTCCCCTGTGAAGATATGGTTAGATCTTGTCTTCAGCAACCCATGCTTGTCCCCTGTGAAGATATGGTTAGATCTAGTCTTCAGCAACCCATGCTTGTCCCCTGTGAAGATATGGTTAGATCTTGTCTTCAGCAACCCATGCTTGTCCCCTGTGAAGATACGGTTAGATCTTGTCTTCAGCAACCCATGCTTGTCCCCTGTGAAGATACGGTTAGATCTTGTCTTCAGCAACCCATGCTTGTCCCCTGTGAAGATATGGTTAGATCTTGTCTTCAGCAACCCATGCTTGTCCCCTGTGAAGATATGGTTAGATCTAGTCTTCAGCAACCCATGCTTGTCCCCTGTGAAGATATGGTTAGATCTTGTCTTCAGCAACCCATGCTTGTCCCCTGTGAAGATATGGTTAGATCTTGTCTTCAGCAACCCATGCTTGTCCCCTGTGAAGATATGGTTAGATCTTGTCTTCAGCAACCCATGCTTGTCCCCTGTGAAGATACGGTTAGATCTTGTCTTCAGCAACCCATGCTTGTCCCCTGTGAAGATATGGTTAGATCTTGTCTTCAGCAACCCATGCTTGTCCCCTGTGAAGATATGGTTAGATTTAGTCTTCAGCAACCCATGCTTGTCCCCTGTGAAGATATGGTTAGATCTAGTCTTCAGCAACCCATGCTTGTCCCCTGTGAAGATATGGTTAGATCTTGTCTTCAGCAACCCATGCTTGTCCCCTGTGAAGATATGGTTAGATCTTGTCTTCAGCAACCCATGCTTGTCCCCTGTGAAGATACGGTTAGATCTTGTCTTCAGCAACCCATGCTTGTCCCCTGTGAAGATATGGTTAGATCTTGTCTTCAGCAACCCATGCTTGTCCCCTGTGAAGATATGGTTAGATCTTGTCTTCAGCAACCCATGCTTGTCCCCTGTGAAGATACGGTTAGATCTTGTCTTCAGCAACCCATGCTTGTCCCCTGTGAAGATACGGTTAGATCTTGTCTTCAGCAACCCATGCTTGTCCCCTGTGAAGATACGGTTAGATCTTGTCTTCAGCAACCCATGCTTGTCCCCTGTGAAGATATGGTTAGATCTAGTCTTCAGCAACCCATGCTTGTCCCCCATGAAGATCCAGGTTATAACCGGTCTTCAGCAACCCATGCTTGTTATAAGAAGTGACTAACATTTTTGGTTTGTCAGGCTTGATGCTCATGATGTCAATCCCTGGATTGTCTTGTCCAGACTCGATTATGTACGGACTGCTGACATATAGCTGGAATATTGCTAGGTGCGGCAAAGAGTGCAGGGTTTAACAACAAGAACAAAAATAATCTCTACAAAATAAAATCCCCCATGCCTCCATTCATGAAGACAGTCAAACACCGTAGTGTCAAACTTTGATGGTTGTATGGATTGGAAAATCTTGTTTAGTACCCGTGTTTTCTTTCTTTATTCATCATTATCAGTTGTGTGGAACCTAGTATAACGAGAAGTGTTTACGCAGGTCCCTTCAACTTTGTCACAACGGTGTTTGACACAACAGTGTTTGACTGTAGCCGGGATGAAAGTCTGATGATTACTGCGTGGCCCCATGACCTGTGTTGAATGTTGGGCATGTTGAGTGAGCAATAGGTAACCTGGGATGAGTATAATGGGTATGATTGATGAGTGCTTTAACACTGTTTTATACTTGGATTTTAGACCTTCTGATCATAAACTCCATGCTTTCAGAAAAAATATAGATTTGAAATTTCCAGTTTTGTAGATTCTTATTCTTTTGACATGAAAACCCGATGGATAATCCAAGTACTAAAACAGTGTACTTCACTACATTGTTTCAGACCCGTGAAGATCCGGGGTAGAATAGGTCTTCAGAAACCCATGCTTGCCGTAAAAGGCAACTATGCTTGTTGTAAGAGGCGATTAACAGGATCGGGTCGTCAGGCTCGCTGACCTGGTTGATGCATACCATCGTATCCCAATTGCGTGAATCATGATGTCAATCACTGGATTGTCTGGTCCAGACTCTATTATTTACAGACCACCATCATAGAGCTGGCATATTGCTGAGTGTGGCGTTAAACAACTAACAAACAAACAAAACAATGTTGCAATATTGCAAGCATATTACATATCGCTTTCTTGCCGTGTTGATGGTCTCAGAGATGCCAACCATTCCGATGTATTCAGCTTTCTACAAGACTTGAAGTAAAACTTCCTGAAAGTTACTGTTCAAAATCTGCTGTGAATGTACATATTAGACATATTCATATTCTTTAATTTATGTCTCAATTCACAAAATGAGTTGACCGTTTGATATTCTAGGTGCCTTGTGGTTTTGTTGGAGACGAATAATTTTTTAGTAACCGCTTCAAGACGTACAATTCTGTCTCTGAAAGGATGAAACACAACTTTGGGGGTCTCACAACATTACTGCTCAGATTTTCCAGTTAAAGTGTTTTTGTGTGGTAAAACCTGAGCAAAAATTACTTTTTTTAGGTATTTTGCGATCAGATTTTAAAGATAACTTTAATTTCTTTGAAAGGCATTTGGAAGTTGGAGTACTGAGTTAGGATAAGATATATGGATGAACAACTTCTTCATTACAAAATGGAGCACTGTTAGAACCTAAATAACACCACTTGCTTGATAACGGTGTAAGAACCTAAAAACACCACTTTGCTTGATATGGTGTTAGAACCTAAATAACATCACTTGCTTGATAACAGTGTTAGAACCTAAATAACATCACTTGCTTGATAAAGGTGTTAGAACCTAAATAACGTCACTTGCTTGATAACGGTGTTAGAACCTACACCGAAACGTCGTTCCCAATTGTAATAGAGAAGTTGTTCATCCATATATCTTATCCCTACTCAATAATATATTTAACCAGAATATCACTTGGTCGGCCTGTAAATCAGATTAGATTGGCTGTTCAGCTCATAAATTCAATGAGTAACATCACACAGTTGCCTATTGTTGAGGCAGTGAAAATATTCTTGACACTTTGGTTTGACTTCTTTCGGTTGGCATCTCTGTGTTCCTGGAATATTTTAATTTCAATGACGATTGTGACAAGGGTAGCCAGGTTGTCTGAGGTGCCACAATTCTCAGGGTAGAGCTGCCTCCCTTAGGCTTGCTGTTTTGTCAGCACCACGCTTGTTGGTTTCACCAAAGTGGTAAACATCTGAGACATTCATCATTTCGGGCTTTCCTCCCACATTTACCTGACCAGCCGTGATATAACTGAAATACTGTTAAAAGCGGTGGTGAACCAAACTCACCTATTCCTGCTGAAACCTTGTTTTTCCTGTTGTTTATAGATAACACATACGCAACAGTAGATGGTAAGACAACAAAGAGCACTTCTTTTAGATCAAATACAGGCAGTTTTAGATGACTCTAGTTTCTAGTATAGCATTAGTGAGATTTGCAGTTACATTCAAAATGTAGGTATTGTCTCAATGCATTATTGTTCACAGTCGTATCTGTAATAATGATGCATTTATCAATGAAACTCATCGAAATTTCATTCTGGCAAGAAAGATAGAGTATAATGGAGCACATCCATGAGAAGAAAGAATTCAGATTCTGATCTAAGTCTTGCCTGTATTTGTGTTGCATGACATGTTGGGATGCAGGATGATGTGCCCATGTTTAGACAGCTCTGTGCATGGTTTGACGAGCTGCTCCTGCTTCTGTTCCTGGGTCAGTGAGGCACCATGCCTACCTCCTGCTTCCACACCCCCAGCTAACCATCCTCATCACCCTTCGGCATACTTCCTGAGTCAATGAGACATAAGACCTGTGAAAGTCCGGGTAGAATAGGTCTTCAGCAACCCCATACTTCATACTTCAGCAACTGTAAAAGGCGACTATGCTTGTCATAAACGGCGACTAACGGGATCGGGTGGTCAGACTCACTGACTTGGTTGATGCATGTCATTGTGTCCCAATTGTGTGGATAGATGCTCATGACGTAAATCACTGGATTGTCTGGCCCAGACTCGATTATTTACAGACCGCCGTCATATAGCTGGAATATTGCTGAGTGCGGCGTTAAACAACAAACAAGAAACAGTTACTTGTTTAGGTTTCTGTAAAGAGGGACTGATTAGTGTTTTGGACCTGAAACAACATGTCCTCTAAATTAAGTAGTCTAAAGCCAGTGGATCCTTTTTCCAGACCAAAGGGTGTATAAGTCAATTTAATGTTTTTTTAGTTCATGGGAATTTTGTTTTGTAATTTCCATCCGATACCCCTGAGTGTTTGTCTCATCTTAATGCAGAGAGATATTGATTTTAGTGAGATTGTTGCCAACCCCCAATTTTAGGATTAATTTTCAGAGGAGGAGAAGGGAGAATGCGCCTGTGTATTAGTCTGAGAGTCATCAGGTCTGTGGTTCACTTCACTGTCACTGATAACTCACGCCTTGACCCTGAGTGTCCATCATCCTCTGTAAACTGATGCCTTGACCCTAAGTGTCCATCATCCTCTGTAAACTGACGCCTTGACCCTAAGTGTCCAGCATCCTCTGTAAACTGATGCCTTGACCCTAAGTGTCCAGCATCCTCTGTAAACTGATGCCTTGACCCTAAGTGTCCATCATCCTCTGTAAACTGATGCCTTGACCCTAAGTGTCCATCATCCTCTGTAAACTGAGGCCTTGACCCTAAATGTCCATCATCTTCTTTAAACTGATGCCTTTACCCTCAGTGTCCATCATCCTCTGTAAACTGATGCCTTGACCCTAAGTGTCCATCATCCTCTGTAAACTGATGCCTTGACCCTAAGTGTCCAGCATCCTCTGTAAATTGATGCCTTGACCCTAAGTGTCCAGCATCCTCTGTAAATTCATGCCTTGACCCTAAGTGTCCAGCATCCTCTGTAAACTGATGCCTTGACCCTAAGTGTCCAGCATCCTCTGTAAACTGACGCCTTGACCCTAAGTGTCCATCACTCTCTGTAAACTGATGCCTTGACCCTAAGTGTCCATCATCCTCTGTAACCTGAGGCCTTGACCCTAAGTGTCCAGCATCCTCTGTAAACTGATGCCTTGACCCTAATTATCCATCTTCCTCTGTAAACTGATGCCTTGACCCTAAGTGTCCATCATCCTCTGTAAACTGATGCCTTGACCTTAATTATCCATCTTCCTCTGTAAACTGATGCCTTGACCCTAAGTGTCCATCATCCTCTGTAAACTGATGCCTTGACCCTAATTATCCATCATCCTCTGTAAACTGATGCCTTGACCCTAATTATCCATCATCCTCTGTAAACTGATGCCTTGACCCTAATTATCCATCATCCTCTGTAAACTGATGCCTTGACACTGAGTGTCCATCAATCTCTGAAGACTCATGGCTTAACCCTTAGCATCTGCCTTTTTGTAAACTCAAACTTCACCCTGAGTCTCCATCATTCTGTGACCTTCTTTTAGGTCACCTTGTTTAATGTTACGTTTTACGGATATTTTGCTAACCAATTAACCTGGGTATGTCAAAATGAAAATAAGAATGAACTTGTATATCTTAGCATGCTTGTATTGTATTCATTTATTTGGCATTATTCAAAGATTATTCAAAAAGCGTTGCTATGTGCAGGAACAATAAAAACACCAATCTGATCACTAGTCATCTGCTAGGTTACGAGGTTGGGTCATGGAATATATCAACATTATTTTTTATTTCATTTTCTGCTTGTGGCTTTTGGCTCTAGTTGGTCGAGCTCGGAAACCATAACATTAGAAAGTAGTTGCTATATATTTGTCTTACTCATCTGCAATGGTGGGTAGGCATCAGTAGACTTTCTGACCATCTTGTCAGATGGTGACCATGTTGTCCTAGCCTACTTGTTTGCACGGCAGCGATAGAGCTGGAGCTGGAGCTTGACCCCAGCAGTGATAACTCACCAGATCCCTAATGTGTAATCCCCATTCTTTGAATGACATTGTCATGTACTTGTTACAACGGCTGCTCAATAAACCATGTTTGTGTTTATATTCAAGTTGGTATTTCCGCTATCCAAAGTGTGCAGTGAGGCCGTCTTGTTGTTGATAGTCACTTTGGAGGCATAAATGTGAAGTTCATTAATGCGAGCTAAGACCACTCGCATTTTTCGCATTTAAGTCACGCTCGCGTTAATTTCAAGATTTACAGTATATCACTGCTGTTCCCCGCTTGCACTGAGATGACATTTCCTGTCTTCATCGATACTTCGTGGATGTCACCTATTTATTTAGGATGGGTGTGTTTTGAAGTGGGCTGAAGGGTCCTTTGGCAATACTGTACATTGCCTTATGTCACCCCAACACACTTTGTTTAATTCATGCAGAGAATATTTCGCACAACCCAAATAAAAGCAAAATGTGTTTGTGTGCCTTTGTTCTAAAGTATGAGTTTGGTGTAGTAGTTATTAAGAACACATAGAAACCATGGAATGACCTGCCTTCTTTTTCCATTGAATTATTTAGATATAAGAAATATGTCAGACAAAACTGAATACTCTCAATGCAGATGATGAAACATCCTTTAAATCCTCACTATTTCGTTCTGTGACATCAAAATTCCTTCAAGTGTAACCATGGTAACCCAAATCACTTCAGTTTAATGATCATATGAGAACACAAATTTTGGTGTTTTTTTCTGGAAAATTATAAACCTCTAGAAAGTGGAGTAATATGTATTATTTTAAGTGGATTTCGTATTTCTTCATGGGCAAGAGGTGGAGGATGTGCTCGGTCTATGAGTATATGTGTGTAGGCAGGAAATGGTGCATCTTCCTATACTCACATCAGTGAAAGGTGGGTGGGGTAGTTCTGGACAACACCCCCTGGCTGTCCTGGTGTGAATTTGAACTCATCATATCTTCCATTGATTTGCTTTAGTATCATGTGTTTTTCCTCTTTAAAGAATGCCTCTATGTCTGCTTGATGCTACAGGTGATTGGCTTCGTCTTGTGTCCCCTCATGGGTACAATGTGTGAAGCCTATTTCTGGTGTCCGGGATATTGCTGGAATATTGCTAAAAGTGGTACAGTCAAGTCCCGTTAATCCAACATGGCTGGTTGCATATGGTTATGTCGGGTTAAGAAGTAGGTCGGATAAATGAAATTAAGTAGCATGAACATTCGAGATTGAAAATCGGACAACTGCACAATAGATAACGATACAAACACGTCATAAAAAAGGATAAAGAAATATTCATATTGTAAAGTTACATTGTTGGTGGAATGTGTTTTCTAATCATGATACCTCTAAAGCTAAACAGAAAAACTACTGTTTCGGGCTATATGACCGATTCAAATTACTTTTAAAAGCATAGTCTGGAATGGAAGTCGCCAGTTTTGAAACTAGTGCCGCAATGCTTAAGAAAGCTGCTTTCTTATTGGCTAATCTCGACTTCCTGTTTGTCATTTCATTGGTCGGAGGGTGAGACTGTCAGATTAACGGGTCTAAATAGTACTGATTTAATCGGTTCCCACCTTTAGTGTCGGATAAAGCCAATTGTCGGATTAACAAGTGTCAGATTAACGAGATTTGACTGTATAAAACTTGATTATTCACAGGCTGCCGTCATATAGCTGGAATACTGTAACATCCAACATCCAACAGACTACCAGATATTCCATGCATGTTTTGAACTACAGTCTTTCTTGATGGCCTTGTTATGCTTTCTCGTGTGCATATATACTGAACAAAATCAGGAATATTTTTTGGATATTTTTAGTAGTTTTAGAATTAGCACACAATTTCATAAAAATATCCAAAACAAATATTCATGATCCCAAACTTATTTTGTTCAGTATAGAAACATCTGTGATGCATGCTGGGAATTGTTGTCTTGATTCATGATCTTGCATTTGAATATGTATTGCTAATGTGAATTCATTATTTGTTTCATGAATTAATTATTTCCTGTCTAAATCTTGCTTTATTTCATTTGATTGAAGTCTCCTATTTTCCCAGTTAATATGAACTTTTGACTATTGATTAGGAATGATACAAGTAGCTCCATGTTCTGTCTTAGTAAGGCCTTTTATTTTTATTTGTTCATTTACAAAACATTTTGCGCAAAATACAGTATAGGTGGTCAGTATTTAAAATTAACAATTACTCAAAAATATCCACAAATGTTTGGCAAAACAGTCCAACAATTTCCAGTTTGCCTATCGGGGTTTTCAGTGTGGACTCTGGAGGAGTTGTTGAACACTTGACTTGCCTTTGCATGTCTTTGTGATGGAATGAACCGGTCTCATGGTATCATCACTATTTTATAGTAATTTATAAACATATGCTTACGATTCTGAATCATACAAGGGATTTAATATGATTAGGGAAAAGATTTAATTGTATTTTTTTCATCAAATAACTAAAAATGATTAAATGACATAGTGTACACATTCCTGGAACAGCAACTCATTGGATAGAAGAGTCAGTTTTAAAAAAAATGATTAAATGTCTTCTTTTTTCCTAATTTCTTTTTGTATGTTTGTTTAAAGTGACAATAGAAAAAAAGAGGCCTGAATGTCCTTCGATCATCACCTTCTTGGACAATTTTGTGATTTCTGAGAGTTTCAGGGAATAAATATCTTTAATTTACCTGTAATTATTAATGATGAATTTTTTTGTTTTAAACGAAATTTACAAAATGATCTGTTGTGAAGACGATCAGGCTCCTAAATGTTAAGAAGGTAATGTGTGCTCAAGAATTAGATGTCTACCCTGAATTGTGATGGCAGCAGGAAACATGTCTGAGTTAGGAAGGCTCTCACCTCGTCAAGAAGGGGAAGGGGTAGCACAGTGGTTCAGCTGTTGTTCATCAGGCCAAAGATCTGAGTTTGATTCCCCAAATGGGCACAATGTGTGATGATTGGTTCCGGTGCTGTCATATTTCTGGGCTTATGCTGGAAGAGATGCTCATCACTGATATCTTCCTGCATTGTCCACACGTACCTTGTGACCACCAGACACTCTAGATTCTGTTGCTTTTTTTTAGACCTGTGAAGATCCGGGGTAGAATAGGTCTTCAGCAACCCATGCTTGCCGTAAGAGCCGATTAACGGGGTCGGGTGGTCAGGCCTGCTGACTTGATTGATGCATGTCACCGTATATCCCAATTGCGTGGATTGATGCTCATGACATCAATCACTGGATTGTCTGGTCCATACTTAATTATTACAGACCGCGTTCATATGGGTGGAATATTGCTGATCAAGTTTGATTTAAATGTGTGTTAGTGAAAAAGAAAGATTTGAGGTAGGTTTTCTTGACTTAGTGAATATTTTAGCTCATGTAGCTTCATTCGTGACATAACTTTAGCGACAAGTGGCGACCACTTTGATGTGTTCAGTGAGCTTTGAAGCGTCTTGATTACGTCATTAAGCGCATGGTTACGCATTGTTTAGGTGCTCGAAAGTAGGTGAGGCTCGAATACATGTTACGTGGAGATATATAAGTAGTTCAAATAGGAGGAGTATGCATTGTAAACTCATTGGTTCTTGAGGAAGTGAAATATTCCTGTTGTCACGGTACTGAACCAATATTTTAACAAATTGAGAAAAAGAATTTTTGGAATATCGTTTTGTGGAGCTTTAGCTAATCTGTTTGTAATCAGTGTAATCAGATAAGAGTAGCTCTCTCAAACTACTTGAAATTAAAAAATGGTGTTTTCAAAAAATACATTCTCAGTGAAATTATTCAAAAGAATCCGACGAATGAAAAATTTCTCTTGAACCTTGAAAGAACGAAATGAACATAATTGTCGTAAGACATGCCCAGTTATAAAGTTTGTTTTTGTTGGAGGTGTAACTGCCATGGGTTGCCCGCACTGTCAGGGTAGACATTTAAACTTTGTCTCCTCGTCTCTTATGTGCTCCGAGTAGTGTCCGTCTTGGTAGAGCCAGTAAGATGCATCTCTTTTCTCTATCCCTAGAAGCTGGTGAAAATATGATGACAGATCACAGCACGTTTTACTATAACCAGCGAATGTGGTAAACTGACGCCTCTTCCATAGACTGTTTGTTGTGCTGTTTTGACAGAGTTGTCTCCCTTTACCGTGATTCAGATTTGAATGTGTCCTTCATTCTTACATCTGGGCATTTTTTTAAGAATGTGTCCTTAGTTTTCATTATTATTTCCGATTACAAGAACCATCAATGTTTTTTTTTCCCTCTGATCTGGCAAAAGAAATATCCTTAATCAGAGAGCTATTTTGATAATTAATATTAAAGGTTCAAATAAAATATTGAACACACAGACACATTTTCACGTTTTGCATCAAAATGGAATTAGTTAGGTGACATGATTTATTTATTTTTATAAAAGGTTATTTTGAAGCAGGCATCACATTGCATTGGACCAAAATGCTCAGAGAATGAAAGACAAAGGGAGATAACTCTCATTTCTGCCTGTCTATCTTCTTCTCCCTCTGTGTCTCTGTAGATCAAGAGGACCTGTATGCCACACTGCGTTCTCCTGATGCTCTCACCGTAGCCTCTTCTGACAAAATACTTATTATCTCAAGACCCTACACGGCACAGGTAGTTAATTGTCCAGAATGTCAGTAGTTTACTGTACAAATAAATGCATTACAAGAGTTAGGATCCATTTCAATCAGTGTTAGGGCAACTGCACCAGATACTTTCCCCTCAGAAAACTGCCCCCTTTAGGAAAACTGCCTCCCCAGGAAATGACCTCTCAATAATGTAACACAGGACAAGTCTCAGTATTATTTTGTTCTGCTAATTCCTCCCACCAAGAAGTAATAACTGGTTGTAAACAAATTGCAAGCGGTGCCAAGGACTATATGACTTCTACTAAGCGTCTATGTTCCCATAACCCTTTCACTCATTCGTGACTAACTCGTGTTATTCCGGGACAAGCCGAATAGCGACTCGTGCCCTTCTCATGGCCATTTTTGCGACCGGGTTCCGTCTTGGCGCAAACGGGCATACCTAAAACAATTGTCAACTCGTTGTGTAATGGTTCACATATATTTCCCCATATATTATATATATTTCAGATGCAATTTAAAGCACATCGGGACATGCGGAATTATACAGTATGATTGAACACATTTAACGTGTCCTGGGTATATTTTTAGATGCAAGACACATGTAAAATCAAAAATTCTTTCTGAGGGATTCTTTGATGAAGAACTTGAAATCATACACGCATTCTGATTGGTTTGTCGTATTTCGCACATAACATTCATCGATAGGGGGACGAGTCTTCTTGCAGGTTACGGAAAGAAAGGGGCAAGTGGTGACAAATGCCTTTCACTCTCTCCTCCCCCCCCCCCCCCCCCCCCCCAACTACTGTTGGCTTATAAGAGAATGGGCATGGCTTGTGCTACGTTTAGTTTTTCGTGTGTAACTGATGTGGAGTTGTCATATTTATTTATAAAAATTGACTTAATTTTCTTTTTAATTAATTAATTAATTTTAATTTAATTGCCCACCACTCTTACATTTCTACCTTCATAAACACAAAATATGTTGAAGTCAATTCATTTTTATGATAGAATCAGTTGACATATCATCAAAATCAAATATATAAATAGAAAATTAAAAATATCCTGGTGGATAGATCGCTAAACCCCTAAACATCTGTGTTAAACTGAAGGTCTGCTAGATACTTGTCATGTGTTATCAAGAGGCTTTGTCTGGGGTCAGTGAGCACGGGCAGTGCGCAGAGGGGCAGAATACAGATGGACAGTTGCCCTAGAATCGTATTCATCAATATTTTATGTGGATGGGAGTGTGTGTAAAAAGTTCATTGAAAAAAAGGTAGGAATTTGAGACATACTATTTCGATAATCTAATTGTATGGTGGTATATTATTATAATCTTACTTACCATCTTAACCTAAGTATGTTTACTTGTACTAATTGATGTGGTGTAGTGGGTCTTATATCACTCGGACACTCGTGACAAGGTGCAGGGAGTATAGCTCCCTCTGTATGCAAGAGCTGTTTAATTGTTCTAACACATTTTACTATTTGAATTCCATTTTAAATAGGTTATAATTGACTTAAATGTTTGTTTTTTACAAAGATTCTAATTTAATCTGGGCACGATAACTGCAGCTTATATTATACACTAACTGACCAAATGTTTTATTCTTCGTTAAACAGTACAAATTTCACCGAAGCAGGATGCTGGCACAATTTTGTTTTCTTTTGAGAGAATGAACTGATCTCAATTTCTTGACTTTTATAACTTTTTGTCATTATCAGACAGTGCAAGCTTGTTTACACCATTGTCAAGCTCGGTCTTGTATTCTTCTTAAATGGTCAGGGGTGGTCGGGTAGCCTTGTGGTTAAAGCGTTCGCTCATCACACTGTAGACCCGGGTTCAATTCCCGACATGGGTACAATGTGTGAAGCCCATTTCTGGTGTCCCCCGCCGTGATATTGCTGGAATATTGCTAAAAGCGGTGCAAAACCATACTCACTCACTCACTCACATTCTTAAATGTTCAGCTGATAATGTATGCTGTGTTGGTTTAGCCATATTGTTGATTTAGTGCCTTTTTCATTAAAAATCAGAGGGATTAATCTGGGATATCAAACCAAGTGTCCTTGGCAGGCAAATTTGGAAAAATGTTTTGTTCAAATTTGTTTTGGTTATTTGAACTCTTTATTTTCTGAACACTGAAGTATTTTGATATTGCCGTCAATGCAGTGATGTAAGACTAAGCATTAAAGCCCCTTTCCCTCAGTTAGTTATATTAGAGAAATAGATATCCCCTTGGAGAAGCTGTTTCATTAGGTACCCGTGCATGTTTTGACTGGTGGCAGCGGTCGAGGCAGTATACGCTCACCTTTTCACGAACACCTGGTGTCATCACTATTTGATAATGATTCATAAACACCTGGTGTCACCACTATGTGTTAATGATTCATAAACACCTGGTGTCACCACTAGGTGATTATGATTCCTAAACACCTGGTGTCACCACTATGTGATAATGATTCCTAAACACCTGGTGTCACCACTATGTGATAATGATTCCGAAACACCTGGTGTCACCACTATGTGATTATGATTCATAAACACCTGGTGTCACCACTATGTGATAATGATTCCGAAACACCTGGTGTCACCACTATGTGATAATGATTCCTAAACACCTGGTGTCACCACTATGTGATAATGATTCCTAAACACCTGGTGTCACCACTATGTGATAATGATTCCTAAACACCTGGTGTCACCACTATGTGATAATGATTCCTAAACACCTGGTGTCATCACTATGTGATTATGATTCCTAAACACCTGGTGTCACCACTATGTGATAATGATTCCTAAACACCAGGTGTCACCACTATGTGATTATTATCCTAAACACATATGCTTGTGATATGGGCGGAGGTGGACAATGGACTCTTAATTTCTTATCATTATGGAAATGTTTTTTATCATGTTTATTATGACACTAATGATATGAATTGGTAATTATTAAATTCTAACCTCTGTCTTTTACTATTAAATTCTAATTTCTTGTATTTACTATTGAATTCTAATTATGGTATTTGGTTTTAAAATCTAATTTCTGGTAATTACTTTTAAATTCTAATTTCCTGTATTACTATTGAATTCTAATTTCTTGTATTTACTTTTAAAATCTAATTTCTGGTAATTACTATTAAATTCTAATTTATGGTATTTACTATTAATTTCTAATTTCTGACCTTTGATGAGTGGATGAGGATGTCAAGTTTCATGGTAACCTCCTGCGGAGGACAAAGCATTATATCAACTGGCAAACAGGCGTCGGAACAATGGAAAAGGGCTCAAAGTAGCAACCTATGGCCACGTGTCTTGATTTTGCGGCAATACATCTCGTACCATTTAGCAAATGGCGGATATAAATATATACGTTGTGGCACCATATCTTGTAGTAAAATGATTTGCAATCTGATTATGAACAAGTGTGTATTGGAACGAAAGTGCACAAATGTTTAACACCCCATTATCATTTTGGCACTGTAATTGATGAACTGGTTCATCCAATGATGCGGAGGCCTCGAACCGGAGACTCTAGTAACCACAGTCTTCCATCACCCAGCCATCATTGAAGTAACATGTTTAATTCTCACTTCTTGTTTTTGCGATGATTGACAGCTGAAACACAATGTTTTGTTCCTCACATCCAGAAAAAGACAAGACGAAATGGATTGTTTAGCGAATGAAACATAAACTAAACAATTCCATTTAGTCCTGATATGAGCAACAAAAAAATGTGTTTCAGCTGCCAGTCATGGCCAAAACAGGAAGCGACTTTGTTGTCTTGGTGCTGGCTTTTAAGAAAATGGCTTCTCTCTTAGAATTTATGTTGGCTCCGTGAGAATAGTCAACTTTGAGCCCTGAGTGTTGCTTGGCCTAGATGAAGTCGCTCTATAGCTTGTCTCTTCTCTATGTAATTCTGTAACACCTAACATCCCGTCTCCACACACTATACACCTTGCAGAGGTCAGACAACCACAGTTCACATGCATTAAGCGCACTAAATAAACTTCTGTATCACTGCAAATGCCTAACAAAATATATTATTACTTCCACTAAACATGGGTGTTAATTCTGATTCATTTACAAAATACTCACTTTGGTTCTTGGAATTTAAATATAATTTGTGTCTGAAAGAAACATTGCTATTTTGTATAATTTGAAATTGTATTCTCGATATGAAATGTGTTTATGAAAATGAACTGATATGTTATGTCTGTGGGAAAATAGACACCTGGTGTCTGCTGCTTGTCTTAAAGGTAGAGGAGAATGAGGAATGGGTGGTTACAATGTATGATCTGACTGATGGTAATAGCGGATCCCTGTTCATATCATCAACCACTGGTTCTCTGCCAGGACTGTTGACTGAGATGATTGATGTGTGGAAACATATGGCTGGAATATTGCTGACTTGACATAAAACAGAGGCTGCAGGCTGTGAGATTGTATTCAGAGTGTGAATTGTTTGTTGGCAGCATTGTTTGTCCAGAATTGATTATTTGTAGGTTAGCATGATATAGCTGGAATACTGCTGACGGTGGTGCAAGACAACACGAAAACAGTCATTTATCCTTTTTCTCTACCGTAATTGTTGTAGAAAGCCACTTTATTACCTGAGTAGGATGCTGTATCGTAAATAAAAACATTCTATAAAATATATATTTAATATTAAAAGTAGTTTTTGCTAGATGACCTCATTTGCTTAATTATCGTACCGTATTTATTGTAGTGATAACACTTACTATTACTTGATAAATACCAACATGTTGTGTCTGTTTAGACGCCTTTTGAACTGACGGTGGAGGTTGGACAGAAAGTCCACTTCATACGACGCATGACCAATGGATTACAAGTTCGTCTCGACGAGTCTAACAAGTGTGGTATAATTCCCAGCAGCTGTGTAGAGCTATAACACAAGAACAAAGAAGATATTTATTGTCCTAAAATGAACAAGTCTGTCACCCCAATTGTTTTAGTCTAATGTCTGTCAACCAATTGTTCAGTCCGATGTCTGTCACCCCAATTGTTTTAATCTAATGTCTGTCAACCAATTGTTCAGTCCAATGTCTGTCAAGCATTTGGTTTAGTCTATTGTCTGTCAATCAACTGTTTTAGTCTATTGTATGTCAACCAATTGTTCAGTCCAATGTCTGTCAAGCATTTGGTTTAGTCTATTGTCTGTCAATCAACTGTTTTAGTCTATTGTATGTCAACCAATTGTTCAGTCTATTCTCTGTCAACCATTTGGTTTAGTCTATTGTATGACTACCTATTGTTTTAATTTGTTGGCTGTCAACCAATTGTTTTCCTTTCCATAAACGGAACAATGAAAAAAATACAGGGAAATCAGCTTTACTGTCAGTACATTTGAAATAGCGGCATACAAATTCAACACATGTTGAGATGTGTTTGTGTGCATTGTTTCCAGCATGTATTTGGTAGACCAGGCTGGGAACACATGACAGCATATCATTTTACTGTGTCTAAAACTAAGTGCTCCCTTATTCATGTCCATCAGTATATATAAAATGTCAGTTCCAAAATACGACCAATCCCTACAACCTGAGGAAACACTAAAAAAGATTATTGCTATCAACAAATAATTTTGGAATAATATCTGAAATGCTAATGCTTTAATTTGCTGCAAAAATACATGGTCTAGCCTTTTATCTATTGTGCTGTAGACCGAAGTTTAATTCCTCAAGTTGTTACAACATCGGAAGCCCCTCACATGGTATTCCTGCTGTTGGGCTACTGCTAAAAGTGACAGTGCAAGATGGTCACTGCATCTTCGGGTTCTGGCCAAGAGGGGCTGAAGACAAACAAATACACTTGGCAATGCTGGGTTTTACTTACAGATACACTGCTCTTCAAAAAACATTTTCTCTCTGTCATGAAATTGGGAACTGCGGTGTCCCAGTATATGGTGTTTGTATGCAAGGATGAGAATGGATATCTTGCTTTTCAGCTGAAACTTCTTTGCAATGGAAAGTGGTCCATAATTTGGGGGTGTTTAGGGGGAAGCCATGAGATTTTAACAAATTTGTGGTCACTTAAATTCACGGATTCGCGGAAGGTTCTCACTCCTGTGTATGGCGGGCCCAGGGGCGAGTGTGGTCACCAGCTTGTCATAAAGGATGGACCATTTTTATTGCGGGAGAGAGCTGGAATTTATATTACTTTTAAATCTGTTCCCATATGTGCTGAATTTTTTTATCCTTAGGTTTCAAATTTTCTGACTTCTTCTTTCCTAAAAAACTTGTATGTTTGAAAAAAATCTGTTTTCTCAAACAAAATCCCAGCTTCCCTCCATAATGCCGACTTCGTTCTCTTTGAGCAACAAAATTGTGGACAGCTTCTATGATTTGGCAGAGTTTGTCATATTACCCCGATGGAACACTGCTCATGCTATCAACCACTGGTTCTTCTGACCCATACTGTTTTATTTACATGTTAAGGTCTTATAGTTTGTTTGCTTCTTAGCACTCCACTGAGCAATATTTCAGCTATGTGATGGTAGGCTGTAAATACTCGAGTCTGGCCCAGACAATCCAATGGTTGACATCATGAGCATCAATCTATGCATGCAATTGGGATAAGATTTCATGCATCAACCAAGTCAGCAAGCCTGACCACCTGACTCTGTTAGTCACCTGGGTTGCTGAAGATCAGTCCTAACCCTGTTCTTCATGGGTCAAAAATATCATAGCTGCAATATTGCTAAAGTATGTCTTAGTGCTCTGTTTATAGCTTGTAGTTGTGGTGGGAAGTATATATGTTTGTGTACAACATGAACGTCAACTGTACATGTAACACCAGGTGTCTCTATCTTTCTCTATACACTGGAATCTGTCAAAACTGGACACTGACTAAACCGGATCACTGTTAACATGAAACGAAATTTATGGTCTGAAAAAACTATTTTGGTTCATCTTCAACTAATCTGATCTTGATCCCTGTACCAGATTAACTTTCGATCCTACACAAGGCCTGTTTAGACAGATTCCACTACACAAGGCCTGTTTAGACAGATTCCACTACACAAGGCCTGTTTAGACAGATTCCACTACACAAGGCCTGTTTAGACAGATTCCACTACACAAGGCCTGTTTAGAAAGAATCCACTACACAAGGCCTGTTTAGACAGATTCCACTACACAAGGCCTGTTTAGACAGATTCCGCTACACAAGGCATGTTTAGACAGATCCCACTGTACAAGGCCTGTTTAGACAGATTCCACTGCGCAAGGCCCGTTTAGACAGATCCCACCACACAAGGCCCGTTTAGACAGATCCCACCACACAAGGCCCGTTTAGACAGATTCCACCACACAAGCCTCTCAGCACAATACAAAGCTTGCTCACATTCTCTACAGGGTAAATGTACATGTTTTTTTTAGTATTCTTGCAATTCTTACCCCATTAATCTGTCCTAGGTATTTCATGTGAAGTGTGTAATTTTAGACAAATGAAGTTCAAAACTATTCTGTAACCTTGTGTATCATCTTTGTTGTGCATTATGTTAATGCAGTGTGAGTTGTTTATAGCTTTTATAAGTTATGTTCTTTTCCAAGCTAATTGAAATATTTGTTACCGGTAATTTTGAATTCAAATTTATGTGGAATATTTGAACAATGTTTTATTCATTGTGTGGTGCTTCACCTTGCTGGTTCCTTCTTGGTAAGTCCATTTGAGTATGGGAATCAGAACTGTAGTCTCTTCGACTTTTGTATATCAGTGCGTGTATTGGACATTCTGCTACAATCCTGAGATGTTTAAAAAGCGTGCTCTTAAATCCCTGACCGTTCTGATCGATAATGGTAGATGAAATAATTGTTTCAATTTGTCAAATTGTAAGTTTCAATTTTCTTTTGAATATTTTGTCAGAACTGTTTGCTACTTCGGATTAAGATCTAAAAAGAAAAATCTATCCCTACACTGTGAGAAAGTGTTTCCCAACTCTGATGTTGCATCAATATATATTGCTCTCGATCCATAAAAGATATGAGAATTGTTAACAACCCATTTATTTATCTCTCAGTGTTCAAGACTCACACAAGATATGATCCATATCAGCTTTTTGCATTTGGTAATTGTTAAATATATAGATTGGGTGGGGCTGCAAAAGTTCCCACTAGGACGAAATCTTCATGTGTAACAGTCTTAATATGTGTCTTGGTTTGTCAGCACCATACCATGCTTGTGGGTTTCACCAATGTGGTAAGTGTCTTAAGACCGGCATCACCTCGGTCTTCCCTCCCACATCAAGCTGATGCTCCGTGATGAAACGATAGTAGCTAGGCCAACTCGCGGTTATAAATAATGCACATTGCACAGGGTAAGTCTTGCATGTCTATATTGGAGAATGAGTATTCTCAAAAGAGGTGTAATATATAAAAATGCATATATTTTAAGATATGTAATATTTTTGTGCAATTGTTCTGTACATGAACCTGGAGATGTTATACTTATTAGCTTGTTTTTTTCTATTTTGTGATATGGCAGAGTTTTAAGATGTACATATCTATGCAAGAGAGATGGTTGATTGTATAATATATTGTTGTCCAGAATTATATTGGAATCTTATATCCCATCTGCTGCGGGAATGGTATTTGCTGGTCTACCAAATACAGTACATGGAGTCACTGCTTATATTTAATAAAGCTTATCATAATGTTATATAATGTCTGTATTGTACTGGCATAGAGCGGGGTTATTAAGACCAAAATCCAATGCATAAAAAACGGGGTCGGCCCATATTCTGAACCAACTTTCCTTGATGGTATACCACTCCAAACAAGTAAAGGGACACCTACATTAGGACCACTGTCTGTTGCAATACCAACCAGCCATGACAGCTATCGCCATGTGAAAAAATCAGGTGTTCTTTAACTTATTTGAGTAGTATAGTTTGCAGGGACAACAGTTGCAGTGAGTGTGACTGCCACTGAATATTTTCAGTCCATTGTGATACACACACTGGAAGAAATACCATGAGTGAGTGAGTAAGTCTGGTGAGTTTACCCTGCTGTAAGCAATATTCCAGCAATATCACAGTGGGCGACATCAGAAATGGACTTCACACATTGTACTCATATCATGACAAGCCTTTGCTAAAACTCATATTCAGTACTTTTCAAGACTCATGAGAAAGTCCTGGTTAGAATAGGTCTTCAGAAACCCATGCTTGCCATAAAAGGCGACTGTGATTGTCGTTGTTATAACCAAGCCCTCAGACTAGAGAGAGTACCAGAGGCGTTCCGGAGACACTTTTATTTCGCCAGCCACATGGCCGGTCAACATGTCATAGCCGAGTGACAGCACGTGCGGACTACCTTCACAGGCACGTGAGGTATTCATACGCGTTACTCTCACAGTACATAGTTCAAGGGTACATCGGGTAATATAATACTTATCAAGATATTACAGTCGTGAAAGGCGACTAACGGGATCGGGAGGTCAGGCCCGCTGACTTGGTTGGGATACTTGGTCATCGTATCCCAATTGCATGGATCGATGCTCATGATGTCAATCACTGTATTGTCTGGACCAGACTCGATTATGTACAGACCACTGTCATATAGCTGGAATATTGCTGAGTGCGGCGTTAAACAACAAACAAACAAGACATTGTTTTAATATTGCAAGCATATTACATTTCGCTTTCTTGCCATGTTGATGATCTCAAAAGTGCCAACCATTCCGATGTATTCAGCTTCCTACAAGACTTGAAGTAAAACTCTCTGAAAGTTGCTGTTCAAAATCTGCTGTAAATATGCATATTAGACATATTCATATTCTTTAATTTAAACAAACAAACCAAACCCAAACCTTTCAAGCGATCAAAAGTATAAAAGTAACAACGTGTACACATTCCTATCTAACTTGGTATGTGCTTCGGAGTTGACGAGTGCCAGAAACGGAACTGTGTTCCCATGCTTGAATACAAGCGAAGGACGATCTCGTTCCCGTCCACAAAATGGGGGTGCAAACTCTGTTGTGACGACCCCGACAACCCGGTAACTACCTTGCCGGCTGCTGGCATGGTGACTTACACCCCGTTCACGTGCACCTCTATACATATGTGTGTATATGTGCTTATGTGTGTAGAAATACATACGTGAGTATACTTGTCATGTGAACGCATTTACTCGTGTGTGTATATTTACACCATGAGCAAATTTGCATCATGTCTGGAGCAGGTGTAAATGTAAATTTGCACTGTGTGTATATTTTGCAATGTGAACGTGTATGTGAACGTAAGAGCATGATCTAATTAATATCTGTTCTTTTGACAACAGCAAACACATTGTCAACAGTCGCCAACTTTTATGCGTACATACAGAGTTGAGCGGACGGTGTTTTCTTTCGGTTTGCACAAATTATAAATCAAACACATGTTGCCTCACGCGAAAATGTTTGGCGAATCAACTCTCTTCTCATTCAACGTTGATTGGAACGTCTCCCAGAACAAAAACTGAACCATCAACTACCAGTTTATCGCAGCTCAAATAGGCCACTTTGTTCTCTTGTCTGGCTCTCACCATAAAGGAAACAACTTTGATCGAACCCCTCTCACACTCTGGATGTAGCCTTCTGAAACCCTGAACTCTTTATTCCCCTTCAGAATCTTTCTGGCAGCTTCCATCACGTCTGCTCTGTCCTTGTAGAAAGAGAACTTGACAATTATCGGTTTACTTCCAGATTTTGTGTGCAGCCGATGTGCTCTTTCTTTGCAGATGGATTGAACTTCGATGTTTAGAGTAACGTCCATAAAATCTTTGACACATCTTCCCATGTTTTGTCTTGCAGACCATGAAAGATTAAATTTGATCTTCGAGACTGTGCTTCAATGCTGTCATTTCTGGATTCCAGGGCATCACGTTTCTGTTTCAAACTTGTGTTTTTCTCTTGAAGGTCACGAAGTTTGTCATCACAGTCTTTTATGAATAGGTCCATCTTGTCATGAAGGAGGTAATCTGTGTTTGGATTGCTTTGGGTGTTATAGCAAGATCGTCGAATGTTGATTGGCTATGTGAAGTGTCAGGAGTCAAACATTTGCCAGAAACATTTTGTGCAGATATTCTAGTCTGTACTCTTCCTGAAGAAGGGGGTACTTTGGGTGGTCCTGGGCTGGATTCAACATCCCCCGCTATCAATAATAGTGACAATGATAACAGAGTGAGTCTCAGAACCAACCTTGGTAGCTGTATACCGGGGTGACTTCCACGTGAGTGTTTTCTTCTCGGACAAAAACATCCTATTCTGCTACTCCAAACGACAATATCCACACCCATGCTTTTGAATGGCAAAGTGTAGGTATCTATGCCAATACTAGTACACACCTTGTTCTTGCACCACTTCCTAATATCTTGTAATCACATGTTTACTCTCCAGTGAATATGCTGTGTCAACATCATTTAAATGTCACGTGACCCGCCACCAATAATATGTTTTGAAAATGTCTATCCGTCGTTTTAAAAATTGGTAGATTAAATTTGCAAACTGAGATTGGTTGTGGCTGTATTCGTGAAGGGTGTTAAAGTACTGTAAAATCATTGTCCCCCTGAAAGAGTACGTAAATTCCACATCATTCAAAGTACATTTGGGTCTACCCCATTTTTAATCGTACTATATTTGTTAGTTTTAATTGATAGCTACAATTGACTACAATCACCTGCAGCTAAAGCCATGGTGTAAATCCTGCTGGGCAGCCGTGAAGGAAGCAGAAGTATTGTAAGTCCCCACGGTCCCCAGTATGGTGGCCTAACGTTTGTTGCTGGCGATCCCTAGCTCGTGTGTGTGGTTCATTTTCTTTGGAAACTGGAGTTCCTCCATCGTTTGAGCAGCAGCATACATGCAACTGTTTTATGTCATGCAAGGAACAGTCCGCATTGAGAGTAACAGAAATAATGTCATTTAAGTTATCAAGTTGATTCTGTGGAAATGATTGGTTAATTTGTTTTATTGGCCTCCGTTTCTTAATCGGTAAATCACAGTTTTCATTATATAATGACATAAACAAAATATACAACATGTACAAGGGATCACCAGAAAGATCATCGAAAGAAGAGGGGGAAAACTCAAAATCATCGGGGCCCTTGCCCCCTCTACACGCAGCCCAGACAGCGAATGGGACTTCTCCCAGGAAGTGCTGCCTATTCAAACCCACCCAGGACTTTTCGGAGAATGTGAAGACTCCCCAACACTGCAGCCTTCTGCATTACCCAGATTGCCAGAAGGGCTGTATTCCTGGTAGCAAACCCGGGTACTCTCCCAATCAGTCAACAGATTGGGAGGTAACAAACCTAAGGCACCAAGAACAATGGGGAGTCGGACAACATGGTACTTGGGATGCAAGCGTGACATTTCGAAAGCGAAGTCTGCATATTTGCCATGTTTATTCCTGAGTCTTGTCAATCACATTGGTGTCAAAAGTGACAGAAAATTCAATGATATAAATACTTTCATTGGATTTATCAAAAAGGACAAGATCAGTTTTGTTGGCCTTGATACGTCTGAGGCTGTCAACGGGCCTATTCCACAGAATTTTGTATTTATCATTTTCCATGATGCCCTCTACATATTCTGGGTGATTTATTTATGACGTCCAAGTACTTATTGTGTTTTTTGACGTACACTTACAAGCAAGAAAACATGCATTGCTAGTAATTGCTCGACCATAGACCATATGACATACGCATGGGTTGTTACGATGTAATGTATCACGTTATAGTCATTACAAAAAAGAAGTGACATATTCATTAGAAATATCTGCCAAAAGCAGAGTAGAAAAAGTGACAAAAAAAACCTTCCATATCTAACGGAAATCCCTTTCAAAGCGGTCTTTTGTGGAACTTCGATCATACAAGTAACATACGTTTATTGACATAATTAGCGGAGCGACCCCCGACCGCGTCATCTCAAAAGACGTTAAAAGATGGTACTTGTTGTTACCGTGCCGGTGCTCGGCATTTAGGGGCTAAAAAAAGGACTTGTTGGTTCTGAATCAGTATACTGTGTCATGGTGGGGTATTCATGTTAAACTGTGACCTGGTATCTCAGTGGGCTGGCACACTAAAATGGGCACTAGTCCGGACTAGTACAAGCATCAACACACACGCACACGCACGCGCACGCACGCACGCACACACACACTCACACACACACACACGTGCAACCACATCGCTATATAAGGATCTAGGACCCGACGTTACAACTTATTTCACCTCACCTCATGCAATGTAATCATTGTACAACAGAATTTGAGCAATCAACTCTAACCTCCGAAACATGTACAAATAAACAAATATTTATCACTTTGAAAATCACATTAACATCAATTAGTCCCCCAGCTTGTATCGTGTAATGTGCCGTGAATAATCGAAGCAACGTTAAAAAACTAACAAAAACATATTAAATCAGGACATTGATATTAATTTGAAGCTGGTGTAATATCCTACATTGATTAACTGTTTATATGCTGTGTCAGTAACTGTTTATCCCTTATCCTTAAATGCCTGTGCCCATTACCTATGTATATCCAGTGACATTTAACGTTCATAACCTGCAGTGATCAAATGTCTATATCCTGTAATATTAACTCTATATCTCCTGTAATATTAACTGTTTATATCATGTATCGATCACAGTTTTTATTCTGTATCTCAAACTGTGTATATCCTGTGTCTATATTTTGATATTTGCATCATTGACTGCTTATATCCTGTTTCCTTAACTGTATACATGCCGTGTGATTAAATGTTCATGTGATCTCAAACCGTTTATACCCTGTATAATTACCTGGTTATACACTGTATCATTACCTGGTTTTATCCTGTATAATTACCTGGATATACCCTGTATCATTACCTGGTTTTACCCTGTATAATTACCTGGATATACCCTGTATCATTACCTGGTTTTATCCTGTATAATTACCTGGATATACCCTGTATAATTAGCTGGATATACCCTGTGTCATTACCTGGTTTTACCCTGTATCATTACCTGGTTTTACCCTGAATCATTACCTGGTTTTACCCTGTGTCATTACCTAGTTTTACCCTGTATAATTACCTGGATATACCCTGTATCATTAATTACCTGGATTTACCCTGTATCATTACCTGGATATACACTGTATCATTACCTTGTTTTATCCTGTATAATTAGCTGGATATACCCTGTATCATTGCCTGGATTTACCCTGTATCATTACCTGGTTTTATCCTGTATCATTAGCTGGATATACCCTGTATCATAACCTGGTTTTACCCTGTATCATTACCTGGTTTTATCCTGTATAATAAGCTGGATATACCCTGTGTCATTACCTGGTTTTACCCTGTATAATTACCTGGATATACCCTGTATCATAACCTGGTTTTACCCTGTATAATTAGCTGGATATACCCTGTGTCATTACCTGGTTTTACCCTGTATAATTAGCTGGATATACCCTGTATCATTACCTGGTTTTATCCTGTATAATTAGCTGGATATACCCTGTATCATAACCTGGTTTTATCCTGTATAATTAGCTGGATATACCCTGTGTCATTACCTGGTTTTATCCTGTATAATTAGCTGGATATACCCTGTATCATTACCTGGTTTTACCCTGTATAATTACCTAGATATACCCTGTATCATAACCTGGTTTTACCCTGTATAATTAGCTGGATATACCCTTTATCATTACCTGGTTTTACCCTGTATAATTACCTAGATATACCCTGTATCATTAACCTTCTATATCCATGTCGTTTCTGTTTCATTTCATTTTTTTAGTTTATCTCATGTATAATTAAACGTTTATATCTTGTATCATTAATTGTTAATATCCTGTATTGTTAACTGTTTATATCCTGTGTCATCAAATATTTATATTTTGTATCGATAAGTGTTTATATCCATATCAATTTGTATGGTTAACTGTTTTCATACTGAATCAGAAACAGTTTATATCCTTTATCTTTAACGTTTGATGTTGTTTCATAAACTATTTATTTCCTATAAACTATGTTTATATCCTGTACCAAAGATAGTGTCTTGTTGATTTCATTTTTACCTGCCTTCAAAAAATGAATGTATACATTCTTTTGCCCGGCAGTTTATTTTGCAGACAATCCTGAAAAAAGGCACAAATATGATGTTGATGAATTCTTTATTCAGGTAGAGGGGCACCTGTTGGACAGAAGCACTCACTCACTCGATCCATGCAGCAACGGTGGGAACAGCGGTAGGTACGTTCAGTACCTCCCGCACCACGGACCCGGACACCAGCGACACCTCTTCAATGACTCTGCAACAGTGTGCAAGTGTGAACGATGATCAAAGGTTCATAATATATGTTACATCTTTTATCTTTCCTGACTATTAAGTCAAACGGTATAGTACACACTTCAGTTACAAGCAGCAGAATAAATCTCATTTGAATATTGGTATGAAACAACTATAGGATCGAGGAATGTTGCATTATGTTAAAAACATGTGGTGTCGCCTAAACTGAACCAATCAAAATTCATCTTAAAAGTAAGAATGCTGAGCCAGTACACTTTCCTAAAACAAACAACTCGCTTCACTTTTTCACCTTCTCCATCAATGTTAGGATATAACGTCCATACAACGTTTTTCTGTGGACTCCCTTTTGTGTTGTCACAACGTTGTGGGCTGACGTTGTGATACGTCATATACACGTTGTCACAACGTTGTGGGCTGACGTTGTGATACGTCATATACACGTTGTCACAACGTTGTTGGCTAACGTTGTGATACGTCATTTTCACGTCGTCACAACGTTGTGGGGACCTTGTATTTAACGTTGTGAAACAAAACAAAGTCGTCTTTCCATTAAGAGTTAGGAATGCTGGGCCAATCACATTTCCTTTAAACAAACAACTCGCTTCGCATTGACAACTACACCCTCAACATCTACATCTACATTTACAAGTACTACCTCTACATCTACATCTACACCTACTCCATCCACATCTTCAACTACCAAGTTGACAATTTCACGTCGTTACAACGTTGTGACATCGTTGTGTTTACGTTGTCACAATGTTATAATATTACGTCCAAACCACTTATTCTGTGGCCTCCCTTTTGTGTTGTCACAAGGGTGTGGGCTTACGCTGTGATTCGTCATTTTCACGTCGTCACAACGTGGTGGGAACCTTGTATTTAACGTTGTGGCAATGTTATTATTTGTGCCCATTTGCAACCTCTGAGGCCTACCATGGACGTTGTTACAACGAAACGAAATAACGCTGTGTTAGAAGGATTAAAAAGGTTATGATATACCCAGCATAAATGTTATAAAACACCAAAACATTTCCCGACGTTCCGGAAATGTTTGTGAAACTATTTTATTCACTGAGAATAATTCTCTCTCCAGTGTTTTATTGTGCGACGAACAACGACCTCGAGTCGTTTATTTATTATATAAGGTATCAACGTTATGTAGAGCCTCTTTAGGATGTTAGTAACTGTATACGCTTAACACATTTACCCGTATTTAAAAAATGATGACACCCTGAATGGAATTCCACCGCGGCATAGCCGGACAAGTCCATTTTATGAACAGGGGGTTCAATTTGGTCTTTCCTGACAATTCCTGACAATTATCTGTACCTTTTCTTTCAATGTCGATTGTCATATCTCTTCCACTTTTGGAAGCGACCGGTCGGCCATTGCGTTTATCTATGTTACCCAGCTACATCTATGGAGAACAACCGCCTCCGTGGTCTAATGGTAGAGCGTCCGCCCGGAGAGCGGAAGATCCGGGGTCGATCCCCGACCATACCAAAAGACGTTAAAAGATGGAACTTGTTGTTACCCTGTCTGGCGCTCGGCTTTAAGGGGATAAAACAAGGATTGGTCGGCTCGGAGTCAGTATACTGTGTCTGAGTGGGGTATTCATGTTAAACTGCGGCATGGTATCTCAGTGAGCTAGCACTATAAATCGGCATCAGTCTGGACTAGTACAAGAAGCCACACACATACATACACGTGCATGTCGCTATATAAGTGCAATAATCTTGGACGCGACGTTAATCCCCATTTCACCTCACCTCACTTCATTACATAGATGCTAATGGTATGGAATGTTCTCACTAGACACTTCCCTCTCAAAAGTAACGTCATATAGTTTACGACGTCATCAAGTTGCTAGCGCATGTTCGAATCTCCAGAAATGACGTCATGGTCGAACAATGTTTTATCGTGAAATAAAACACGCTTCGTTCTTCATTGTTCTTTGCGATTTATCGCGTAGTTATCTTATATTGGGTACTTAAGAAATTATTAAAAACTCACATGTGTGTCATACTGATTTTACTAAAATGACACATGCTGGTATAATAATCACTATATATTATTCATGTACGCTATAATTTTATAAGACATTTTATATAAGATTACTTCGTTATCATTTGTTTTGAAAAAAATAAGCTTTTTATCATGTCCGATGCACAGCCTTTTCACAATGTACATTTTATAAGTCACCATAACGTTCTGAAATAAGCAACTACTCCCCCTACATCTACGACTTCTCCCTCCCTCCTCATCTAAATCTCTTCCATCAACTAACCCGTCTACATCTACAACTACTCCCTTTACATCTACAGCTCTTCCCTCTACATCTACAGCTACTCTCTCTACATCTACAACTACTCCCTCTACATCCACAACTACTCCCTCAACATCTACAACTACTCCCTCTACATCTACAACTACTCCCTCTACATCTACAACTACTCCCTCTACATCCACAACTACTCTCTCTTCATCTACAACTACTCCCTCTTCATCTACAGCTACTCTCTCTTCATCTACAACTACTCCCTCTACATCTACAACTACTCTCTCTACATCTACAACTACTCCCTCTTCATCTACAGCTACTCTCTCTTCATCTACAGCTACTCTCTCTTCATCTACAACTACTCCCTCTACATCTACAACTACTCTCTCTACATCTACAGCTACTCTCTCTTCATATACAACTACTCCCTCTACATCTACAGCTACTCTCTCTACATCTACATCTACTCTCTCTTCATCTACAACTACTCCCTCTACATCTCCAACTACTCTCTCTACATCTACATCTACTCTCTCTTCATCTACAACTACTCCCTCTACATCTACAGCTACTCTCTCTTCATCTACAACTACTCCCTCTACATCTACAACTACTCTCTCTTCATCTACAACTACTCCCTCTACATCTACAGCTACTCTCTCTTCATCTACAACTACTCCCTCTACATCTACAACTACTCCCTCTAGATCTACAACTACTCCCTCTACATCTACAACTACTCCCTCTACATCCACAACTACTCTCTCTTCATCTACAACTACTCCCTCTACATCTACAACTACTCCCTCTACATCTACTCTCTCTACATCTACTCTCTCTTCATATACAACTACTCCCTCTACATCTACAGCTACTCTCTCTACATCTACATCTACTCTCTCTTCATCTACAACTACTCCCTCTACATCTCCAACTACTCTCTCTTCATCTACAACTACTCCCTCTACATCTACAACTACTCTCTCTACATCTACAGCTACTTCCTCTACATCTACAACTACTCCCTCTACATCTACAGCTACTCTCTCTACATCTACATCTACTCCCTCTACATCTACAACTACTCTCTCTTCATCTAGAACTACTCCCTCTACATCCACAACTACTCCCTCAACATCTACAACTACTCCCTCTACATCTACAACTACTCCCTCTACATCTACAACTACTCCCTCTACATCCACAACTACTATCTCTTCATCTACAACTACTCCCTCTTCATCTACAGCTACTCTCTCTTCATCTACAACTACTCTCTCTACATCTACAACTACTCTCTCTACATCTACAACTACTCCCTCTTCATCTACAGCTACTCTCTCTTCATCTACAACTACTCCCTCTACATCTACAGCTACTCTCTCTACATCTACATCTACTCTCTCTTCATCTACAACTACTCCCTCTACATCTCCAACTACTCTCTCTTCATCTACAACTACTCCCTCTACATCTACAGCTACTCTCTCTTCATCTACAACTACTCCCTCTACATCTACACTCTCTTCATCTACAACTACTCCCTCTACATCTACAACTACTCTCTCTTCATCTACAACTACTCCCTCTACATCTACAACTACTCCCTCTACATCTACAACTACTCCCTCTACATCTACAACTACTCCCTCTACATCTACAACTACTCCCTCTACATCTACAACTACTCCCTCTACATCTACAACTACTCTCTCTTCATCTACAACTACTCCCTCTACATCTACAGCTACTCTCTCTACATCTACAACTACTCCCTCTACATCTAATCTCTCTTCATCTACAACTACTCCCTCTACATCTACAGCTACTCTCTCTTCATCTACAACTACTCCCTCTACATCTAATCTCTCTACATCTACAACTACTCCCTCTAGATCTACAACTACTCCCTCTACATCTACAACTACTCCCTCTACATCCACAACTACTCTCTCTTCATCTACAACTACTCCCTCTACATCTACAACTACTCCCTCTACATCTACTCTCTCTACATCTACAGCTACTCTCTCTTCATATACAACTACTCCCTCTACATCTACAGCTACTCTCTCTACATCTACATCTACTCTCTCTTCATCTACAACTACTCCCTCTACATCTCCAACTACTCTCTCTACATCTACATCTACTCTTCATCTACAACTACTCCCTCTACATCTACAGCTACTCTCTCTTCATCTACAACTACTTCCTCTACATCTACAACTACTCTCTTCATCTACAACTACTCCCTCTACAACTACTCTCTCTACATCTACAACTACTCTCTCTACATCTGCAACTACTCTCTCTACACCTACAGCTACTCTCTCTACATCTACAACTACTCCCTCTACATCTACACTACTCCCTCTACATCTACACTACTCCCTCTACATCTACAACTACTCTCTCTTCATCAACAGCTACTACCTCTACATCTACAACTGCTATCTCTACATCTACAACTACTCCCTCTACATCTACAACTACTCCCTCTTCATCTACAGCTACTACCTCTTCATCTACAGCTTCTACCTCTTCATCTACAGCTTCTACCTCTTCATCTACAGCTACTACCTCTTCATCTACAGCTACTACCTCTTCATCTACAGCTTCTACCTCTTCATCTACAGCTTCTACCTCTTCATCTACAGCTTCTACCTCTTCATCTACAGCTTCTACCTCTTCATCTACAGCTACTACCTCTACATCTACAGCTACTACCTCTACATCTACAGCTTCTACCTCTTCATCTACAGCTACTACCTCTACATCTACAGCTACTACCTCTACATCTACAGCTACTACCTCTACATCTACAGCTACTCCCTCTACATCTACACTACTGTCTCTACATCTACTCTCTCTTCATCTACAGCTACTACCTCTTCATCTACAGCTACTACCTCTTCATCTACAGCTACTACCTCTACATCTACAGCTACTACCTCTACATCTACAGCTACTACCTCTACATCTACAGAGTAGTTGTAGATGTAGAGGTGGTAGTTGTGGATGTAGAGGGAGTAGTTGTAGATGTAGAGGAAGTAGTTGTAGATGTAGAGAGAGTAGTTGTAGATGTAGAGGGAGTAGTTGTAGATGTAGAGGGGGAAGTTGTAGATGTAGAGGGAGTAGTGTAGATGTAGAGGGAGTAGTTGTGGATGTAGAGTAAATAGTTGTAGATGTAGAGGAAACAGTTGTAGATGAAGAGAGAGTAGTTGTAGATGTAGAGGGAGTAGTTGTAGATGTAGGGGAAGTAGTTGTAGATGTAGAGAGAGTAGCTGTAGATGTAGAGGGAGTAGTTGTAGAGGGAGTAGTTGTAGAGGGAGTAGTTGTAGATGTAGAGAGAGTAGTTGTAGATGTAGAGGGAGTAGTTGTAGATGTAGAGAGTAGCTGTAGATGTAGAGGGAGTAGTTGTAGATGTAGAGGGAGTAGTTCTAGATGTAGAAGGGGGAGGTGTAGATGTAGAGGGAGTAGTTGTAGATGTAGAGAGAGTAGTTGTAGATGTAGAGGGAGTAGTTGTAGATGTAGAGGGAGTAGTTGTAGATGTAGAGAGTAGTTGTGGATGTAGAGGGAGTAGTTGTAGATGTAGAGGGAGTAGTTGTAGATGTAGAGGGAGTAGTTCTAGATGTAGAAGGAGCAGTTGTAGATGTAGAGGGAGGAGGTGTAGATGTAGAGGGAGTAGTTGTAGATGTAGAGGTGGTAGTTGTAGATGTAAAGGGAGTAGTTGTGGATGTAGAGGGAGTAGTTGTAGATGTAGAGGTGGTAGTTGTAGATGTAGAGGTGGTAGTTGTAGATGTAGAGGGAGTAGTTGTGGATGTAGAGGAAATAGTTGTAGATGTAGAGGAAATAGTTGTAGATGTAGAGAGAGTAGTTGTAGATGTAGAGGGAGTAGTTGTAGATGTAGAGGGAGTAGTGTAGATGTAGAGGGAGTAGTTGTAGATGTAGAGGAAGTAGTTGTAGATGTAGTGGAAGTAGTTGTAGATGTAGAGAGAGTAGCTGTAGATGTAGAGGGAGTAGTTGTAGAGGGAGTAGTTGTAGAGGGAGTAGTTGTAGATGTAGAGAGAGTAGTTGTAGATGTAGAGGGAGTAGTTGTAGATGTAGAGAGTAGCTGTAGATGTAGAGGGAGTAGTTGTAGATGTAGAGGGAGTAGTTCTAGATGTAGAAGGAGGAGGTGTAGATGTAGAGGGAGTAGTTGTAGATGTAGAGAGTAGTTGTAGATGTAGAGGGAGTAGTTGTAGATGTAGAGGAAGTAGTTGTAGATGTAGAGAGTAGTTGTAGATGAAGAGGGAGTAGTTGTAGATGAAGAGAGAGTAGCTGTAGATGTAGAGGGAGTAGTTGTAGATGTAGAGGGAGTAGTTGTAGATGTAGAGGGAGTAGTTGTAGATGTAGAGGTGGTAGTTGTAGATGTAGAGGGAGTAGTTGTAGATGTAGAGGGAGTAGTTGTAGATGTAGAGGGAGTAGTTGTAGATGTAGAGAGTAGTTGTGGATGTAGAGGGAGTAGCTGTAGATGTAGAGGGAGTAGTTGTAGATGTAGAGGGAGTAGTTCTAGATGTAGAAGGAGCAGTTGTAGATGTAGAGGGAGGAGGTGTAGATGTAGAGGGAGTAGTTGTAGATGTAGAGGTGGTAGTTGTAGATGTAGAGGTGGTAGTTGTAGATGTAAAGGGAGTAGTTGTGGATGTAGAGGGAGTAGTTGTAGATGTAGAGGTGGTAGTTGTAGATGTAGAGGTGGTAGTTGTAGATGTAGAGGGAGTAGTTGTGGATGTAGAGGAAATAGTTGTAGATGTAGAGGAAATAGTTGTAGATGTAGAGAGAGTAGTTGTAGATGTAGAGGGAGTAGTTGTAGATGTAGAGGGAGTAGTGTAGATGTAGAGGGAGTAGTTGTAGATGTAAAGGGAGTAGTTGTGGATGTAGAGGGAGTAGTTGTAGATGTAGAGGTGGTAGTTGTAGATGTAGAGGTGGTAGTTGTAGATGTAGAGGGAGTAGTTGTGGATGTAGAGGAAATAGTTGTAGATGTAGAGGAAATAGTTGTAGATGTAGAGGAAGTAGTTGTAGATGTAGTGGAAGTAGTTGTAGATGTAGAGGAAGTAGCTGTAGATGTAGAGGGAGTAGTTGTAGAGGGAGTAGTTGTAGAGGGAGTAGTTGTAGATGTAGAGAGAGTAGTTGTAGATGTAGAGGGAGTAGTTGTAGATGTAGAGAGTAGCTGTAGATGTAGAGGGAGTAGTTGTAGATGTAGAGGGAGTAGTTGTAGATGTAGAGAGTAGCTGTAGATGTAGAGGGAGTAGCTGTAGATGTAGAGAGAGTAGTTGTAGATGTAGAGGGAGTAGTGTTTAATGTTGAGGGAGTAGTTCTAGATGTAGAAAGACAGTTGTAGATATAGAGGGAGGAGGTGTAGATGTAGAGGGAGGAGGTGTAGATGTAGAGGGAGGAGGTGTAGATGTAGAAAGAGTGTTTGACGATTATGTAGTTGACGCCTGAATTTTAAAGATGGGCCGTTGTATGGTAATGAATTAATATGTGTCAACGTTTGACGTGTTTGAAGTATTATTCTGTTTAACACAATTGGATTACGTTGTGGGTCGTGTAGGTGTCTGCCTAATTCATACACCAGAGTGAAATTCTAAAAGAAAATTATAAATGGCAAGTAATTAATAACATACTAAATTCGCTCCCGTGTAATACCAATTTTATGAAACTCGTGAATAATTCTGGTATTTGACAAGCGAAAAAATAATTTGTATTACACGGGAGCTCGTTTAGTATTCTATATGTATGACGGCGCCTCTAGATAATACATCTTACCAAGCAACGATCTGGGCCTTCAGGTTTGCTTAAACGCTCTCAACCAAGCCTGACCACCCGATCCATTTGGTCGCCTCCTTCGGCTGGCATTGGTTGCTGTGGACGAATACTAACCAGGATTCCGTACCAGGGTGCCGTTGTTCAAAACAACCTCAGCGCAACGACTGTCATAAGTCTATGTTAAGATATGGGAGTTACAATCACCTTGGCGCTAGGACTGTCGTAAGTCTATGTTAAGGTATGGGAGTTACGATCACCTCAGCGCTACGGCTGTCGTAAGTCTATGTTAAGGTATGGGAGTTACGATCACCTTAGCGCTACGGCTGTCATAAGTCTATGTTAAGGTATGGGAGTTACAATCACCTTAGCGCTACGACTGTCGTAAGTCTATGTTAAGGTATGGGAGTTACAATCACCTTAGCGCTACGACTGTCGTAAGTCTATGTTAAGGTATGGGAGTTACAATCACCTTAGCGCTACGACTGTCATAAGTCTATGTTAAGGTATGGGAGTTACGATCACCTTAGCGCTACGACTGTCGTAAGTCTATGTTAAGGTATGGGAGTTACAATCACCTCAGTGCTAGGATCTTTTTGTACAAAGTAACCCCGGGTCATACGGTATACCTTAGACTGCTTGCTGCGCAGTGGAATTTTAACTATTAACCAAAGTGACAGATGTACGTCCTATGGCGACGACATCTCAAACTAAAGTGACGATAACTCAAGCAATTCCAATCTCCTCGCTCCGCACGTGCTCGGGCAGCCCGTGCCATGCAATACTTTTTTCCGCGAAGGAAGATGCGTTTCCGCTATCTGTTCACATTTTGGCATGTCTTCAAACCACTGCTTACCCAATGACATCGAACGCTATGTATAAGCTGTCCCCTTCTATATGGATGTCAGTGATATCCGCGCGTAGGTCCAGGACAAAGGTTTCCACCCCCGTGTTCAGGTTGTACTTGGAGAGTGTTCGAGGGATACGCTCCGTGAAGTATACTACTTGAGCTGAAAACGCAGGTAGTTTTATCATTAGAAATGGTAAAACAAATTGAAAATATTTTCTTGCTGGCTGAACTGAAGCACTAGACATTTACAATTACCGTATTCGACGTAATAAGCGCACAGGGCGCTCTCAAAATTAGAAATAGGGGGCTCTTATTGGAATATAATTTTGGTGAAAGAGTCGAAAGATCGTAAATTTTATGGTTTCTGCTGACAGCCTGAAATGATACAAAAGAAAAGTCTGTGCGTATTATACACGACAGATATATTTTCCAGAATTTAATTGCCCGTAATTAAGGGTGCATATAACAGACGAGTGAGTATTATACACGAATAAATGTACACGAACTGTGTACATTGATCAGTCAGAAGGGTGCTAATTGGGATTATTACCCATATGATTAAAAAACCTGACGAACCTTTTTGGAAACCTCTCTTCTTTATCAATGCTAGATAGTGTACGCTGTGTAAATCGGACAGAAATATAACTGAAATAATGTGATCTTTACAATTGTTTAACAGAACTATATTTTTCACGCGTAACAACACGTTAATTGAGTAATGCGGTTGGAATGAGTGGACAGTGTTTTTTCACATGCGGATTGATACAAAACAGCTGATTCTTGATCGGCGACAGTTGATTGTTTTTTTCTTGAAAGATGTCTTTAATTTGAATATGTGTAATAAATAGAATACCCACTCGGTACGAGTGATTACGGAAAATATGTCACGAGTGAAAGTAATGTTTTAAGTTCCGAGCTTTAGCCTCGTGGGTTATTCTATAATTGTTCACTAGCCAATATATTGAAAAATATCGCCGTGGGCGCTTCTTAGAGCGGGGCGCTTATTACATCGAATACGTTATTTCACATTGTTAACAGAACTAGAAATTCAAAAAAAGTATGGATAGGACATTCGATTCCTCTCTCAGCTATTGATCATTCACACAATAGAACTTCAGTAATATGTATTGTTACATGATTTCAGTCATTTGCTCTGTCGAGTGAGTGAGTGAGTTAGGTTTAACGCCGCTTTTAACAGTATTCCAGTTATATCGCGGCGTGTCAGCTTAATGTGGGAGGAAAGCCCAAAGTGATGCAGGTCTCAGACGTTTACCACTTCGGTGAAACCCACGAGCACGGGTATGGTGCTGACAAACCTAGAAACATAATCGGGGCGAACCGGGATTCGAAACCACAATCATAGGTTTCTGGCATGCCCAAGGGACGCAACTCTGCACAGCGAATCGCGGCGCCTTAGACGACTGGGCCACCCGTGCCCCCTACTCTGTCGAGTCAGTTCTCGTGGAACCACATTGCTATATGACGTCATGTGACCCCTTATTGACAGTTCTACAGTTCCTGGCCAAGGCTGACACCTCGTGCTCCTCGGGAACTTCGCAGGCATTCGACACTGAAATTCGAATGCAATAAGCGGACACTAACTGAATATAAACTGATATCCGAGCTAGCATGTTGAAGTTCTTGTTCACCCTCATGTGACATGTGACATGTGTCATGTGACATGTGTTTGCCTGAGATTCATGACATTGAAAGGACGTGTGTCAGACGTTTGGAAGATGTTTTTCTAGAGACATGCGTCATATTGTGGGATGAGGTTCACGTGACTGTAGAGACACGTGTCACACTACAACTCGTCTGAACGTTAATGTCCGCGCTCGGCTTGTCATCTTGTCTGTCTGTCTGGTAATAATACTTCTGGCCAGACAGACCTGTTATTGGTATAAGGAAACGCATCTTTGTTTGTCAGGACCCTGAAGTGATTGCATGAGTCAACTCCGCTTAAAGGTCAGTTATAACACGGCCTGTCGGCTTCATGTGGGAAGAAAGCCCTCAGTGATGCCTGTCTCTGACGTTAAACACCGCCACTTCCCCTCCCCAAACGCACAGCCAACCCCGAAGCTGGTTGGTAGGTTTGTTGTTTAACGCCTCACTCAGCAATATTCCAGCTATATTACGGCGGTCTGTAAATGATCGAGTCTGGAGCAGACAATCCAGTCATTGATATCATGAGCAGCGATCCACGCAATTGGGATACGATGACATGCATCAACCAAGTCAGCGAGCCTGACCACCCGATCCCGTTAGTCGCCTCTTACGACAATCATAGTCGCCTTTTACGGGAAGCATGGGTTTCTGAAGACCTATTCTACGGGCCAACCCCGAAGTACATCAGGAACATCGATATGTGTCTCAAGCACATGCCTCCTTAACGATGGTTCAGAAAATGTGCAAAATCACTGAGAACTCACATGTGTGGCTTGGAGAGTTTAAGCGTGACTAAATAGCCGCACGCCGTACGGTATAGAAAGTGTAGTGTAGATAGTTCCCTACCTGAAACGTCGACTGCAATACTCGTCACCCCGGCATTAGCAGGATTAGTTCGATAGGCAATTTCGACATTACCATCACAATCCACCCTGTAGATGGCGGGTGTTAGATTTACTGAGGCGGCGTACACATACCTACAAATGTAAATCAATATCTACTAATATACATCAATATTTTATCCCAACCATAATAGCCTAGTCCCCCCTCACGACAAACAAGGGACACATCACTCACTCATTATTTGTCTCCATGAATAACTCGACTTGGACAGCGCGTGTTTATGTTTTCACGCTCTTTTAGCAATATAACGGCGGGGGACACCAGCAAAGGCCTTCGCATTGTGTACCAATACAGGGAATCGAACCCGGGTCTCCGGCGTGACGAGTCAACGCTCTAACAACTAGGCTACTTCACCGCCCCTTATGCCGTGAGAAGCATTATTACAGCTTTATTGCGTCAGGACTTTAAACGTCGTGAGTCCTTGAGGATGATAGCATGGACAACTATCCAATATGTCGGTGTACGACACGTTGTTATCCGCGTCCCCATTACAACCTGTATGAGTATATTAGCTTCAGTGAGTGAGTGAGTGAGTGTGGTTTTACGCCGCTTTTAGCAATATTCCAGCAATATCACGGCGAGGGACACCAGAAATGGGCTTCACACATTGTACCTATGTGGGGAATCGAACCCGAGTCTTCGGCGTTCCGAGCGAACGCTATAACCACTAAGCTGCCCCACCGCCCCTGTATATTACGTTCAAATATGGATACATTTCATTATGACAAACAGTGAAGTTTTCAGTACTTCAACAATTCACGTTCTGCTTGGCATTATCGGAAGAGTTCATCATTCTGTAGAACTCACAAACCTTTGTGATTATAACTTAATCCCATCTATGGGATTATGATAAAAGTCTGAGGCACTCAGCCCTCTTTTGGTTCATATGTAGGTCTGAAGAACTCACCTGTCTATATATGTATACATAAGTATGACGAACTCTCCCATCTGTGGGTTTTAGCTAAAACTGAAGAACTCACCCATCTGTGGGTTTTAGCTAAAACTGAAGAACTCTCCCATCCGTGGGTTTTAGCTAAAACTGAAGAACTCTCCCATCTGTGGGTTTTAGCTAAAACTGAAGAACTCAGCCATCTGTGGGTTTTAGCTAACACTGAAGAACTCTCCCATCTGTGGGTTTTAGCTAAAACCGAAGAACTCTCCCATCTGTCGGTTTTAGCTAAAACTGAAGAACTCTCCCATCTGTGGGTTTTAGTTAAAACTGAAGAACTCACCCATCTGTGTGTTTTAGCTAAAACTGAAGAACTCACCCATCTGTTGGTTTTAGTTAAAACTGAAGAACTCTCCTATCTGTGGGTTTTAGCTAAAACTGAAGAACTCACCCATCTGTGGGTTTTAGTTAAAACTGAAGAACTCACCCATCTGTGTGTTTTAGCTAAAACCGAAGAACTCTCCTATCTCTGGGGTTACTGCAACGTTCGAAGAACTCACCCATCTGTGGGTAAGAACTAAATCTAAAGAACTCACCCATCTGTTGGGTTATAGCTGAGTCTGAAGAACGCAGGGTCGAAGTCTGAGTTTATTATCGTGGTCACACCGTTGTCGTACTTGTACAGGTTTCCCCCGCCAAACATATATTTGTTGGCCGATATGACAGCCATTCCAAAAAATCTGTTTGCCGCTGTAACTAAACACGGGTAAATGCATTTAGTCTGGGCATTGGCCATTAGAAGTGATATGTTTTTTAATGAGTACATATGATATTACGCCACGTTTAGCATCCTTCCAGCAATATCACGACGGGGGACAGCAGAAATGGGCTTCACACATTGTAACTTGGTGGGGAATCGAACTCGGGTCTTCGGCGTGACCAGTGAACGCTTTACCCACCAGGCTACCCCACCGCCGTGATGGAGCTTACACGCATGTCATTCTTACGTTTTCAAATTATATCTGTTTTTCATAAGTTGAAGAAAGGGTCACATCGCCTTCTTCAAAACATGGTATTGGCCTGAGACCCACATTGATGTGTAGCGATCAAAAGTAGTATTTCCCTGCGTGGACTCCAAGGAGAGAAATATGTTCAGTCAATCAAGGAGCGAGCAATGCTGAGCTTGTTGTGGACCAGCAGCAATGTTCCGAGACATCTGATTCTATTGTTGCAGTTCTTGCTTATTTAAAACTCAAATTGAACCAATCTTCTTTTTTGACTTGGAAAAAAATCCCATTATTTGTTTTTAAACCTGGTCAAGGGGAGGTAATTCCTCTGGAGATGTTTTGTGTAACCTGCAAGCTCCTTCCCAGCGCGTGACACCTTCGTTACACTCTCGGTAACGTCGCTGCCACCAGTGTGGGCGCAGCCATTACAAGAATCTTGAAATTTGCCATCTAACCCCAAATGTAGTAATGTTTATACTTTTGTTTATGTCTTTAGGAATGCCATCATATTTCATTTTGAAAAGGTTTACGACTGACCATGTTTTCCAGATGAATTTACTTTGTTGTTTTAATAATCAGATTGGTTCGACAAATGTTATATTTGGGATAACACTTTCTTGGTACTTTTGGAGGGGTTAGAGTCCCGTCCGGGATTCGAACCCACACTTTTCGACGGACGTTAGCTTGTCCCGCCGAAGTGAGGGAGTGAGTATGGTTTTACGCCGCTTTTAGCAATATTCCAGCAATATCACGGCGGGGGACACCAGAAATGAGCTTCACACATTGTACCCCTGTCGAGGATCGAACCCGGGTCTTCGGCGTGACGAGCGAAGTGATAACGTTTAACTACAAAGGCTTAAATTATGGCATAATACAATTATTGGCGACAATGCGGATAATGAACTCAATGAACTGATTTTGATAATATAATAATAACCTATTTAATACGTCGTACTTTGACAACTGCAACCTCTGGCGTCTGTATCAGTATGTATCTGGTGAACAATTGGTAAACTTTAATTCACTGCATCAAAACATCTATTTTCCTTGTAATTCTTTTCCTTATTATCCATACTTACAAGTATCTTGTTCCACGAACAAACTTACGGTCGTCTAGCATTATCGGGTCCGAGCCATCAGGAAGATTGGAGAAGACCATCCCTGTATTATCGGTGTAGATGATACGGCCGATGGCATCGTCATACTCCACTTTTCTTATCCCAGCCTGGTTAAAAGTAGTAACGGTGCCAGTCGAGTCCTCCACTGAGATAACCTCTCCGTTAAAGCCACTCCACATCACTGTCTTAGATTGATCTGAATAAGCGATTGACTATTTGAATTTCTGAGGCTTTATCAGATATATACCGTACATCATTCAAAAGGATAGATGGGGTGGTTTGTATGAGACGCACATCATTTAGATGATGACGATGTTTGTTGTTTAACGCCGCACTCAGCAATATTCCAGCTATATGACGGCGGTCTGTAAATAATTGAGTCTGGACCAGACAGTGATTGACATCATGAGCATCGATCCACGCATTTGGTATACGATGACATGCATCAACGGAGTCAGCGAGTCTGACCACCCGATCCCGTGAGTCGCCTCTTACGACAAGTATAGTCGCCTTTTACGACAAGCATGGGTTACTGAAGACCCATTCTATCCCGGATTTTCACGGGTCACATCATTTAGAAGGATAGATGAGGATGTTTGTATGAGATATATATAGCGTTCATCATTCAGAAGGATAGACGGGGAGGATTTGTATCAGATTTATAACTCTTTGTTGAATTGTCTTTAAGTCAACATCAAGTTCGGTACCATTAATCTGTGAGAATTGCATTATTGAAAATAATAGCACTCCCATTCTGATCAATTAATACATTGTCAGCAAGATAAAATATATCAAAGCGACAAAACACTTCACATATTCATAACATATCTCTGTCAAAAACAGAATAGATTGTACAATTCCGACTATATCTTGAGCGTGTGATTATGAATCACTATGAAATAGTGATGATACCAGGTGTTCGCGAAAAGGTTAGCGTATCCTGCCCCACCGGTGACACTCGTCACAAAAACATGCAAATGTAAGTCAATTGTTCACCTGAAAAAACAGGCGAGCATATGGTACAAGTCAATATAGAGAATTGCATCTGGACCTTGAATGTTGTCCCCTCCATCAAACAATTCCAGAGCAAGAGTTGTATGATGATCTTTAAAATCCTTGCAGAAAGAGCATGTTGCTATTTTAACAATTATTTCGTAAAGGGTTTGGCAATATTTTTATTCAGCATATGATGCATATTTTGAAAAAATGCTAAAGGAAAATAATACTAGATAGACACAATTTTATGGATAACAACTTCTTTAATACTGTGAAAAGCAACGTTTCGGTATAGATCCTTATACCGTTGTCAAGCAAGACTGAATGAGGGACATAGTGCAGATAAAACTATGTCCCTCATTCAGTCTTGCTTGACAACGGTATAAGGATCTATACCGAAACGTTGCTTTTCACAGTATTAAAGAAGTTGTTATCCATAAAATTGTGTCTATCTTGTTATCCGTCAACTTCTAAGTAATGCCTATCAAACAAAGAAAATAATACTGCACTTTCGTAGATTTTTTTAAGCAGTTTACCGTGTTTGGAAAGTCAGGCTTTGCTTTAAAATGGCAGACCTCGAAATAGAGAGAAGATTTTCACATTCGTAAAGAATATGTACAGTAATGTCAAATCATGTGTAACGTCTAACAATGAAATGTCAGGCTTCCTCCTAAGTCTCCCTGGTGTCCGTCAAGGAGACAATTTATCACCCCTGCTCTTTTCAATATTTCTGAATGAGTTGGAATCGTGTTAGAATAGATACTATTGACGAATTCACTGCAACGTTATGCCTGGCAGATGATACAGTATTTTTATTTGATAATGATCCCTCATCTATGAAAACATCATTAAATACACACTACTGTTATTGTGGCAAATGGACACTTGATGTCAATATTGCTAAAACAAAAAGAGGAGGTACAGCTTGATCAAAAATTGCATAGTTGATAGTAATAGTGAGTGAGTGAGTGAGTTGGGTTTAACGCCGCTTTTAACAGTATTCCAGTTATGTCAAGGCGTGTCAGCTTAATGTGCGAGGAAAGCCCGAAGTGATGCAGGTCTCAGACGTTTACCACTTCGGTGAAACCCACGAGCACGGGTATGGCGCTGACAAACCTAGAAACATAATCGGGGCGAACCGGGATTCGAACCCACAATCATAGGTTTCTGGCATGCCCAAGGGACGCAACTCTGCACAGCGAATCGCGGCGCCTTAGACGACTGGACCACCCGTGCCCCGTTGATAGTTATAACTATCTGGGGAAAAAGGTTCATAAGAATAGATGGTGTACATACGTGAGTAAACATTTGATAGAGACCGCACCCAAAGCAATATTTTCTTTACTAAAAAAAGCGAGAAACCCCAACCTGTCCTTAGATAGATTTATTTAAAGCATTAACGTTTAAGCAACTACTATTTTATTGATCCGACGTCTGGGGATATGAAAAAGCAGAAGCTATTGCATAAATCCACAAAACTACCAGTGGCTTAGATGCGTTGAATATATACTGAACTCTTGTGGACTAACTGCCGTAGTACATTCGCCATAACATTTTCAACTTTAGGCTTTAACAAATGAAGATGTGGAGGAAAATTGGTATTCTGGGATGTTAGCTGCCATTGTCCGTTGCTCAGCTGATCCAGTCACGAATTTCTTGGCCAGCTGTCAAACTCAAATTTTAGTCGGCCGCTAGTTTGAGAACGAAGCGACTTCAGCATGTGGCCGTAAGATAGCGCTCGTTGTATCACTGTACATCTCTTGCAAACGAATGGCTGTTTGCAATGCGCCCATGATTTCACAGTCCGACCTACCACTGCAAGAACCAATGCTGCCCCGAATGGTCTGAAAGCTGTCCATGAGCTCATCGAGATCCTCAGAGAGATCCCTTATCGCAACATTTCGGAAACATTCCGGACAGCCGCCACCTATAACATAGAAACACAAACATACATCACATCTGACCCGCCGAGAACACACAAACATACATCACATCTGACCCGCCGAGAACACACAAACATACATCACATCTGACCCGCCGAGAACACACAAACATACATCACATCTGACCCGCCGGGAACACATGAAGGAGGGTCGCCACCTATAACATAGAAACACAAACATACATCACATCTGACCCGCCGGGAACACATGAAGGAGGGTCGCCACCTATTACATAGAAACACAAACATACATCACATCTGACCCGCCGGGAACACATGAAGGAGGGTCGCCACCTACAACATAGAAACACAAACATACATCACATCTGACCCGCCGGGAACACATGAAGGAGGGTCGCCACCTATAACATAGAAACACAAACATACATCACATCTGACCCGCCGAGAACACACAAACATACATCACATCTGACCCGCCGAGAACACACAAACATACATCACATCTGACCCGCCGGGAACACATGAAGGAGGGTCGCCACCTATAACATAGAAACACAAACATACATCACATCTGACCCGCCGGGAACACATGAAGGAGGGTCGCCACCTATTACATAGAAACACAAACATACATCACATCTGACCCGCCGGGAACACATGAAGGAGGGTCGCCACCTACAACATAGAAACACAAACATACATCACATCTGACCCGCCGGGAACACATGAAGGAGGGTCGCCACCTATAACATAGAAACACAAACATACATCACATCTGACCCGCCGAGAACACATGAAAGAGGGTCGCCACCTATAACATAGAAACACAAACATACATCACATCTGACCCGCCGGGAACACATGAAGGAGGGTCGCCACCTATTACATAGAAACACAAACATACATCACATCTGACCCGCCGAGAACACATGAAGGGAATCGCCACCTATAACATAGAAACACAAACATACATCACATCTGACCCGCCGGGAACACATGAAGGAGGGTCGCCACCTATAACATAGAAACACAAACATACATCACATCTGACCCGCCGAGAACACATGAAGGAGGGTCGCCACCTATAACATAGAAACACAAACATACATCACATCTGACCCGCCGAGAACACATGAAGGAGGGTCGCCACCTATAACATAGAAACACAAACATACATCACATCTGACCCGCCGAGAACACATGAAGGAGGATCGCCACCTATAACATAGAAACACAAACATACATCACATCTGACCCGCCGGGAACACATGAAGGAGGGTCGCCACCTATAACATAGAAACACAAACATACATCACATCTGACCCGCCGGGAACACATGAAGGGGGGTCGCCACCTATAACATAGAAACACAAACATACATCACATCTGACCCGCCGAGAATACATGAAGGAGGGTCGTAATTGGAGCCAGTTGTCCGTCAAATTATAGTCAGTGAATTAATGTCTATGCAAATGCGGATCGTGAGTCTGATATATAATGTCTAGGATGTATATTGTGTGGCTGTTGAATAGTGCAACCAGGTATGTTTATTCAAAGCCAGTATGTTTATGCCAAAATGTGTCTTTCCAAAATTCAGTTTTGTATGTGTGCAATATACTCCAATTTTACATCTTTAGTCATGCTAGATCTTTGAAGTTATTGTGTAGGGAATCTTTGAAATGTCTCCAGGCTACGCCAGACATATAGATACAGCTAGGACCCAGACAAACCTAAGCTGTAGGGTTATCGAGTCACACCTTAAAGCTCGACTCGTAATTTCAAAAATCTAAACGACAAAATTTGTCATTTGTTATTAATGTTCACAGTCTGGTACAAAATTGAATGTATTGTCTTGGACTTTGAATTCAGATTAGGGATATTCTTGGGTGAACCACCCCCACACATACGTTTATTGTATGTGAGTATGTAGTAATTAACAGCATAGCAGTATTCAGCATTTCAGAGTTTTGATGTCGGAATTAAGGATTTCTTTTCTTGGGCATCGCACCCACACTATCTGGGCAAGCTCCGTCAAAGACACGGGAAGAGGACCCATTGTACTTAAAAGGGCAATAGTACCCACAAGTACCGTTTGAGTCACGCGGTAAAGCTAGACTCCTGGTTTCAAATTTCTTTATGTGAAATATTTGCTTAGATGTTTAATTTGTACTTTTTATGACATTACTCATTATCATTATTCGCACCGCCAAGCCAGACTCCTGAATTCAAAGAACCTCCATGATATATTTATTGAATCTGTGCAAAGCGGTAATTACCTTGTAGTGAAATTGCACATTACAAAGATCACTTAGTTAGTTTTCAAACTGGCAATAAATCAAATTGGCTAGATAATCACTTTCATACCGTCATTGCATAGATATATTTGTTGCATAAGGATTTCATGTAACTGATTTTGTTCACATTTGCATGGTTGTTTTCGTTGGTGACAAAGTTCACACACATCAATTTGGACTCATGTAAGCTTGGGGTCCAAGCTTTAGGTAACGGAGGGAAGTTGTCATGGCGACTGATTTACAACACCCATTGTCTGAAGAACATTTAATTGCAAAGGCTCATTACCCTGGAGCCATGACATCTATATGCCTTGAAACACTTCATTGCTGTTATTTATTAGATGCTAATCCTAATTGTTAATCCACATTTTTGTGTACATCGACCGTCTGCCATCCTGAACGAGATGTGCAAGTATGTCACTGATGAATTACTGTTTATATTTATATTTATTACTTACTAAATGTCATTTATTTGTCAACATTTTGTATGTTCGAAAATGCCGAGACTCAGCGGTAGATCCTTTTGCCGTTGTCAAGCAAGACTGTCTTGCTCCTTATACCGTTGTCAAGCAAGACTGTCTTGCCTGACAACGGTATAAGAATCTATACCGAAACGTCGCTTTTCACAGTATTAAAGAAGTTGTTATCCATAAACTTTTGTCTACCTTGTCATCCGTCAACTTCAAAGTAATGCCTATCAAACAATTTAGGCCTAGGCTGGCTATCCAGGGTGAAAACAATGATCTTTACTCAACTGCGGGTCTTGGTGCAATGTGAGATGTAAAGCGAGAAACGACGGCACATGTTTGTTTGTCCTCTTGTGTTCAGTCTAAATACCTCCCGGTGTGGGGCGTGTCTTGCTGTACATTCGAGAAGATTCAAGACGCTTGACCACACAAGCATCTGAATACAGATATCCACTAGAGGTGTAACGATACGGGAGGGTCGCGATACGATACGTATCACGATACAGTGTTTACTGGTACAAGCTAAGCCAAGTTGATGTCTTTCTGCTATCTAAAAGATGTGACAAGTACAGTTGAAGAAGATATAAGGTGTTTATTTACTGTTATAGCAAATACAGCAATACAGAATGTTTTACTGAAACAACAAACTGGCTTTGAAACTGTTAAACGTATTTCATGGGCGCGACCACCCCCACCCCTTTTTTTTATTTCGAAAAAAAATCTATATTTCTGTATAAATTACCACCAAATACAATAAATAGATCTTAATTGTGCAGTCCCCCCCCCTTTTCAAAAATGCTGTATCCGCCCATGTATTTCATGTATTTTCTTAAGTATAGTGCGCACCAATGTATAATGCGCACGCCCCTCTAGCGGGTTCAATATTTTGAGAAAAAAAAATTTGAATATTATGCGCAGAAAATTTTTACACCGTACCCCTACAGCGAAGTCCGGCAAACGAACGGGTGATGAGAAACTTCGTCAGTACAAATTCGGAATTTGAGATAAAAAATCACCAGACATGTTGATTTACCGTTTAAATTGTATTTTTTGTTCAGCTAGGCATTGTTTTATATCCAGGGATTAAGATTACCTTGTGTATTTTCTCGTAAACTAAGCTGGACACAGCAATCAGCTGTACATGTACACACGTTTTCTTGGAATCTACCGGTGATTCGGTCAAGACACTCAATGATATAACTTCACAGTATTTTAATGCAAGGATCGGCAAAAGTTGTATCTGAAACTATTTTTTATCAGGAATAATATATTCCAATATATTGTTAATTTAGATGCAGCTTTTACTAAACATATTTAAAATAATAATAACCCTAAGCGAAGCAGCTGATCGCTATTGCCGGGTATTATTTTTTACATGGAACCAGTCTGACCAGTCACCGTCAAGGCTCCCGTGCACGTGATCGCGAGAATTACGTGTTGACATGGAATCGTCCAACAAAAAAAATCTGACTTTTAACGAATCAAAGTATGGCATTTAGGATATATGTATCCATTCTCTGTCAACTAAAATTCCTTTCAAGGCGTCAATAGCGGTAATCTGACCGTGGTTGCTGTTAATAACGGTGAGTTGTGCGATCTTCCGATCGCTTCACACACGATTTCGCCGAAATTAATTAAAACAATATTAAAAGGAATTTTGAATAAATTTAATGAAATAAGTTACAAACATGAGTCCAGATATACAAAGAACACTTTTTTTTATAGCCAGTGTAAGTACATGAATAATTTGCGAACTTCAGTATGGATTTGTTGACATGGTATTTCCGGTGTTACGTGCTCACGGTAATGTCTTTCCATGGGGGAAAAACATAAAAACTCATTAATTCGTGTATAATGCGCAACCCTTTCTACACAGCTGTGTTTTTTGGAAAAAAAAGTGCGCAATATACTCAAGAAAATACGGTAGGTAAAACTGTGTTATGAAAATATCGTATGTATCGCGTTACATGCTTTCCAAATCGATGCATCGTATCGTGGGCTGTGCATCGGGATACAATACTGTATCGCCGTATCGTTACACCACTAATATCCACACCACTTAAAGGATGCAGTACGGACTATCCCCCGCAATGGGGCACATTATACTTTTGTTTGTTCTTTTGTATTGAATATTAACTCGGAACAAAGTCCCCAAAGAGTCTTAAAAGGCCTTAAGGAGAAATGGTAATGGGTCGCTTTATGTCTTCAAAAAGTGATATATCTGAAATTAATACACACAAAAGGCACCTTCTCTGGTAAAGAATAATTTATTGCAATTCTGTCTTGAAAAGTATCTCTTAGATAAGCAAACGTCAGTTTAAATAATTGTCCCCGCTGCGGATATCATGTACGAAGTTGAACAACACGAAACCAGGACCATAACTGTGTAAATATGAACTTGGGACAACCTTGGATACAAGTAGACAGCTCTATGTACGAACAGTGTCGTGTTTTATAGTGAATGGACGACTTCATTTAGATCAGGATGTTGGGTATGTCAATAGTCACGATGTAAGCTGTTACGTGTCGATTCCCAAAATGAAACAATATGTTAACCCAGAAATGTGTACCTTAATGAATTTACTCTGAAACAAACAAATGGTATACAATCAACTTGGTCGACAAATACTTACAATTAACTGCACAGCAATTTCAATGAGAGTACACGATAGAATGGCAGTACAATATTCCATGGCAAGTACAAGTACAATGACAGTAGTGATGACAGTGAAGATAATCTTCAACTTGCAGGGGCGGTCGGGTAGCCCAGTGGTTAAAATGTTCGCTCGTCACGCCGAAGACCCGGGTTCGATTCCCGACATGGGTACAATGTGTGAAGCTCATTTCTGCTGTCCCCCGCCGTGATATTGCTGGAATATTGATAAAAGCGCCGTAAAACCATACTCACTCACTCACTCACTCACTCACTTCACCTGGCAGCAGGTGAGGTAAAGTTTGCGATGTGAGATGTAATGGGATGTAAGATGGCTAGCGTTTCTTCACTTGTGTAAACCAAAGTACCTTGCAGAGGTTTCTATCAGTGTTCGCCATGTCTTTCTGTACGTTCCAGAAGATTCTAGACTACGTTTCACCGCACAAGCATCCAGATATAACTTCCACACCACTGCTTACATCAGATAATAAAACATGCCTGACTACTTTCTGTCAAGTCACAAGGCTATGAACTTCTTTTGAATCTCAACAGAATCAATGTAATACAATTACAACTCTCCTTTCCTTAGAAGAAAGACGGTTGGAGCATAGTGAATAATTTTACCCTGTACTTAACTCTACCTTTAAATGCTATTCACTTGACTGAGTTCATGGGCTGAAATCAACGAAATCTTATTGGAATCCCAAGTTGGATCACTCCGCAACTGATGATATTTTTGTTTTGCAGGCATGGTTTCAAAAGTCTTTAATAAAGCAAAACCCCGCCGTTATATATATAATTATAGATTGTAGAAAGGTGTTTGTTTTTTTAGTTAACCGGATCCAAAGGTTGTGAGGCTATTTCATTACAAGCTAGGAAGTCATATTTCAAGTCATGAAACCTTATCCAGCTTTATCTTACAAGACAATCCGGCTGGGGTCCATGCAGGTAGCAAAGGTACTGTAAGTCCCCATGGACCCTAGCATGGTGATCTACCTTCCGCTGCTGGCGATCTATAGCCCTTTTTTATATTGTACCGTTATATATATTGATATCTTTTATAGTTGTATGCTAGTTTTAAATATTAATCTGTGATATTCTAGTAATTTTACTGTCCATCGATGACAGGTTTTAATTTAGTTAAAACATATGGCTTAATAAATGAAATTTCTCGTCACGATATGGCTGAAATATTGCCGATGTGGCGTAAAGCTTTAACTCACTCACTCACTCACTTTCAAGACAATTGTTGTTTTATTGGATTGAAAAAATGCACCCATATAATGTTATGTTTGTGAGATTTGGGGGTATACATATAGGGAATTCATAGAAAAATGGTGCCATTTCGGCCAAAGTTGGCCGTTAAAATCAGTGTGTAAACTATCATATTATAGGTGTTTGAAATATAACTGTAGACATCATCGTATGACTCCGTGGCAGTACCCCCAGGCCAAATCACATGATGCAACTGGGGCTTCAAATTGGGTTTGATGTTACTATTTCAAACAGGTTGTGAAACAAAATTGTGGAAACGTTAATTGTTTCATACACATGTTTAATCTGAGATGTGTAGATATCGAGATTCAGAAATATTTTCAAAAATTACTTGTTCCGATTTCCTGTCACATTATAATTCATACAATTCATTACTCACGCCAGAGATGTATATTCATGAGGTGTTTTACATCAAGATATAATTAGTGTTTTAGCTGTTTCACACTCTTCCCCACATTAAAAATACACATTGTTATTGATCAAACTTCTATAGGCAAGTCAAATACAGACCCAGAAACCTCAATCATGCCCAACAGTCCTAAGGTTTTTTGTACGTAGCAGGCCCGTGACGATCCGGGGTAGAATAGGTCTTCAGCAACCCATGCTTAAAAGGCGTCTCTGCTTGTCTTAAGAGGCAACTAACGGGATCGGTTGGTCAGGCTCGCTGACTTGGTTGATGCATGTCATTGATCCCAGTTGCGTGGATCGATGCTAATGTTGTCAATCACTGGATTGTCTGGTCCAGACTCGATTACTTACAGACCGCCGTCATACAGCTGGAATATGCTGAGTGCGGCGTTAAACAACAAACAAACAAACACAACAAAATTATGTTCCAATTAAGCATCTTCACCCTCTCAGTCAGTTTTGGGGAAACATAACATTTATTTTTATGACAGTGGAATCTGGTCCGTTTCGTCAGTTCGTCATTTCGCCAGTAACATTTTAATTAACGTTAGAATCAAATTTACAGGCATCTTCGATAATCCTTTCAAATGAGAGAGACTGAGCACACAGCCTCTCAACCACGTCCAACGGTCTTAACATATAAAAAAGCACCACATTAATGCACATCATCTTGAATTGATAAAAAGTATATTATATCTCACCACAGCTAGCACATGATGTCCGGACTGCACTTCCAACATTCAAAATCTGTCTGTTCACCCGTTGCAACATAATTTCAATGCCATTGAGGTCCGTGCGGACGCTCGCTTCACTGACCGAAGCCAGAACGGCAAGCCACGAGAGAAACAAGAGAACCATGTCGGCCCTGTGTACTGCTGGCTCGGCCGCACCGGGGCGGGTATATATAGTCCTCTAAACCGCCAGTGGGCTGTGTGTATTTAATAGGCTCAATACCTGATAGTGATAGTGATACAGAACCACGTGTTCACGGTATGGTCGGAACCGTGCAATCGACTCTGCTCTTAGTAGAGATTTATTGTGAATGTCGGAAGGGTTTCGTCGTGTATTGGTTTTACTATTTTACATATTGAAATAAATAAACGCAGCAAAGAGGGTTTGGGTGATCCTGGCACAGTCAGGCTGGTTAGGCTCATCATCAGCTCATCATGATCATCATGACTCCCCAACACTGCAGCCTTCTGTATTGCCCAGATTGTCAAACAGGTCATCGGGTATTTCTGGCAGCAAATGGCAAATCAATATGGAACTTGATCATTTGTCTCTGCAAGCAAGTCAGTTGCATTTAGGTGTGATCATTTTCTTTCTATCAAAAACGGAAAGATGGAAAAATATACCACACAATTTTCTTCTGTCCGTGAATGGCTGCAAGCACATCGAGATACCAAATTAACTTATTCATAAATATACTACTGAGTAGGAATATTAAAAAAAAGTACGTTCTTAAATGTAAATCCCGCCAAAAATATCACTATCCCTTACACGTTGTTCATTTGCGTTCTATTCTATACTGGGGCGGTCGGGTGGCCTAGTGGTTAAAGCGTTCGCTCGTCGCGCCGAAGACCCGGGTTCGATTCCCGACATGGCTACAATGTGTGAAGCCCATTTCTGGTGTCCCCCGCCGTGATATTGCTGGAATATTGCTAAAAGCGGCGTAAAACCATACTCACTCACTCACTCTGTTCTATACTATTCTTTGTACCTATTTCATACATTAACTTAAACGTATAGATACGTTTATATAAAGAAATACGCTGTGCTATATTTATGAATTCTATATGTACTTTTCGCGGGTTTTGGAGTACACATACAAGGAATAATGGGGCGGTCGGGTAGCCTAGTGGTTTAAGCGTTCGCTCGTCACGCCAGGTTCGATTCCCGACAAGGTACAATGTATGAAGCCCATTTCTGGTGTCCCCCGCCGTAATATTGCTGGAATATTGCTAAAAGCGGCGTAAAATCATACTCACTCACACACATACAAGGAATAAAACATGCATCGGTAGTAATCTTTATTGGCTGGACCATAGGCTAGATGAGATACAAATGGGATGTTACGATAATCATGCTGCAGTCATTTCAGTTGTATATTTACAATAAAAGCGACAAAACCCTTTCAAGATTCATAAGCAATCTCTGCCGAAAGCAGAGTACAAAACGCGACAAAACCGTTCCGTAACCCTTAGACATCTCCAAAACCGATCTCTTGCAGAGCTCCGACAATATAATCAGTTTATTAACGTACGTGTGATTTTACCCTTTTTTTTGCAACAAAATCAGTAAATACGCCCTCGTGGTGCCTGGAAGTCTAATCCGTTCACTTGTTGTCCGGTTTGTTTACATGCCGTCGTCGCATTGCGAGTTCTGTACATACGTACTCATAAATACGATCTTCCGTGATCCATTCACTGCTATTTTGTCTTTTAAGCCCAGTGGAATCAGTCGTCGGATATCGAGACTGGTTATGTTGAAATTTGACATTTTATGAATCACTTTCAAATAGTGATGATACCAGGTGTACGCGAACAGGGAGGTAAGAATATTCTGTCCCACTGGTGGCATCCGTCACAAACACATGCAAAGACAAGTGTTCACCAATAAAACACGGGAACATGTGGTACCAGTCTAAGTAGAGACTTACATCGGGCATCATTATGAGTGAGTGAGTGAGTTGGGTTAAACGCCGCTTTTTACAGTATTACAGTTATATCACGGCGTGTCAGCTTAATTTTGGAAGAAAGCCCGAAGTGATGAAGGTCCCAGACGTTTACCACTTCGGTGAAACCCACGAGCACAGGTATGGTGCTGACAAACCTAGAAACATCATCGGGGCGAACTGGGATTCGAACCCACAATCATAGGTTTCTGGCGTGCCCAAGGGGCGCAACTCTGCACAGCGAATCACGCCGCCTTAGACGACTGGGTCACCCGTGCCCTCGACATCGTCACTTATGCGTCAAATTTGGAAACTTTTTTAAAGGTGGTACTTGTTGTTACCCTGCCTGGCGCTCAGTGTGAAGAGGATAAAACAAGTACTGGTCGGTTCGGTGTCAGTAATCTGTGTGTGTGTGTGTGGGGGGGGGGGGGGGGAGGTATTTATGTATCTCAGTGGGCTAGCACCATAAAATCGGCATTAGTCCGGACTGGCAAACAAAACAGATTCAGACACAGATACAGGCATTATTTAAGTCACATTTAAAACACATCAACCTCACATAGTCCCCCAGCTAGTATCGCGTAATGTGTCGTGAAGCCTTATCACCACACATGACTGAAGCTGTGTCAGCATCTCGGGAATCGATGGGACGTGAAACAACCATATGGTTTTGTTTAAACAAACTTGAAGATGCCTTTGGACACATTTGGTGATTCGATATTTCCTCTCTACATTTCAGTTTGGCATCTATCTCCTGTGCAGTAAGAGTGAGTGAGTATGGTTTTACGCCGCTTTTAGCAATATTCCAGCAATATCACGGCGGGGGACACCAGAAATGGGCTTCACACTTTGTACCCATGTCGGGAATCGAACCCGGGTCTTCGGCGTGACGAGCGAACGCTTTAACCATTAGGCTACCCGACCGCTCCTGTGTGGTAAGACTGTGATGGGATGACATGGTAAACGGCGTCTGGCTTAGTTCCCAGGCCAATTTGGTGAGGTTAGGTGAAATGGGGTATAACGTCGCGTCCAAGATTATTGCACGTATATAGCGACGTGCATGTACGTGTGTGTGTTTGTGTGGCTGCTTGTACTAGTCCGGACTGATGCCGATTTATAGTTCTATCTCACTGAGATACCATGCCACAGTTTAACATGAATACCCCATTCAGACACAGTATACTGACTCCGAGCCGACCAGTCCTTGTTTTAGCCCCTTGATGCCGAGCGCCAGACAGGGTAACAACAAGTACCATCTTTTATTTTAACGTCTTTTGGTATGACGAGGTCGGGGATCGAACCCTGGACCTTCCGCTCTCCGGGCGGACACTCTACCACTAGACCACGGAGGCGGTCCTCAGGCCAATTTGGACTTGAACACCTGCAATACAGGGACTTGGTTTATGTAGGTGGTATTAAGCACCCACAACATACAGAATTAGATCTGCCGAGTCTTGTCAGAAAATCTCGAAAGGTAAAACGTATCTACTCCTTGGTATGCAAGGAAATCACTTGAGCCCAGAATGGCATAATCAAAACTTGGGAATTTATCAAAGAAGTTAAACTTAAGGTTAAGTTGAAAGACAATTCCCTTTCACTGATTTATTCATCTGAACTACACGAGATCGGTGAAACAGCCTCATCTTGTTTATATTTAGATCTATGCACGGTGGGGACAAAAGGGGTTTAACGCTCACGACACCGCCGTGGTCTATTCGTATTAGTTCTGTTAAAAGTTTGTGGGGACACGGAGGGTTATGGGTAATTGCCTACAACTGTCTGACAATTCATTTTAGAGTAACTTTTACACAATATCGTTTTTTTCTTAGTTGTTCAGTTTTATTTTTAAATGAAACTCCCAAATTCATAATATGTTTGTCACCATATTGAAATGGAGACCCTGAACAGCCTGTGGCGCTTATTCCCCAGTGTTTATGGACTCAGAAGGGCGGTAACAGCATACGAGGTAAAAACAATAGTGAAGCATATTAAAGTTGAACGGGCAAACGAGTGGTTTTTTTTCTTCTAAATGTGTCAGTGTTGATATACAATTCTCAATAAGTACCGGGTATTTGTTTCTGATTGCAATTAAATTTGTAAAAACAATGTAACTTTCTTCAAGATAATATTTTCTTTTTCCAATTTCTTTCCAAATTCAAAACAAGCTGAATCCGCATTTTGATCTCATTCAACCATTCTCAACATTTCGACGTCAAAAGTTTTTTTCTTGTACTTGTCTTATTGTATAGCGAAGTCGGTTGCTTTGTTGTTTTACGCCGCACTCAGCAATATTCCAGCTCTATGACGGCGGTCTGTATAATCGAGTCTGGACCAGACAATCCAGTGATTGACATCATGAGCATCGATCCACGCAATTGGGATCGATGACATGCATCAACCAAGTCAGCGAGCCTGAGAACCCGATCCCGTTAGTCGCCTCTAACGACAAGCACAGTCACCTTTTACGGCAAGCATGGGTTGCTGAAGACCTATTCTACCCCGGGTCTTCACGGGTCTGTATGGCGAAGTGCATGCACGTGTCTATGGGTATGTGTGTACTAGTCCGGACTAATGGAAGTCCTAAAGTGCTTGCCCAATGAGATATCATGCCACAGCTTAGCATGAATAACCCACTCAGACACAGTACACAGCTCCGAAGCGATAAGTCCTTGTTTTATAACCTCAATACCAGGGAGTGAGTGAGTATGGTTTTACGCCGCTTTTAGCAATATTCCAGCAATATCACGGCGGGTGACACCAGAAATGGGCTTCACACTTTGTACCCATGTCGGGAATCGAACCCGGGTCTTCGGCGTGACGAGCGAACGCTTTAACCACTAGGCTACCCGACCGCCCCTATAACCTCAATTCCAAGCGCCACGCAGTAACGTGAGAAAAAGGCGATCAGATACAAACAGAACACCTGTAGGGTCAATGTGATATGCTAAATGAAGGCTTCCGATTGTAAAACACAATTGCTCAAGAAAATACTTGAAATATAGTTTTTTTCAGGGTCACCAAAAACCTCCCCTCCTATTCCAATGTCATTCGTCTCCAGTAAACCCATGTTGTGTTATTTGAACCAGACTCAATAGCTATGATGGTGAATGCGTCTTGGGTATTAATAACAGAATCAAAAGTGCTTCTTGTTACGGGAATGAGGGTGAGTTTGATTTAAGACCGATTTCTTCCAGCAACATTGCATAAATAAACTACTCAAAATGTGTTAGGGATCACCACCTAAAAAGGTAATACCGTATTCGACGTAATAAGCGCCCAGGGCGCTCTCAAAATTAGAAATAGGGGGCTCTTATTAGAAAATTATTTTGGTGAAAAAAAACAGTTAAAGGATAAATTTCGTGGTTTATGCGGACAGCCTGAAATGTTTATATACGACAGATATATTTTTCCAGAATTTAATTGCCCATAATTAAGGGTGCATGTAACACATGAGTGCGTATTATACGGGAATAAATAAGTTTTGAGTACATTGATCAATCGGAAGGGGTGCTAATTGGGATTGTTTACTAGCCAATTTGTTAGCAAATATCGCCGTGGGCGCTTATTACGTCGAATACGGTACATCAAACTATGTTCATCTGTTGAAAAAGCGAATGACAATACAGCACGAAGACATATCTTCCAGCTGCGTGGAGGAACACTGTCGACCAGCTGTGTGGCGGAACACTGTCGACCAGCTGCGTGGAGGAACACTGTCGACCAGCTGCGTGGCGGAACACTGTCGACCAGCTGTGTGGCGGAACACTGTCGACCAGCTGCGTGGAGGAACACTGTCGGCCAGCTGTGTGGAGGAACACTGTCGACCAGCTGTGTGGAGAAACACTGTCGACCAACTGTGTGGAGGAACACTGTCGACCAGCTGCATGTCTCTTGGTAGCTGATCTAGACTTCTGGTATTAGTTCCATGCCCTGCTGATCACACTTTGGCTGACATCAAAGACGTCTCTGACATGACGTTGTGTTGACCCACTTCAAGCATGCCTATACATCCACCATTGATGTTGTTGGAACATCAGTGCATTCAGTTGTTAGATTTTCTAGTAGCAAAAGCTGTGCTCTCTGATAACGATCTGCAATTATTCTGTCATGACATATCCAAACGTGCCCATGAATGAGTGAGTGAGTGAATATGGTTTTACGCTGTTTTTAGCAATATTCCAGCAATATCACGGCGGGGGACACCAGAAATGGGCTTCACACATTGTACCCATGTCGGGAATCGAACCCGGGTCTTCGGCGTGACGAGCGAACGCTTTAACCACTAGGCTACCCGACCACCCCTGCCCATGAATGAATGCCTGGAATTGAGGTCCTATAAGGGTTACCCAATCATTGAGTACCAGAATATTGCAATCTTTATTTGTTGGATAGTTTTGCGATATCATCAAGAAATGTGGTGCTTAGTAAACGTGGAGTCGTACACAATTTAGCCCCAAATTTTACACAAAACAGTTTTCAGTGAAACAGCATCATCGGTGGGGCCTCACTCAGCCTTTCCTCCTTCTGAGTGAGTGAATATGGTTTTGCGCCGCTTTTAGCAATATTCTAGCAATATCACGGCGGGGGACACCAGAAATGGGCTCCACACATTGTACCCATGTCGGGAATCGAACCCGTGTCTTCATCGTGACAAGCGAACTCTTGAACCACTAGGCTACCCGACCGCCCCTTCCTCTTTCTGAATGTGTGTGCGTGTTTGCATGCAAACAAAATAATTGAGTCAGACATACTACTGATTTTATTTTAAGCAACAATCCTTGCCACAGACACAGCATCAAGTCACAAGTCTGACCACCCGATCCATTACGACCAGCATAGGAAGTTAGGGACCAATGTTAACCTGGATTCATGGGTTCCCAATTTAGTCGCCTCTCCCACAATGATGTGCTGGGGATACATTCTACCTGTGGTCCTGAACCAGTCTTGGTTTGGTTTGGTTTGTTGTTTAACGCCACACTCGGCACAAGACGGCGGTCTGTAAATAATCGAATCTGGACCAGACCATCCAGTAATTAATATCATGAGCATCGATCCACGCAATTGGGGTAGATGACATGTATCAACAAAGTCAGCGAGCCTGACCACCCAATCCCGATAGTCGCCTTTTACGGCAAGCATGGTTGACTGAAGACCTATTCTACCCGGGAATCTTCACAGGTCCTGAACCAGTCACCAAAATAATGCTACGAGTCAAACAAAATATCCAGCCCATCAAACAACCAGCCCAAAAAGAAAGCAGATCGAGTCACCTGAACTCACTTTATTCCAAGATCACAATACCACTGAGATAGCACACAAGTGTAAATAACACAATTAAGTACAACAAAATGTAAAATGAAAATATTGCAAAAACTTCCTGAGTCGTTGCTTCTCCATGGTAATCACTGGGAGGCAGTAGGTCTGTTCATGTTACACATCACAACATGGTGGCAGCACATACTTATAAAAGTTCAAAATGTTTCTGTTGGCCTGTTTTTTTCAAAAATAGAGACATGATGGCAGTGTTAAAGCATGTGGCTGCAGCTCACCTGAACTTTGAAGAAACAATGTTGTAAATATTTAGAATCAGATCTGAAATCTGTGAACACATAGAGACACCACAGCAGGAATCGTTCATCCTAAGACTCACGTCCATAGACCTTGTAGTTTCATCAGACATGTCACAAATGCAGCAACACTAGAAAAACTGGTTAAGTGAAGGTCAAATCTCTTGGATTGATCAAACATCAAACTATGCCAGAATAAGGAATTATTAACGCATACCATTTCAAACTACATGCAGAAAGGACGAGTCATGGGCTAAACTTTTACTTTCAAACTGGTCATCATGGCATCTATGTATACAATCAGTTCAGAATACAGAAATCAGCTTCCTTGGCTTAGTAATAACATCATTACCATGACAGTCTGACTTGACATCTATGTCTTAATAAATGGTCATGTTTCTTGTGTGAACTTATTGCAAGGTTATATACATTACATATGAAAATGACATAAAACTGCTCGATGAATTAAATTGAGAAACGCAGTTAGTTTAAGGTCAGAGAATTTAAAATATTGAATAACCATGATTCTTTAAAAAATATATTGGTAATATTGTCAAATCAAGATTAAAATAAATAATTGTAAACGATGAAACTCAAATAAGCAGCTGCTATTGCCCTGTGCATAATTCATAAAAAGAAACAAAATAGAACAAATAGTTCCTTTTGACCAACATATAGTTAAATTAAATTGTATCTTATAAAACATAATCATACATTTCAGATGGACTGATGAGCTAAATAACTCACACACATTTGAGCAATGGTATATAATTATGCATGCTGTTTGAATATACATGATATGGAGTGGGTTAGGGACATATAACTTATGGCGGGGCACTCCAGAAATGGGCTTCACACATTGTACCCACATTATATTTTAAAATGTAAACATAAAAATAATTGCAATTGAGTAGTAGTTAACACTGAGATTCAAATTGGCATTGAAATGATAAAGAAAGTACATTTACACACACTGAAAATAGTCACAAAAAAAGAAAATTAAGTTGTCATTAACAAAACAATGTTGTACGGGTTTGAATCTCATTCAATGCATTTCAAGACGTACTGCCAAAATCATTTTCTTGCCATTCATTTCGAGTTTCAGTATTTATAGAACTATATATATTATGAACAAAATGTATGAGTAGATACCAACAGTAAATAAATAAAACAACACATTATTATAAGTATTTACAATATGTACAAGGATTGTGATACATGCTTAGAAACATATTTATATTGCATTTGTTTGGCATCAGGAACATATGTATATACATGTAATAAGTATGTACCATTATATGACAATTATATTGACAATGCAAGAACTGTATCTTGCAACACAAAGAGTGAGTTAGTATGGTTTTACACTGCATTTGGTGATATTCCATTGAACAAACGCTTTAACCCCTAGGATACCCCACTGCCACTTGCAACACAAAGAACAGTCTTTGGAACCATATTTTTGATACACATGAATCTCATCTACTGGATTTGTCTAGTGTCATGACAGCGAATTGGCTTTGATCAATAATTCACCAACATTCCATCCGTATGAGAGTGGGGAGCCCAAAAATGAGCTGAACTCATTTCACCCATGTAGGGAATTGAGCCTTTGTGGTGACGAGCCACTCTTCTGCTTCTCTAAAGAACTCATGAACTGCAAAGATAACACACATCCATATAAGTTTCTTCCAACTTCTAAATGCCTATAAACTTAACTACTGAACCACTTGTTCACCTCACAAACTTTGATCCATGAAAATAGTCAAAACATGGTTTCAGAGAGCTTACTTCTGACTCTTCCACCTCCATGTCCGATTGGCCTTCAGACGCAGCAGCATCTTCATTATCTAGCACATCCTCTTCATCCAGTTCCTCAGACTTGGACATCCCAATCTGTACTCCTCGGTCTTCCTAAATGCGTTTTTTCAAGTTGCTTCTTCTGAATCTTCTTCCTCCATGTCCGATTGGCCTTCAGACTCTTCATCATCTACATCATCCTCTTCATCAAGTTCCTCAGATGTGGACATGTCAGTCTGTTCTTCATGGCATACCTCAATGTGCTTCTTCATGTTGCATTTCTGAGTGAACCCCTTCCCACAGAACTGACATTGGAAGGGCAACTTATCAAGATGAGTCGCTTTGTGCACCTTCAGGGAACCTGGGAGTGGAAACCGTTTCCCACAAACATCGCACGCGTAGGGCTTGTCTTCAGGACTGTGCTTATACATGTGAGCTTTGAGACTCGCAGCTTTGTGAAACATCTTATCACACTCAGTGCACTTAAACTTCTTTTCATCATGCAGCTTCATGTGACTGTGCAGAGAATCCGCTCTTGACATCACTTTTCCACATATCTCACACTCAAAGGACTGCACTGCGGAATGAGTGAGTTTGTGCTGCGTAAGTGATGACCTGTTTATGTAAGTCTTGTCACATTGATCACATTGCAACAAATCACCCGTGTGAGTCCTCTGGTGCTCCTTGCATGTTTGTTGTGATGAAAAGATTTTGTCACAAATATCACACGTGAAAGACTGACCTGTGTGCACAGACATATGAATTTTCAAACTTGACCTAGTTTGGAATGTCTTTTCACAAACGGTACAAGAAAATGGCCTTTCACCTGTGTGTGATAGAATATGTAGTTTTAAAGAGTCATATCGACTAAACGCAGCATCACACTGATCACAAGTATAAGGTTTTTCACCAGTATGGCATCTCATGTGTACTTTCAGTGCACTGGCGTGGGCAAATGGCCTTTCACACACATCACACTTGAAGGACTTGACTCCTGTGTGGACCAGCATATGTGACTTCAAAGATCCTGATCTTGTGAATCCCCTCTGGCACACTGTACAGATGTACGGTTTCTCTCCTGTGTGGGTTCTAATGTGATCTCGGAGCTGCCCCGCTGAAAGGAAGGTCTTGTTACATTCTTTACACTTGTGGTTTCGTTCTTTCTTGTGGACCCTTTTGTCATGTGTCCGGAGATGAGAAGATTGGGTGAATGCTTTATCACAGATTGTACACTTATAATTGCGCAGTCCAGCATGGAATCTCATGTGTGTCCTGAGGGAAGACTTCTGTGAGAATTGCTTTGAACAAACATCACATTTATGAGCCTTAACTCCAGTATGGGTGAGCATGTGGGAACGTAGTGAGTCCTTCCTGTTGAAGCGGTTTGGGCATAATTCACATTGAAATGGTTTTATACCTGTGTGGATTTTCATATGACCTGTTAAATCCACAAAGAACTGATGACAGACTGTACACTCTGACTTTGGTTTCTCCAGCCCATTATGTTCAAGCATATGATTATCAAAAGACTGTTTGCAAGCAAACTTCCTCTCACACACCGCACACTTAAATCGTTTGAGACCGGTATGAGATCTCATATGTGTTGTCATGTTCGACTTCTGTTTAAAAGTTTTCTGACAAACTTCACACTCATACAGTGTCACTTGATCATGCAAGCGCATATGAATCTTCAAATAATCCCGACGCTTAAATGAAGACTCACAAACTCTACACTTGTAGGGCTGTGCTTCTGAATGTGTAAGGCTGTGTGTTTTCAAAGAGCTCAGACTATAGAATGCTTTATCACATGTATCACATTTGAATGACCTTGTTCGATCTGTATGGATCAGTTCATGCTTTTTCAGATTGTTCAAATCCCTGGTGATGAAGTCACACTGCTGACACTTGTAAGGCTTGTCATCACTGTGGGTCTTCATATGTGTATTTAGAGAGGAGGAAGTCGTAAAATGTTTACCACATTTCTCACATTTGTAGTTCTTTAGTCCGCTATGAGTCAACATATGTTTTTTCAAATCTTTTGATGTAAAGAACATTTTCCCACAGTTCTGACAGTCATGTTTTCTGACAGCATTATGGACAACTGTATGTGCAGCAAGACGGGCCTTCGTTGTAAAGGTTTTATCACACTGTTGACATTTGAAAGAATAATCTCCAATATGAATCTTTGTATGGTCATCAAGCACAACTTTTCTTTTAAAACATTTCTCACAAATATCACACTTGAAAGGACGTTCTTCAGAGTGAGACAGTTTATGATTTTTCAGTGCAGTGGAGGTTCTAAAAGTACTCTGACACTGGTCACATGGATGTGGTTTGGTTCCAGTATGTATTTTTAAGTGGTCTTTCAAACTGTTTCGGTCAGAAAAGCTGTTGTCACAAGATGTACACTTGAAAGGTTTTTCACCTGTATGGATACGTAAGTGGTCCTTCAATCTTATTTTCTCATAAAATGCTTTATCACAAATTTCACAAACATGAGATCTCTCGCCAATATGTCGCCTAATATGAACCTTCAGACTGCCACTGTCACCGAAACACTTGTCACAGTGCTCACACTTAAATGGTTTTGTTCCTGTATGGATGTTGGTGTGTTCTAGAAGAGATGCTTTTTGAGTAAACACCTTCTCACAGACATCACATTTGTGGGTCTTTATTTCAACAGGCCTCTTCAACGTGGTATCGTTCTTCTTTTCATGGTGTTTTTTCTCATGTTGCTTCAGATGGGATTTGTCAGAAAATGTCCTACCACAATGTTCACATTTTAATGGGGAGTTGGAATGTTTCTTCATGTGATGTTCAAGGTGTGCAGCAGAGGAATACCTTTTCTCACAAACACTACATGAGAAATTCTTTTCCTTACAAATTTGTGCATCTTCTGAAATGACAGAAGACCCAAGCACAGTTTCTTTCCTCCGTTTCTTTGCCATTGGCGACTTCTCATTAACTCCATCATCGCCTACGCGCTTTCTTTTTTCAGATCCTTGTGTCCTGCCTAGATCAGGTTCAGTCTTTTCTGCATGTCTTCTCTTGTGTTTTTCTAAATGGTCTGCATCAGAATAAGATTTCCCACACATATCACACCTGAATTTTTTATGACCTGGTTGTGACTTCTTGGAAGAGTTCTGTTCAGTATAAATTTCACCAGTCTCAGTCTCAGTCTCCGCTGGTATTGTCAGACTGTTCTGTTTTGTAGATGTTCCACCAGACTTGGTCTCACCTGGTATTGTCAGACTGTTCTGTTTTGTAGATGTTTCACCAGTCTCGGTCTCACCTGATATTTTCTGTCTGTTCTCTTGTTTTGCAGATGTTCCACCAGACTCAGTCTCACCTGGTATTGTCAGACTGTTCTGTTTTTTAGATGTTCCTCCAGACTCGGTCTCACCTGGTATTGTCAGACTGTTCTGTTTTGTAGATGTTCCACCAGTCTCAGTCTCAGCTGGTATTGTCAGTCTGTTCTTCTGTTCTGAAGATGTTCCACCAGACTTGGTCTCAGCTGGTATTGTCAGACTGTTCTTCTGTTTTGTAGATGTTCCAGCAGTCTTGATCTCACCCGGTATTATCTGTCTGTTCTGTTTTGTAGATGTTCCACCATTCTCAGTCTGGCCTGGTATTGTCAGTCTGTTCTGTTTTGTCGCTATTCCACTATTCTCAGTGTCACCTGGTATTGTCTGTCTGTTCTTCTGTTCTCTAAATATTCCACCATTACCTGGTATTGTCACTTTATTCTTCTGATCTGTAGATGTTCCAGCAGTCTTGATCTCACCCGGTATTATCTGTCTGTTCTGTTTTGTAGATGTTCCACCATTCTCAGTGTTACCTGTTGCTGTCAGTCTGTTTTTCTGTTTTGTCGACATTTCACTTGTACCACCTGGTCTAGTATCCTCATTCTGTTTCTCTTGTTTAATTTCATCGTGTTGTCTCTCATGATTCTTAAGATGATACACATCTGTGAAGGATTGCTCACATTTATTACATTTCAACAAAGCACTTTTCTTTCCATGTTCCTTCATGTGTGATTTCACATCACTCCAATCAGGAATTATTTCTTCACACACTGTGCACCCGAAGCCACCGTCCTTTCGGTGGTCAGTGAAATGAGTCTCCAAACTTTCAGATTCTTGAAAAGATTTCTTACATAAGTCACAACTGAAAGTCTCCAGATTATGCATCTTTTTCATATGGATCTTCAAATTGGACAATAACAGAAATTTCTTTGTGCATATTTCACATAGAAATTCCCCTTGTTGAGCATGTCTTTTCTGATGCGCTTTCAAAGTACGAGCAGTAGTAAACCTCAGATCACACAGTTCACACAGAAACTGCTTCATCACCTTCTTACAAAGCCCTTGCTTATGTCGGAGTAAAGTTTTCTCACTGAAGAAACCAGTCATACAGACATTACATTTAAATGGCCTGCTAGAAGTGTGAATTTTCCTGTGTGACTCAAGTTGTTTCAAATCAATGAACTTGCGGTTACATTTATCACATTCGTGTTTTCTTTCACTGTGTACCCTCTGATGTGTTCGAAGATGGGAAGGTTGGGTAAAAGTTCTGTTACATATGTTGCACAAGTAAGGACGTTCACCTGTGTGAACATGCATGTGGAGATTGAATGTTTGTTTGTTGGCAAAAGTTTTTGGACACACATCACACTTAAATGGCTTTGCCCCTGTATGGATTTTCATGTGCTGCATAAAATCATGAAAGTGAGAAAAAGCATTTCCACATACATGACATGCGTGATTCCTGCCACCAATATGAGTTGTCATGTGAGTTTTTAAGCCATGAGCCTCGGAAAATGTTGCATCGCAAAGGTAACACTTGAAATCCTTTTGTCCTGTGTGTATCTTCATGTGGCCTTTCAGATGGGCAGATCGTTTGAATGGTTTACCACAGACATCACAATCAAACTTCCGTTCACCATGAATTTTGACGTGTCTTGCCAACAGTTTTGGATCCTTAAACACTTTATCACAAAACTCACACTTTACGGATAGGTTATTGTGTATGATCTTATGGGACTTCAAAGAAGAGAAAACAGAAAAACGCTTTCCACAGACAGAACACTCATATGGCTTCTCTCCTGTGTGTGAACGCATGTGTACTTTCATCTTACCTTGGCAGGAAAGAGTCTTTCCACAAATGTTGCACTGAACAGGCTTTCCCCCAGTATGAACAGTCATGTGTTGGCTGAGGTTGTTTGTGGAATAAAATGCTTTGTGACAAATTTCACACTTGAATGTGCGGTCCCTGTGTATTTTCATGTGATGATTCAAAGAAGACTGAGAAGCACATCTCTTGTGACAAACTTGACAGCTCAATGGCAGAACATTTTTTTCTCCCAAACAAACACTGTTACTTGGGCCAGAGGTCTCCGATTTGACAGGGGTTTCCACACTAGAAGGTTCCAGGGCACTGCAGTTGCTTTCAGCAATACTTGAAGACTTTGGCTCCAATTCAACACCAAGAGCCTCATAGTTACTTTGTTTATTGTTTTCATCTACTAATGAATGTGGTGGAATGTTTGTGGTAGACTGATCCGATGTTTGTGTTAACTGGGAGGCAATTACCTTTGTTGTAGATGGTTTATGAGTAGTGTTTAAATTGGGTTGCTGCATCCTGTTTCTGTGGTGCATTAATTTCTCATCTGAAGACTTCTTTTGAACAGAACCATTGGCAATCTGGGTTGTCACTCGGTGTTTGTTATTGCATACTTCTATGCTTCTAAAACATTTTTCATTGGATGTTTCTGATGCAACAGTGTCATATATTTCTGTGGAACTGGAAGGACCAACAATGTTGATATGTGAGACATTTGTTGAACTATTTAATTTGACATTGTCTATTATAGTTTCTGAAAGCATAGTGTCAATATCACTGTGTTTAGTATTGCTAGTATCAGCTTGTGCTGGATCACTTGTCTTTGAAGGCAATGGTTTGGAGCCAACACTTGTACCCATGCGACCATTACTGAACTTTGTAGGCAATTGTTTGGAGCCACAATCAATCAACTTTGTTGGAAAAGGTTTGGCGCCAACACTTGTATCCTTGCCACTATCACCTGACTTTGTAGGCGAGGGTTTGGAGCCACTATCACTCGACTTTGTAGGCGAGGGTTTGGAGCCACTATCACTCGACTTTGTAGGCAAAGGTTTGGAGCCACTATCACTCGACTTGGTAGGCAAAGGCTTGGAGCCACTATCACTCGACTTGGTAGGCAAAGGCTTGGAGCCACTATCAGTAGACTTTGTTGGCAAAGATTTGGAGCCACTATTACTAGACTTGGTAGGCAAAGGTTTGGAGCCACTGTTACTCGACTTTGTAGGCAAAGGTTTGGAGCCAACACTTGTATCCTTGCCACTAACATTCGACTTTGTAGGCAAAGGTTTGGAGCCACTAACATTCGACTTTGTAGGCAAAGGTTTGGAGCCACTATCACTCGACTTTATAGGCAAAGGTTTGGAGCCAACACTTGTATCCTTGCCACTAGATATTGCTGCTGCTGCTGCTGCTGAAGTAGAAGAATGCTGCTTAGAACTTTTAGCTCTTTGCTTTCTGACTGAAGAAGCCTCACTTGATGTCTTTGTACGTCGACTAGACCTGTGACGTCTTGACTGGGAGGCAGTTTGTTTTCGTTTTGACTTATCACTTGAATGATGTCCTCTTCCCTTATGTCTTGAGGAATGTTTGTGTTTATGTCTCAAGTCAGATGCTGCCTGTGACTTGTGACTCTCTGAAGAACATGAATGACTTGATGACATTGTCACAGAATTTGAAACACTGGGTGTTTCATAGTTGGGGCTTGATTTTAAAGTTTCGGGAATCTTTGGGGTAAAGTGTGATGATGTTTCTTCCATAACTCTTTTTGATACACATTCTGACACATGTGCTGCCTTGAACTGTGTGCGCCTGCCTGATATATCAATGTCAGTATTAAATGTTTCTAAACATTGTTCTTGTTTAACCAAATGATTAAGCTGATGATGGTCAGCGAATGGTGCTCTCCCTTCAGCATCTTTGGTTGAATGTTGAATAATCTCTATCGGTTGTCCACAACCATCCTCCTCAACAATTTCCGTCTTCACATCCGTGCTGTCCTTTAAGGGGGTGGATGTTGTCTCCCTTAAATTATTCAATGCATTTGCAATCTTGATGTCCGTATGACCATGATGTGACTTTAAGGGTAGTTTTCTGGAGCTGTCTTTCGAATCACTGTCACCTCCTGGATGTAGTCCAAGAAAATGCTGGAATGAAGGTAAATCCCCGTCACTGTCGGATTCAGGGTCACTTGAAGCAACGGACACATCATCTGCACAGACTCCTTCAGATTCATGGCAATACTCCTCCTGTTCACTACAGAAAGAGTTCTGTTCTGACTGCTTCTGATCTGACTGGTCCTTTTTTGCCTCTTCATCATCAGACTGTTCCTGCTTAGGAATAATACTCTGGCTGTTCGCATCTTCAGATAATTTTCCATGTCCTTGATCACAGTTTTCTTCAAGTTTTATATCTTGAACATTTAACAGTGCATTTTTACAGTGTTGCACTTCATTACTGTTTTCTTCTGAAGGATCCTGCTTATTGCCAAACCTAGGCTCCTCCCGGACATCCTCACTGGATGAAGAATAGTCTTCTAGTGGTTCAATTTTAACCTGAATGTTTTCACTCAACTTACAGATAAGGGCATCTTTTTCAAGCTGAATCGCAGGCAAAGAAGGAAGCTTTTCTTTTTCACAAGTGTTTCCAACACTTTTGCCATTTATCTTCTGAGTGTGGACAGTCTCTGAAAGTTTGCCCTTATTTGACGAGTTTTTTTTGTCAGTACTGGATTTAAATGTAATTGTCTCATCACAATCACTATCAGCTGGTTTGTCTTCTGTAACTGCTTGCTCATCATGAACTTCACTTTCCTCACAAGCTTCAACTCTATTGCACTCCACTGTTGCTTCCTTTGGATGTTTGTCATTACCATTCTGACTTTTATTGAAGACCTCGTGATCTTTTGACAAAGATTCAGTTTCACCTGTCACTTGTTCTGGCACTATTTGTTTGGCATCTTGCCATTCCAAATTATCCCTCAAAAGACACTCTTCTTCTCCAGTCAAGCTATTGGATGGATAAGATTCAGCTTTGCTGAGGTTTCCTGTTTCATCACCAAGTTTTGATGTCTCTGCTGCATCGGCATCACCTGAAGGTTCTGTTGAAATTTCAGGAGCTTTTCTCACAGATAAATTGGATTCACACTTATTTTCTGGAACATTTCCAAAATAAGTCCCTAATGAAGGCTGAGCTGTATCTTCTGAAGGCAAATCAAGCAAGACATGTTTCTCCTTTGATATATCAAACTGAACTGGCACATCCTTTTCATTTTCTACACATGAAATCTGTTCTGGAGAGCTATGCAAACATCCGAAACTTTCAGATTTCAAAATCTGATCCTTGTCATTTACACATGACATGGCTCTTGTTTCACTGAGAGAATGATTTTCATACAGTTGATTAATTCCATCTGAAGCCTGCATCGCTGAACTGTCAAACGACAAACTCTTTAAACAAAAACTATCTTCAGAATGAGATCCCCCGACTGTTTTAATCACCTCAACAGTTTGTGATGGTGCACTAGTATCATTACCCGAAAAACAGTCTGGTCTTTGTTCATCCCCACAGCTTTGAGAATTCTCCTCTGAAGATATCCATTCATAGTATTTGTTTTGGTCAATCGGATCATAATTAGGGTGCACCTCATCCTGTGACTGAGCATCTGTTTCAGAAGGTGAAGAAATGTCTTCTAACACAACATTATAAGGAGACTTATCTTCCTTGTCCGGTCCACTTGTGACAACATCCTTTGAAACAACTTGACTGGGGTCAGTATTTGAAAGTTCGCTGTCTTCAAGACTACTAAAATCATGTACAGCACCACGGCCTATTTCCCTGATATGGTGCTGTACTACTTCAGTATTGTTAAAAGAGATATTTTCCTGATCTATGTTATCTGGGACTTGTTTACTAAACTTAGAATGGCCTTGGTGGACTTTATCACCTGACTGTTGATATGTTCTTTCAAAGTTGTCATTTCCACTTCTAATACTGACAGTTGTTGGATGTTCAGTTGGTTGCGATCTGTCTACTGATAAAACACAGTGTTCACTTGGTCGTGATCCGTCTTCCAATTCAAAGCGGTGTTGTGGCATGTGTTCCAAAACACTGTGGTCAGTTGGTTGTGGCCCGTCTACTGATGCACAACGGTGTTCACTTGGTCGTGATCTGTCTTCCGATTCAATACGGTGTTGTGACCTGTCTACTGACACGGCACAGTGATCAGTTCCATCAGTCCTTTCCTTGTGGTGCAAAGACATGTGTCCTGCTTCAGACAGAGACTGTTGACCTCTGTCGTTAGCATCATATAATGGAAGTGTATTTGTGTGAGGTAATCTCTCCTGCTCAGAAACCAGCTTATTTGATATTGTTGATTCATCGGATACAACAGGAGCTATTTGAGGATCTATGACATTCAATTTGAGATAATTCATGTTGTGATTATACACTTCCGGCATCTGCTGTTCTCCAGTTGTTGCCTCTGCAGATGTGCCAGCACTGAATGCACATATGTTTGGTACTGAAGATAACTGTCTATTCCCTACACACACACAAGAAGCATCTCTTTTTGATTCAAGCCCACCATCATCACCACTTGTGTGTCGATGTTTCCCACATGTGTCATAGTAGTCCCAACTTTCAGGTTCTGTGTATTCCATGTTTCCATTAACACAGTCTGCATCACCAGATGCCTTCGCATCGGGAAGAACTGTGCTTGTTGCTTTTGTCAGAATACTCAACAATAGCTTTAATCCCGAAGAATTTTCTTTCTTTGAATTACTGTGCTTTCTTGCTCTGGCCTTGAATGGTTCATTGAGCATGTGAAGGGTCTTGGGAAGACTGGGGTGAGTTTGCATATTTTTGTCAAGCTTAACTTTGACAGCAGATGCTGATGATATGCCAGATTCTTCAGAAATTCTTTCACAGACTGCAGTATTAGCATCTAAATCACTGTCTCGATCTTGTGAGTCTGATGCAGATGCTTCAGTAAATGAACCTTTGACCTGTTCATCCCTAATGGTTGTACTTGTGACAATTTTATCCCACCTTAGATGTTCACTATGATCTTCCCTCTGTCTGGGTGTTTCATAACTGTTGTCACCGTTACCTGTGAATTGCAATTCTCCCCCTCCAGTTGCTCCCAGACCCAAAGGGGATTTGTTTTTCAAATTGTTCAGTTTTTCTCTTAAATCTGTGTTTGAACATTTCCTGCTTTTTTCAGATTGAGGCATTTTCTTTAAGATTATATTGCAATGTCTTCTTTCTGCCCTAGGCTTCGAGCTAGAATCCTCACTTTGATGCCTTGGAGATGCTTGTACAATATTCTCATCCTTCATATTTGAATATCCCTGTGACACGTTTGACTCAGCAGGTTTCCTTGGGGATCTTTCATGTCCATAAGACTGATCTTCTAACCATCTACTTGGGGATCTCTTATTTCTATAAAACTGATCTTCTAACCATCTATTTGTGGATATTTCATTTCTGTAAAACAGCTCTTCTAACCATCCACTTGGGGATCTCTCATTTCTATAGGACTGCTCTTGTAACCATCGACTTGGGGATCTCTCATTTTTATAAAACTGCTCTTCTAACCATTTACTTGGGGATCTCTCATTTATATAAAACTGCTCTTCTAACCATCTACTTGGGGATCTCTCATTTTTATAAAACTGCTCTTCTAACCATCTACTTCGGGATCTTGCCTTTCGACTAGAAGTTGACTTTTCTAAACATCTGCTTGAAGTTTTGCAATGGTCGCCTTTTTTTACACTATGTCTCCTGTGGCTGTGAGAACGAACAGAATCCTCTCTGTGTCCAGACCTACGTGAGTCATGTCTGTGTGATCTTTTCTTTGGGGACCGAGAATAATCGGAATCATGCCTGTCTCTGTGACTATGAGAAGTCTCTTGCCTATGCTGCCTAACACTTTCTTGGGTGCTGCTCCTATGACGTTTTGATGCTGGTGTTCTGGGGCCCCTTTCAGAAGACTTGTTTTCTGATCTTGAACGACCTGTGTCCTCTTTCAAATGTCTCTGATCAGCCTCTGCAGCTCTGTAGTTGGACGACAGAAAACCATACTTCCTTTCATACCTATCACCTTCCTGTTCATCATGTAAAAATGACCTGGAGCTTCTCGACGAGTGATGTCTCTTTTTTTTTGGTGTTCGCCCACTTCTACCTTTAACACTGCCCTTTCTATGTCTGTTTTCAGGTTTCGAATGATCAGAATATCTAACTACTTTGGAGAAGTTAAATATTGGAACAGCCAGGGGAGTACTTGGAGAAACAGGCTTCTGTACGACACTCCTGAGTTTTCCAGTCAACCCAACATAACCACCTTTCTTATTAGAACTCGATAATACTGCAAAACCATGCACTTCTCTGGTGTCTTCAGGATTTGTCTTGTGATCTACAGAATCCTTACAGTGTAGATTCCTATCAGGATAACAACTGACCTTATCCTCACAGGGCTCCATGGTCCCTTTGTGTCTTAACTCAGATTCTGCTAAGTTCTGATGCTTTTCACAATTTTGTTCAGAAAGAACTTTATCACCAGCTGTTGGTTCTGGGACATTATCAGGGAGTCTCTTTTGTCGTTTTGTCAGTTCACTAATTTTGTCCTTGTCAGACCCAGACATCCAATGTAAATGTCTCTTTGAAGGAGGCGTTACAAACTGAAGATTGTTCTCAGTCTTACTTGCAGATGGTATGTCAAAACATTCCTTCTCTTTGCGGACTTTCTGAGGACAGTGTTCTTCACTGGCAGTCAATAGCAGTGAGCATGGAGTCACATTATCAAAACTTTCCTTCTCATTACTGGCTTTCTGATGACTTTGTTTTTGACTGATCATCAATGGACATGAGCTTGGAATAATCTTATCAATTTCTGCTTTCCTATCATTAGACAATCTGGTCTGTTTACTCCCTGCAATGCTTGCTGTCATCTCAGTTCTCATGTCGAAGTATTCATTGGCTTGTGAAGATTGCTGCTCTGGTACATTTGCTGTCTGTCTATTTACAATTTGACAAGCTTGAACTTCAGAATTTGTACTTCTATGTAATTCCTGTATAGAATGTAACCCAATAGTGCCTTCACCATACTGAATGCTTGTTGGCCTTTTACCCTGTAAAGGAAGTACAGGACTATCGACACCACTACCTTTCTTGTGTCTTTGAGTAGAGCCTATCAGACTCACAGTTATATCTGCAGATTTACAATACTGTGTTGCTGTTTCTTTATGCCAAGATGTGACAGTATCTGCTAGCACATCACATCTTTCTGTTGGAAAAGAATCAGTCAATTCAGTGTCCCTCAGCATCCTCTCGGAAGTTTCAACATTGGACTTGTGACTGATAACAGGCTGACTAGTTTTTACAGAATATTTTGAGCTTTCATGACTTCCAAGAATATGTGTTTCAGAAGTTCCACTAATATGTTTAATGTCAGATATCACTGGAACCATTTTGGATAGAGTTTCAACTTCCTGCATTTCATGGCACCCTTTGGATGATTTCATAGACACAGAACCACAACCACTTCTGGATGGAATCTGAAGTTTTTCTTCTGACCAAGTGTCAGTCTGATGATCACACTTTCGATGTGGAATTGTGGAAACTCCAAGGTTACTCACAGAATAAGGTTCAACTGTCTTGTCTGTACATTGCTCAGTAGAAACGTCACCAGTTGGATCATATTTCTGTGCTTTAAATGCAAAAGCACCATGTTGTGTAACACAGTCTTCTCTCCCTTTGCTGACTAATATGGTTTGTTTTGCATGAAGGTGTTCAAAAACAGAATTATCAGGGTTTGGTGTGTGATTCGTTGACTCACTCTTTCTCCGAGAACCCTCAGACTTGTGAATGTTTTCAAGATGTTTCGCCGTCTTTTCCTTTGACATTTTCTGTATGATTCTGCTCTGTTTCCTGGTAGATTTATTAATGCCATTCTTCACAACATGTTTTAGTTCTTGCACACTTTTCTCCCCAGTAAAACATACCCTGTCTTTACGTTTTGGGTGAGGTGGTGATTCTACAGCCAGATTATGTGTATTAGGTACAGTATTCTTTAGTTCATGGCTAGTCAATTCTATTTCAGCACGTTCCCATTTTGATTCATCAGGATTGAAAGGGCTCAAAGATATTTCACATCTTGCAGCATGTTTCTTCTGATCACAAACAGAATGGTTATCCCTTGACACACGGTTATCTGCAAGTAGGTCTCCTTTTGTTTCTAAGGCAATATGATGAGGGCTTTCAGAGTTTGACAAATGATGACTCTTGTGACTTAGCTCAACAGAATCCTTTTGACCATCTCCAGAACTGATGGACTGATAACTGACTGATGGGGAATTGATGGAAGAGAGATTCTCACAACTGCCTCGGTGTCTAGTCTCTGATTTCCCATGATTAGACTGTCCTCCATGTTTAATCGAGGACACTGAACTTTGAGTGATCATATCGACTTTGGCCTTTCCTTCACCAGACAATCTCTTTTGATGTTTGTTCCCTGAGATGCTAACTGCCTCCTTAGTTCTAACACCTGGGTGTTCAATTTGATGTGGACCTTGCCTCTTAGGTACATCTGCTGCCTGAGTGTGTACACTTCTATTACTTTGAGCTTCACAAGACACAACAGAATCTGTACCTACATGTTGATGTTCTGCAGGTTTCCCTGTAGTAACACTATCATTCTGTGTACACTGACGGCTTTTCTTTTGGGATGATTGTATTTGATTATCCTCATCTCTCTTCCTGTTGTCTTGCGATGAACAAATGAGTTTATTGCAATGGTCAACTCTGAATGTGTGGTGAGAATCCTTCTGTAGATTTGTGCCAGTTTGGTCAGAGGCAGCTTTGTCGTCTGTATTCTGTGGCCTTGGGTCAGGTTTACCAGAAATACTTTCAACCTTATCTGAATTCTGTGGCCTTGTGTTTTGTTTACCAGATACACTTTGGCCCTTATCCGAATTAAGTGGCTTTGTGCTTGGTTTAGCAGAAACATAAGGAACCTCAGTTGAATTCTGTGGCCTTGGGTCAGGTTTACCAGAAATACTTTCAACCTTATCTGAATTCTGTGGCCTTGTGTTGTGTTTACCAGATACACTTTGGCCCTTATCCGAATTATGTGGCTTTGTGCTTGGTTTAGCAGAAACATTTGGAAGCTCATCTGAATTCTGTGGCCTTGTGTTGTGTTCATCAGAAATATTTTGGACCTCATCTGAACTCTGTGGTCTTCTGCTGGGTTTATCAGAGACAATTTGAGCCTTGTCTGGTTTCTGTCCATTTTTGATTGGCTTAGCAGAGACATTGAAAACATTGTCAGAATTCTGCAGCATAGTGTCAGTTATATCAGAGGTCCTGGCACCTGATTTCTTGGGCCTTTTGATTGGCTTTTCGGAGATAATGGCAACCTCAACTGACATCTGCTGACTTTTGCTGGCCTTATCAGAGACACTGGTGACATCATCTGTTTTTTGTTGACTTTTTCTGGCCTTTTCAGAAACACTTGCAACATCATCCAGCTTCTGTTGACTTTTTCTGAGCTTATCAGAAACACTGGCGACATAATCTGGCTTCTGTTGACTTTTTCTGGCGACATTATCCGGCTTCTGTTGACTTTTTCTGGCGACATCATCCGGCTTCTGTTGACTTTTTCTGGCGTTATCAGAAACACTGGCGACATCATCCGGCTTCTGTTGACTTTTTCTGGCGACATTATCTGGCTTCTGTTGACTTTTTCTGGCGTTATCAGAAACACTGGCGACATCATCCGGCTTCTGTTGACTTTTTCTTGGCTTATCAGAAACATTGGTGACATCATCCAGCTTCTGTTGACTTTTTCTGGCGACATCATCCGGCTTCTGTTGACTTTTTCTGGCATTATCAGAAACACTGGCGACATCATCCAACTTCTGTACACTTTTTCTGGCCTTATCAGAAACATTGGCAACCTCATCCAACTTCTTTACACTTTTTCTGGCCTTATCAGAAACACTGGCAACATCATCCAACTTCTGTTGACTTTTTCTGGCCTTATCAGAAACTCTGGCGACCTCATCCACCTTCTTTACACTTTTTCTGGCCTTATCAGAAACACTGGCGACCTCATCCACCTTCTGTACACTTTTTCTGGCGACATCATCCAGTTTCTGTTGTCTTTTTCTGGCGTTATCAGAAACACTGGCGACCTCATCCACCTTCTGTACACTTTTTCTGGCGACACCATACGGTTTCTGTTGTCTTTTTCTGGCGTTATCAGAAACACTGGCGACCTCATCCAACTTCTGTACACTTTTTCTGGCGACATCATCCGGCTTCTGTTGACTTTTTCTGGACTTATCAGAAACACTGGTGACCTCATCCAACTTCTTTACACTTTTTCTGACCTTATCAGAAACACTGGCGACATCACCTGGCTTCTGTTGACTTTTTCTGGCCTTATCAGAAACACTGGCGACCTCATCCACCTTCTGTACACTTTTTCTGGCGACATCATCCAGTTTCTGTTGTCTTTTTCTGGCGTTATCAGAAACACTGGCGACCTCATCCACCTTCTGTACACTTTTTCTGGCGACATCATCCAGTTTCTGTTGTCTTTTTCTGGCGTTATCAGAAACACTGGCGACCTCATCCAACTTCTGTACACTTTTTCTGGCGACATCATCCGGTTTCTGTTGTCTTTTTCTGGCGTTATCAGAAACACTGGTGACCTCATCCAACTTCTGTACACTTTTTCTGGCGACATCATCCGGTTTCTGTTGTCTTTTTCTGGCATTATCAGAAACACTGGCGACCTCATCCAACTTCTGTACACTTTTTCTGGCGACATCATCCGGCTTCTGTTGACTTTTTCTGGCCTTATCAGAAACACTGGTGACCTCATCCACCTTCTGTACACTTTTTCTGACCTTATCAGAAACACTGGCAACATAATCCAACTTCTGTTCACTTTTTCTGGCCTTATCAGAAACACTGGCGACCTCATCCAACTTCTGTACACTTTTTCTGGGCTTATGAGAAACACTGGCGGCCTCATCCAACTTCTGTACACTTTTTCTGGCCTTATCAGAAACACTGGCGACCTCATCCACCTTCTGTACACTTTTTCTGGCCTTATCAGAAACACTGGCAAAATCATCCAACTTCTGTACACTATTGTCAGGTATATCAGCGACACTGGTGACCTCTGAATTCTGTTGACTTGTGTCACGTCTTTTTCTTCTCCTAGGTTTGATAAGCACAAGTCTGTTCTCGTCCACCAAATACCTCAGGAATGGCTTGGGTTTTTTTCGTTTCATCTCGGCAGCTACACCATTTGGGTCAGTGTTGTTTGTGACTGAAAGCAGAAAAAAACAAGACATACACTTTAATACAGTTAACTCATGCATCAGTTATGCGATACAGCAACAGTGATACTGGATACAATATATCCACTTACAATCCCTGTTCTGAGGACCGCCTCCGTGGTCTAGTGGTAGAGTGTCAACCTGTAGAGTGGGGGCTTAGACAACTGGATTATCCATGCCCCTGGGGTAAATTCAGGTCAGTGGATTTGACAAGTTATTGTTCCACTGGCAGGATGTAAAATAAAACCTGAGACCAGCTAAACTGAGTGAGCTGATATCACACCAGCTAAACTGAGTGAGCCGATATCACACCAGCTAAACTGAGTGAGCCGATATCACACCAGCTAAACTGAGCGAGCCGATAACATACACATGTATGTCACATTTAACAGCCATGCAACAATGCATGAAAACTGGCACTTAAGCGGTTGACCAAAGAACTGATTAATGGATTAAGAAAATCAAATTAATCGTCAATCTGCTGAAAGATATCACTGATTTAGAACGTCCTAGCAAACACACTGATATTGGCCCAATGTTGAGTGAATGGGTGAGAGAGTATGGTTTTACACTGCATTTAGCAATATTCTAGCAATATCACAGCAGGGGACACCAGAAATGGGCTTCGCACATTGTACCCATGTCGGGAATCCATCCTGGGTCTTCGGCCTGATGAGCGAACACTTTAACCACTAGGCTACCTGACCGCCTGGCCCAATGTTGTGTAACCTTAGGTTCCGGGTACTTTACCCTTCTACCTATGGTCACTTCTACCTATCAACTACTCCTTGGTTCTAGGGATGATGTAGCTCTCTTGAAAATCACAAGTCCGATGGTTTGCTCCAGCCTCTTTTTATTTATGATAGAATTAATCATAAATATGTATACGTGGTCCTCAGATTAGTTCTTGTTGTTGCCTGATATAAATACAACACATACCTATATGATGGTTGAAGAGCCTGATGGTTTTTCTGATGAACGTTACCTCTACTTCTTTTCTGACTCGGGATCCCAAAACCACAGTGAACCTTTCTGTTCAGCTGTCTCCTCCCGACTCCCCGCACCACTCTCGGACAACTCCCTAAATACTATCCATGATAATTTTTGCTCCTCACCCCGAAATAGTATTTGACGTCATGTGAAAATGAGTCCTAACGCTCACCTCCATATGAACCCCAATTTCCGTTCCAATCAGTTCTTCTATCAAGCCCTTCTAAACCAAACCTTCAGCTAATTTCCTAACTCATTGGTCAACCGATAAACTCTTAATAACATACTCATAATTCAACCTCTTTATGACAAAAATCCAACACTCTGTCAGACTGGAAAGCGTCTTAAAGATGCTTAATCATGTTAATCAGACATTCCAATCAAGCAGTAGTAGTGAGAAATATCCGATCATTTCAAGAGTGACAGTTTGTTCCATCCATTCATTTCCCCTCTGATACTTATATCTGTATATTGCAAGACCAGATTCTGCTAATTTCATTGTACTAATGAAAATGTTATCTCTATCACTCAATTTAGTAAAACTACATTTAAGTAAATATAAAAACCCTTTTCCAAAATACCCTGGTTATACATGCCCTTCCCGTTGTAGAGCATGTCCCATGCGATTGACCAATGATATTAAAATATAAGATGTAAATACCATAGGACAATATCACTATGTAACAATATGTGTGTGTATGTATCTGAGGACCAGATAAATCAATACAATAAAATTTTACAAAGTAATGTCTCAGATAGGATCTGTCTTGGGTTGTACCTATCTGAGAATAACATCTGAAGCTTATTAAGATATAATCAAATTATCATTCTATGTAAAGGTTTCAGGTTTACAAAAAGAAATTAAATTTTTTTCTTCGGTAGATGCAGATAATCAAATTGGTAATAATAAAACATCTTCTCAACGCTTAAACTTCATGTATATATATATATAGACATATGAGCATTTTTTTTCTTCAGGCACAAAAAAATCACAACACCAACTAACAACTTATCATCAATGTCCTAATCATGTATCCTTATTACTCCCTAGATTAACCAGTCCAAGTCGTCAGGGTTAACTCTAAAGTGTAGACCTGAGTCTGACGAAGCGTCACTTTCGCTGTCACTGTCACTATCAACTACCGGTATATTAGGGACCACAACAGGAGGTGGACTTGCTCTTATTGGGAAAAATCCACCTCGAATAAACTGGTCTGAATAAGGCCAGTGATGTACCATCAAATGAGAAAAATTTACGAGGAAAGCGGCTCTCCACCATCTTGTAGAATGAGGCTGCTCATCCCTACAAGTCCGATAGTGGAAAGTTTGACTTTCCGAAGCGTCAGGAAATTCTAACTGATATTCTGAGATGGTTGCATAAAAGTCCTGATGTTCAAGAGGATCGTCCATCTGGAGTTCTGGAATGAGGAATTGGAACTCATTCCCTATCATTCCAAATGCCATGCCATCTTGAAATAAACTTCGGACCACCTCACAAGCATAGCTGGTGGTAGTCCCGGACCTTCTTTGGGCCTCAAAATAGGGTAGTGCCAGAGTATCTGATATATCCCCTCGTATATTAGCATCCATCCTAACCTGACATACTTCACACCGAAGTGCATTATTGCTATCAACAAACAAATGTCCATTGTCCTGTTCTGTCATCCTGCCTAATGTGCCAGCAATACTATCCCTTAACACAAACTTGACCTTTTTGGAAATAATCAACACATGCATGGCACATGTTGCATGGTACATGCGTTTGCACCACCCACAATGCTGTACTTCGTAGCCCTTACTTGCATAAGGGTCCACATCAAGCAAGTCTTCTAGGCAATATCCACACCTTTTCCAGGTATTGTGGAAAGGGAAATGATCAGTGTGGGCAAGTGGTGTCCACCGCAACCTAAGCTGAATGTTTAAATTACCTTCATCCCCAAATACACAAAACTTATTTACTTGATCAGTAGTATACCCAGCTCCTCGCAAGTAAGCATAGAAGAAGGGCATCAATTTTTTTCGATAGGGTGAAGCATAACATATGATTAAAGAATCTCCTACATTAGACGGTGTCAACATGCCGACTAATCCCAACTTAACTATATCAAAGAAGCCGAAATACATCCCATATATGACCATGGTTATGGGTCGAATTTGAAATTTTCGGTACCGTCTATTTTTCATAGTGGTGGCGATGGGCAACCGGTTGTCGAAAATAGGTTCCTTTAAATCATAAGCGAAGATTGCCAAAATCTCCTTATGGATGTATGGAGTTATCAGTTCTGGTACCTCTAAATAAATAACTTCAGGCATGTCAACTTCACAGTATAAAGTCAACAGTTGTGCAAAGAACAAGGACCATTCAGCCCATGTCCTCACCTGTCTCTGCGTAATGGTGACAGTTTCACCATGATTGGTGGAATTTTTAAAAGCACCAGTAATCCTATTTCTGTTCATTTTCAGTTTATAGGTAATTGATGATAACTAAATACAATATAATTACTCACAATACTGAGTTATATATAGCAGGACACAACAATGTCTTACACGGACGTCTAACTATTGGAGGTGTACCCCTGTGGTCAACGACCGGTGACTAGCCAAGCAAGTGCGTGATAAGCGATAAGTGAAATATGCGTAATTGTATGCGATATGCTCTAAAAAGATAATTGGAATCACAAACGATATCACAAATTGCACTAAACTTCGGGGTACGAGCTAGCCACACCAAACCCCCGTGAACTATCATGGCACGTTTAAAGCGTATAGTCTGATTGCGGCCAAGCAGTTCTATTTACATTTGCAATCAGACTGATTAGGTTTTTGCATAACTTGCCAGTATGTAGACTACGGTACATTATATACGTTGAGAACATTCATTTTGTTTAGGTATCATTTTAACTATTTCAAAGCAAATAGCTACAGTATCTATATCATGCTTCATAATCAACACCTCAATTTAAAACTGTATACAACAGATTACTATATTTTTTTTTCCAACACAACATCAACTTAATGTTACATTTCTGAGCATGCATTTATATAGGGTACTACCCAATGTTCCCTTTTTGATGGTTACGGTCCATCAACAAGTATTGAAGACATCAAACATGCCACAACATACATATTTCTATCAGTAAAATTGCTCACAAATATTTCTGTATATAACATCTGCATCTACCAATACAGTATACATTTTTAAACAATCACAAAACAACCTGCGATGCAATGCAATGCACCTTATTCAATATACCTGTAACATATAACAGATATATCTTCTCTCATAAATTCAATACATTTTATCATCAATTCATAAGTACACACATTTGTATACCATATATTCATGTATACAACATCTATAATATAATCAACATCTGGTATAATCAACATCTTTGAATACAATATAACATCAACATTTGTACAAGAGGACACTAGTATGTCTGAGATCACTTAGATTTCTAAAACTGTGACATTTCAATGCTCTCTGGTCTCTGCGGAACTGACGGATAAATTAATTTTACATCCCTAACAGCAGCTGTTTGAGTAGCGGTGGTGCAAGGTAGTGGAGCAGAAGGTCTACCCGACTCGTTAACAACCATGGGATATTGTACGTTCCCATGTATCAGAGAAACACTTGCTATGTATTCCTCATCCATCATTGTGGTCAGTCTACCTGCCTTAACCCATGATAGAGATACCTTCCTGGGTAGCTCTATACGTTCATTAGTGATGGTATTTACCAAACTCGGTTTGTTAGAGCCCCATGACAAAATCATGTCAAATTTCACCAATAGTCTTGTAATGGAGATCGATTGTGGAATCATGTTTGTTCCCAAGCTTCTAATATATAATGGGCTAACTGGAATCGTGGCCAAGGTAACGTGAGTACATTTAGTTCTGGAAGCCAGTTCTATTTCCAAATAAGTCTTAGAATTTCTCATTCTTTTCATGATAATATACACTGCTATGGCAAAGATAACCAAAACTCCTGCATAGAATAGAATATTAATATCAAACATTGCTTTGATATTCGCCAGGTTATTATCGGTTGAAGCCTTTGTGGGGGATGGAGTTGGTGGAAGCCATCTAAAACGCCTATCTGAGTTTTGGTTCAGAACTGAAGCTGAAGCTTTCTCAAGATGACAAGCCAAAATTAGTACACTTAGCCTTCTTGACAGAATTCCCATGTAGACAGTTAAAAGTATGAGTCCAAAGAAGCATCCATAAAGCATATATGATGTTCCTGATAGCCATTGAGTCCCTCCTACTGGAGTCCAGTTATTCATAAAAATAGGATCGGTTGGGTCAGTGTAAATTATTTTATTTTGTTTTGCGAGTTTCACAGCTCTACGAAGACTAATTCTTATCTTTTTATCATCACCCATTATTTTTGAAAAGGTATGGTTAGCCACTTGAAATTCTGGAATATCATAGCTAGCAGGTTCATCCGTTAGGAAATTTTCCACTTCTGCTCTGAGATCATCTGCCGAAAAGTAGTGTCTCAGTAGCCCTACATTCAGAGGATATTTGAAATTAGTTTTTGTGGTTGCTTCATGACATCCTGTCAGTCTAGGTGGTATTGTCATTCCGTCTCCATCCACTCTACAGTTGCACAACAATGGTATAACGCACAAACTACAGCCTTTCATCGTCTTGGTCTTATCTTCACAAGAGTAGACAATTTTGGAAATTCCAGATAACAACAGGTCGCCAGAATTCAGTTCAAACATGAAATGACCTGCACCATTTGGAACAAGTCCAATTTCACAAACTTCATGAACCAAGTCAATATCATTAAGGAACAAAGCCAAATTGCATGAAGGATTTTGAAATGATCTTTGAGCTGGTAGATTGTGGCATTTTATAAGCATTTGATTTTGAGTGCAAAGTTCATATTGATCACTTGTGAATTCCAAAAACGTCTCATCAACTGTAGAAATGGCAATATATGGTATGGTCTCACCAACCACTGTGGCATCACCAGAAGTGTGATTTAGGGGAACTGGGAATAACTTAACTTGATAAAGTTGTGTTTCTCTATCTTTTGATGTTACTGGTAACATCATAGTGACATAAACAGTACTGTCATGTCTTACATAATGTACCTTGGTAGCTGTGTAATAATATGGCAAATCCTTATGAGCCAGATGGAAATTTGGATATTTATCCTTCAATGCTCTCCTTATTTTTGATAGAGCACGCCTTAAATGTCGGAAAGGTATCAGTTCGGGTGATAGTACATTTTCTAACAACTTATATAATCCTGTGCTCAACCGATTAATCTTCCTTTCAACCATAGTAGCAAAATGTAACTCCTTTGCAATAAGTTGTATCCAATGTGCATACATGGCCTGAAACCATCGTATCTTACCATCCTCTACATTTATCAGTTCAGTCAGTTCATTATGATTTGCAATTATACCTTGCTTCAAACCGTCCATTCTATTGTTGGCCTTAGACATGTAAGAACCCATGTAATCTTGTGACATGTTAAAAGCTGCTTCTTCCGCTCTCATTCTATGTGATAAGATATTGATATGTTGTCGTATTATGTTCACGTCGCTGTCACGGGCGGTTCCGAATAAATTATGTGAGAATTCACCAATAAAAGGTAGCAATGCTCTCTTGGAGCGAGTCTGAGAACCAGGAATTGGACCTTGAGGAATAATGTTTTTGATCAAAGTGACCCCTTCAACCAAGTCGTTTAAAGTGTCGTCATGTATGCGATAAGTAAAATTCAATACAGCCCTCATGTTCTCATCACAAGATGAGCGATTTCTTAGAAGACTAGCATTCTTGCAAATATCTCGAGGCAGAGTCGGAGAGTTAGAGATCTTGGGCAATTCAATAGCAAACGTATGATACCACGTCTGCTCATACGTTAAGAGTCTCCCCATGTGACTGAAGGTAGTACCCCAGTGAAGACGATAGATATCTGGAACGCATGACGCCAATGGTACCGAGTTCCACATCACCAGTAGTGTCATCATCACCTTAAGTGCGAAGCCGAAGGGTCCTGTAGAACACAAATATCCAAGTAAACTCTCAGATTTCTAGATCTGATCTCAGTCGTTGTTTTTATTCTATCCCTATGAAACCATAGCGTTCCTATTTGTAAAACAATATCCAACAATCCCAATTGATCGTCATCAATGTACCATACAACATATTACCTTCCCATAAATAATGTTTACCAACATTAAGGAAACCGCAGAACACAGCGCTATGCTCATACAGTCTCAATTCATGTGTCAACAATATGTTGTACTTGTGGGTCAGTTGAATATCGATAGAGCTAAAGGCCTTGTCATGTAACTACCTTAAATTCTAGCGTCAATTAAGTCCCTTTAATTAGCAGTCGTATTTTCTTTCTAACTCACATGGTTGAATCCTTGTCAACCGTCTTTGCGCAATACTGTATCATTTGTCTGAATCATTCACAACACATCTCTTCTCCTCAACAGGAGGTACACAATAGCCTTCTGACTAGGCAAAACTTTCTGAACATATTACCGGTATGATTGGCCAATCATCTACACACCACGACCGATTTATAGGTCTTCACCCAGGCTACGAGACAAATCGACCCTCTGTCCTTCGTCCCGAAGTGAATTCGTCGTTAGTCTTTCGACTGTCCTCAATATACTCAGCAACTTGAGGTAGAAACATATCTACCTCACCACTAGATACTTGTCAGGCATCTCTAGACTTGATCTTTCAAGCTTTGAAACAGCATAGGCATTTCCTCATCTATGTGTTTATATTCAAATAACGTAGGCATGTCTCCTCTACGTCCCTGTCGACATTATTACTACGTGGGCATGTCTCCTCCACGGCTTGACAGCGTAGGCATGTGACCTCTACGACTTACTATCATTTCATATCTGCGTAGGCATGTTACCTCTACGACCTTGTTCATCATCTCATATCTGCGTAGGCATTTTACCTCTACATCTTTTATTTTATTTGATGCATCTCTCAATACAGTGGGACTACAAATTACTTATTGTATAAACTACTGTCCATTACTGTGTGTTAACAACCTAACACTCCATAATACGTGACTGAACACATGTCTGCTACTTCCATCATCTTCAAACCTATTGTTTACTTTTGTGTTTCCGCTTCGCCTTACCTTTCATTGTCCTCCTGATGTGGAAGTCCTCCACAACCTCTGATGGGAGAAATTCTCTTAGAACCCATTCTCTTTTTGAGACACCGGCATATCGGACCTTATACCATTTACCTCGGCGATCCGACATACATTTCTCTAAGGCTTCGATCTGCCTGTCCTCCATTTCAGGACTAGTCTCAATCTCAGCAGTGGCGTCTTCGTTTGCCGCGCCTGCCGTTTCATGTGCATCAGTATCCCCTTCATCTGATGTCAACTCATCAGCTGATGAAGGACATGCCTCCTGTTCTGACACAACAACCTCATTGTCAGGTATCATGTCAGGATCTGGTTCCTCATCGTCAGATAAGTCTAACGGTATTGCCAAAGGGCGAGCGTCTGGACTGATATACGGTTTCAGTCTATTTGCATGAATGGGTGATCTGATCAGTTTGTCATCACCACATCTGCGTAACTGAAATGTGTGAGATGGATATTTCCATACCACATAAAATGGTCCTTGCCACGACTTGTAGAGTTTCCTACTAAACCCTATTGGCACTTTAGAACAGTAAAGCCATACCCTGTCTCCCACACGGTATGGAGGTTCAGCTGACTTCTTGTCAAACTGTTGTTTGTATGCTTCCTGAGCAATCTGTACATTCTCACGTGCAATCTCTCTGGTAACCTCGATATCACCAAGCAACTGCCTTAAGTCAGTACGTGTTTTTACTGAAAGACCTTGCGTGCGAGGCTCTAGTACATTGTCGATTGGTAACCTAGGTTCCCTGCCAAACACCATGAAGTATGGTGAGAAACCCGTCGAACTGACTGCAGGACTCATCCTGTAACCCGCTAGAATACTTGGTAACAGCTTCGGCCAGTTTTCCTGTGCCTTGTCACCATAGATCCTGAGTGATTGACCAATAACACTGTTCATGCGCTCAGCATGACTGTTTGTCTCCGGATGAAAGGGGCTGGTCTTCAGTCTACCTATGTCCAATAACCTGCATATTTCATTCAGCAGTTTGGAGGTAAACTCCATGCCTCTGTCAGTGAGTATACTCCGTGGGCAAGAATATCTGCTTATGATTTGATCATACAATACTCTCGCCACTTCAAAAGACTCCTTGCTTTTCAGTGGAAAGCATTCTGGCCATTTCGAAGCTGCATCAATGCAAAGCATGATGTATTTGAATCCGTCAGGGGATTCCTTCAATGGACCTACAAGGTCAACATGCCACCTCTGAAAAACATCTACCACCGGTAGAGGCTTCAAGGGTGCCGGTTTTGCGTGGATTTGTCTCTTTGCTGACTGACAATCCACACAAGAAGCAACCCAGGCACGTACTCTTTCATACATCCCATACCAGAAATATCTTTGTCTGATAAAGGCATAACATCTTTCTACACCCATGTGAGCTGCTAACAGGTCATCATGATAGGCATGTAGGATGGTGTCATACAATTGTTGAGGTACGGCCAGTTGTTTCACATAACGAAGTTCCTTAGGGCCTTTCCCCCTTGGAGCATAGAGATGATAGAGTATACCATCCTCCATCATAAAATCATCAGCCTCCAACAAGACTCGTCGTGCCTTCTCATCATCATCTGGCAACACATCTGATTCCAGATAATCAATGATGCGTTTGAACTTCTCATCAGCCAACTGTAGGCTGCGCAGTTTGTCTACTGTCAGACCAGTTTTCTCCTGGACATGGGTTATCACAGACACCTGAGACACTCCACTGACATATGCATGTGAGTGTTTGTCATCATCAGACAGTGACAATATCCAATCCTCATCCTCTATATCATCATAATCATTAGCAGGTGAGGGTTCATATTCTCACCGGCTCAAGGCATCTGCATTGCCATGCTTAGCACCTGGACGGTATATCACCTCATAGTCATACTGAGTAAGCATCAATGACCACCTTGCCAGTTTACCTGTAGGGTCTTTGATGCTCTTCAGGTATCTCAGAGCGGCATGATCCGTAATAACCTGAAACTTATTCGGAGCCAGATAGAGGTGGAAGTGCTTGACACCTGTGACCAATGCCAAACATTCCTTCAATGTGATGTGGTATTGTCTTTGTGTTTTGTTCAGGCTCTTGCCACCATAGGCTACCACTCTTTCTCTACCTTCAGAGTCTTTCTGGCCTAGGACAAATCCTATGGCAAAAGAGCTACTGTCTGTGTACAGAATGAAGGGTTTGTTGAAGTCAGGAAAAACCAGAATTGGAGATGATATAAGTGCCTGTTTCAAGGTCTGAAATGCCTTGTCAGCATCATCTGACCAAACAAATGGTACGTCCTTACCAAGTAATTTATTCAATGGAGCCACAATGTGGGCATAGTCCTTGACAAACTTTCTGTAGTACCCACACAACCCTAAGTAGCTTCTCAAGTCACCTACATTCTTAGGTCTGGGAAAAGACTTAACAGCCTCTATTTTACCTGGATCAGTCTTTATACCTTCTTTGGTAATGACATGTCCAAGGAATCCCACTTGTTTGACAGCAAATTTGCATTTAGAGGGCTTCAATTTCAAGTTAGCCTCCCTTAGCTTGTCAAACACTGCCTTCAGGTGTACCAAATGTTCGTCGAACGTCTTGCTATACACCAAAATGTCATCCAAGTACACTAACGTGAATTTGAACGACATAGACGAAAACAGGTTCGACATGAGAAATGCAAATGAGCTTGGTGCTGAAACCAAGCCCATGGGCATAACGAGCCACTTATAACTTTTACCTGACGGCACCGTGAAACTGGTGACGTCTTGACTGTCCTCGTCAACAGGTAACTGCCAAAAACCTTTGAACAAATCCAGGGAACTATATACCTGTGCGTGTTGACTACCTAACGAAGCTAAACTCTCGTCAATCACAGGTAGAGGCCAAATTTGATAGAGTTGCCTCCCTTGTGGTAGTTATCACTGTTTACATAGACCAGCAGAAAACATTATTAAGATCTGAGGCAATAGCTGCAAAAATATTATTTTTTTTCCCATAAAGGACACTCAAAATGGTTGAAGATTTGATTTCCTAAAGTGAACCCTGCATTCGCGAAAAGTAAAATAAGCCAAGACTGCTGGTCGCAATACAAACGTTTCACATGAATTTATAGTTATTCACAAGTAAAAACATCAACTGATGACTACACACTATTGTGAGGTCACAACCATGCATACAGTTTGTTTGTTTGTTTTGTTATTTAACACCTGATGTCAAAGCACTGTATGACGTATAGGAGGCGACTAACGGAATCGGGTGGTCAGGCTCACTGACATGGTTGATGCATGTCATTGATCCCAATTGCTTGGATCGATGCTCATGACATCAATGACTGGATTGTCTGGTCCAGACTCGATTATTTACAGATCGCCTTCATATAGCTGGAATATTGCTGTGTGCTGCCTTTAAACAACCAACCAACCAACTGTATGACGTCATCAATGAAACGCCACTGCATATTAAAAAATTATGAAAATACTTAAATGCACAGGTTTTTATCCATTTGCTCAAAAGTTTCCTCACTAACATATAGAAATTATTTTGTTTGTTGTAGTGGAGTGAGTGTGTAGGTTTTACGCAGCTTTTAGCAATATTCCAGCAATATCACGGCGGGGGACACCAGAAATGGGCTTCACACATTGTACCCGTCAGGAATCGAACCCGGGTCTTCGGCATGACGAGCGAACGCTTTAACCACTAGGCCATCCGACCGCCCCTTGATGTAGTGGAATATTTGAGTTATATATATGTACATGATATATGTGTTTAATATATTTATTAAAAATTTATACACACTTTGCGAGTGATACATCACACTTTGTTTCTGGAGCATAACTAACAAAAAAGCAGCATCATCACTGTCCTCAGCCAAGGGTTGAACATTAGAACTTTGTTTGTGAACACAGTATAGAACGTAAAGTCTGAAAAAAAAGAGTCCTATCAAGTCTCAAAAAGAGATAGGCACTTGGGCCGCTTTATGTCATCAGAAATAGTGATTAAATGTGAAATTAATACACAAATGGCCCCTTTCCTGGAAAAAATAGCTCAGGCTTGATAAGTGAGTGAGTGAGTTGAAAGTTAACGTCATATCGGCTATATTTCACCCACATCATGAGGATAACTTAGACATATATAAAAATATACCCTTGATGACAATATTAGCTCCTCTTACGAAATAATGTTTAAGTCATAGAAAATGAGTCACACCCCTTTGCCTCCATAGTAACTAATTTCCATTCTGTCTATTTCTAGATGCAGTCAGCATAAGCAAACACCGTTCTTCCCGGGCACACTCCTAATAGTCATTTGGTCAATCATACACACAAAGAAAATCAATACTATGTTCGACTGGTAGACTGAAGGCCTCTGAAGTAACATGATTCAAGGTCAATACCAGAATAATCAACTTCTTCTTGTTATGAACCATATTCAATTTCCAGAATCGGTGGTCTTGACCCTTTTTGAAAAGTTCTAGATCGAATGGTCAAATGTTACCTATTAATGTGGAAATTTATTTTAAAATGTTTCTCTCCAGCATCCCACAAAATGAGATTGCAAATTTTTTGACTTTCTGAAAAATTGGAACCTCTAAATCATCATGATCATGTAAATGGTAATCTCTGGGTAAATTTTCTGCAATCCAGTGATTATTGTTAAGCAAATAGCCCCAACGTTTAATTCCAGCATTACACTTCATCAAATCCACTTGAACTGAAGAGTACATCGGTTGGTTCTTGCTCTTCCTTCTTCTTCCATCAGGGAGCACGGGTGGCCCAGTCGTCTAAGGCGCCGCGATTCGCTGTGCGGAGTTGCGTCCCTTGGGCACGCCAGAAACCTATGATTGTGGGTTCGAATCCCGGTTCGCCCCGATTATGTTTCTAGGTTTGTCAGCACCATACCCGTGCTTGTGGGTTTCACCAAAGTGGTAAAGTCTAAGACCTGCATCACTTCGGGCTTTCCTCCCACATTAAGCTGACACGCCGCGATATAACTGGAATACTGTTAAAAGCGGCGTTTAACTCAGTATTTCATGATGATATATCCAATGTCATACACACACATGGTACTCTGGGGTGTCAAGTTGTTTAAAACTAGAATTATACTCACTGTTAAAAACTTTGCTTTCATTAGAACTATTCTTGTTAAGAATATTATCAATAGAAAATAGTCGTATGCAGAGCTACAAATAAGCTGCGTATTTGCGTAAAATACCCCCCAAATTATTCAAAACCCAATTACTCTATTAACTTGCGTACAGAAACGCATGCATTAAATGGAAAACTCAATTGTTGGAAAACAGCATGCATAAATACCCAATGAAGCTTTTTCAGCATGCGTACAACAGAGCTAATTTCCGAAACACAATCACACGCAAATTTACTTTCCGAGTCAAGCCTATATCTAGAACCATTATATAATCTAAAACATGATTTGAGTGATGAATCGATGAGTAAAAAAATATTGGTTACCCAATGAAAAATGTAATAAACGTAATAGACACCCTAGAGTAAAAACTCTAGTTTGCTCAAAAAGTTATCTGGAGCTCTGCATTTGCTTACCATATTTAGGATTGGTGGACTGGGAATAATACATAATATCAGGAGGAGAGCAGATATTGATAAGACACGTCAGTATTGTTGATAATGTAACTTACATGAAACGGAAAATAAAATTAGTTTTGTATTGATATGCCCCTCATATTTCAACATTTGGTTTTCAAGATCTGCTCCGGAAACGAAATGTGACGGAAGGACGGACGGACGGACGGACGGACAGCACCCATTCCTATATCCCCCTTCCACTTCGTGGCGGGGGATAGTAAAATATAAATTCATTCTTTGGTACCCATAAATGAATTATTGATATAAAATGGAATAATAGTAAAAAGGCGCCCTATATATTGTTTTTTGTGGATTGTATTGAGTAACGCGATTGCATCACGGTTATTGTGTTAATTGCTAGTTTTTTTTCTGCACCATCATTTCTGTTATCTTTTCAAAAACTGTTTACAAAATGGCAACTTATAATTAACCAATGAAATTATACTGACCCAACCTGCGTTTATTCATCTCTCTGTCATTATTATCGTTAACATGTGTCTAGTTTTAAGTGTATATACTTATAGTATACATCGTACTGAATAAGGAATGACACATCATTGCAACATCTAATATATACATGTAGCACAACGGTACTTTCATTCTGTAGCACAAAAAACACCACCCCGAATTACTGTGTAACGGTTAACCCGCTGTTTTCAGATGTTCCATTCAAACAAATAAGTCAGGTGTGACAGTTACCGGTTATAAAGAGTTGATAGATACTGACTTCCTACCTATTCAGTATGATTACGTATGATTACATGGCCATATGTGTGTGTGTGTGTGTGTGTGTGTGTGTGTGTGTGGACGAAATACAAGACTGTTAAGTCGACGTAAAAGCTATAATTGATGATGATAATATATCATTGAATGTAATTGTAACAAGTGCAGCGTGTGGAGATAGATTTAAATACGTTGGACACTGTAACATGTTTCAACACCTTTTGAAACGGTAAAATTAGATACATTTAAACGTTAGTAGCATATAAACACTTGACATTGAAAGGTCTACAAAAAGATATATTTATTATAATAGAATTAGAAGGTCCACAAGGGTATTCAGAAAAGGAACGTAACTCGTTACGACAAAATACTGGACATTTCCCCACACCCAACTTTTTGTTGCTGTTTTTTGTAAAAGTTAACGAGAGGATGTTTGGTGGGGACTTGACGTATCTTTTCAGAGGGTGTTACTCTGACATTACCAACTGTTTATTGGAGGATACTGGAAATGAATATAGACTGTCATGTTGTCTGACTGTAGCTAGGATTTGTTATCTTAACAATCACTGGGTGTGACCATGTGGACAGTTTTACATTAGGGGTTGTGATTTTCACAATTGCTCAAATGATCCTGCTGAGTATTGGTGCTTGCCAAAGGTAACATTTTTTGTTATTACTAATATTAGAGGTAATTGATGGTAAATACTTGATACCATGTATACAGGATATGTTGAGGATTTTTAGCCCTTTTCTTCCCCTGTGTGTAATTCTGATGGAAAGAAGTCACTCATGCATTCTATGTAAAAGAAGATCAGACTTGGTTAGAATCCGTGTTTATCTGTTACAACTTCCAACTGGTGACATTTCAGTGAACTTGGCAAGAGGTGGTGAATTTTGATATTCATATTATTATAACCTGTCAAATTGTACATAAATTTGTGTTTAAATCATAAATATTCAAAGGGACTGTTCCCTACACCCGTCCATATCTTAATTAATAAACATTATTTATTGTATGGATAATATAAAGATTTTTTCTAAGTATATGTTTTACATATTGAGTGCATGAAAGATGGGATTAAGGGAGAAAGGAAATAATTTCCTAAAAGTTTCCAATAACTAGTGGAGGAAATTGGAAATGGCTGAACCTGTAGAAAGCATCAAATCCATGACAGATGTGACAGATCTCACAGGGTGACATTCAACAGGCCTATTACCTTGTGATCCCGTTGGCATTTTTATTAACAGTAAATAGACATATGCACCTGTGAATGGCGTGGTGGCCATTGCCTTGTATATCAAAGTTTCAAATACCGAGTGAAACC